ACTGCCAACTGACACAACCAAAAGTACTGAGTCGACGCACTGCCAACTAGTAAACCAAAATGCCGCGTCGACGCACTGCCAACTAACAGCCAATATCCAATGTCCAAAACCCGAGCACAACTTGTCGACGCACTGCCAAGCAAGAGGTGTGGAACCAAAGTTCTCAAGTCGACGCACTGCCAACTGACCAAAACAACCCGAGCACAACTAGTCGACGCACTGCCAAGCTAGAGGTGTGGAACGATCTCAACAAAGCCCGAAGGCGACGACACGAAATGCCGCGACTAAACCAGATGCGGCGAATCCGACTTTCTGATGTCTCAACTCAAACTCAAATCACAGTAGCTACAAGTGCTCAGGGAGCAACTCGTCGCGACCGGGCAGGGGTAGCGGAACTTCTTAGGGTGGAATCACGCGGCACGCAAATTGTACAAAACAATCTGAAATGAGAGTGATTCACAGTCCGGGGAAAAGCTTCCTAATACAAAGAGACGACGTGCTACTTATACTGTCTACGACGCTGCTTAGTAAAGTCCTGTACAACTGTATAGTAGCTACGCTATCTAAGATCGGTTGCCTTTTTAGGGTAATTGAAAGTTGAACGATCGGACAGGTCCTGAGTGATCAGGACCCCGCCCCATTGTCCATATGATACTTTTGATGTGGGCCAACTCACCGCGTCATACTTTTGGAATACGACGTGCTGGATTGGCCAACGGGTATGTCTTGGCATGTGAGACCAACGTGGGCGCCCCAAGAAGCCGTATGGCTCTAGGCACGCCAATCGTCTCCCGCATGGCTCGGTTCACGGATCTAGCCGTATCGATTTTAGTGTGTTTGAGTATGGGCGCGACTCGCCGTGACACTTGGAAGTGTCACCGCGACGCGTCCACAATGTCCCGTGATCGAATGGATCCTGACATGTGACAAGTCGTCGTCGTGGCATGATCTGAGGAAACGTCCAACCCAAAACCGGGAGTTGCCGCGACAAGATGGTTTAAGTCTTGTAACGCCAAGTCCTGTCCAGTAGTAGTTCTATTATTGAGAACGTCGTGCATTGTTCAGCCCTTCAGCCCAAGTTCCCATCTGCAGAGAATGACCCTTTTTGAGAAGTCGACGCAACGACATATCCCTTTTTGGGGAATGGTCGTGGTCCAAGCGTTCGTCACTAATGGCCCTGAGCCTGGTGTAGACTCATAAGACCAGTTCCACAGTAGTGGTCTGACTGCCTTGCTATCGTCGACACTATCCACAGTCGTCGACTGGGCAGTAGACCCATAAGTCCTACTGAGCGCAACACTGTTAACCGCGACACGATACACCGAGTGGTTCAAGAGTAAACTCTGTAAAAAGCGCAAAAATACGCCCTTACAGAGCTGGTGCAGAGCGCGTCTGGTAGCCAGCCTATCACCGGTAGCGGTACAAGCTCGGGGGCTTCTTGCGCAAGCGAAGAGGTGTTGCCACAGTCCTCCGGGGTTGTTGGCGTTATTCCGGGTGATTCTACAGAGAACAGTGGCGTGTAGGTGTCAACACCGGCCCGAGTAGAGTTCCGTGTAGTCCTGGGCGGAATGGTTTGTTGTTTTTTGGTGATACGAGTCAATGTGTCAGCGTGAGAAAAGGAAGAGAAGAAGTTGGAGGTGGGAGAGCGTTTGTAAGTCCAGTAGACAGGTGTTTTGAATCCGACGGGCGCAGGGCACTTGAGTCCACTTCAATCACCACAATGGAGATGCTCACGAGGCGCTAGGCACTGGTGGAGAACAACTTGGGGAGGGCTAACTACGCGGCGTTGCCGCTACACACGGTGTCACTACCAAGCACAACCAAGCATATCTACACCGCCACACTGTCAATCACGGAGCTGTCTCCGCAGCTCCAGCGCTCCTGGGCTCAGAACAAGGTGGGAGGGATGGCGTAGATACCGTCAATGAGCTTCTGATCACCCGGGACTGTGGCCGTAGAGATAGCGGTGAATTCGAGGGGTTTTGGTCGGGCTGAGTCAGACTCAATGTGTAAAATTGCAGAGGAATGGCGGTGGCTTGGGATGAAAATGAACAACGACGGGAGTGAAACAACAACGTAGGGGTGAATAAAAGACAAATCTTTGAGGTGAAGGCTCCTGAAGACTCTGTGAGAAGTGGGGTAAAATCAACCTGCATTTTATGGACTGTTACATGTGTATTTATACTGTGGGTAGATGAATAGAGTCCGATTTTGGTTAGATAGAAGAAATAAAAGGAACATAAAACCTATAATACAACGGAATGTGAAACTGGAGAAGCTGCATTCTGAGAGAAATCCTGGACCGATCTCGTCCCTCTGGAGCTACCTGGGCCCTTCCAGGAATTCAGTCCTAGTCTGGGGACCATTTCTGTGGCGGTTTTGCATCGTAGCACCGCGTTTGACGAGTGCTTGAAACCGGGATTGTGGATCGTTATGAGAGACCGAATATTGAGTGTTGATGGGTGATGGGAACATTGCCACTGATGCTGAACGGCACATGGAATGACATGGTAAGCTGCATGAAGCACAGCTTGTGATGGGACCGCTGTTATATCAATCAGCGCTGATCTGGTTACACAGTCAAAGCGACCCCGAGCTCGTCACTGCATTTCATTGTTGTGTACATTGGTACAACTCCAAAATTCTTGTGTTCAGAGTGCTCGACAGCATTACTTCGACTGCTCAGGCTTATTTCTGCAAAGGTCTAGACAGGTTGCAATTTTCAAACAATATTTAATTTCTTCTGCTGGTTTGGAGCGGCACTGTTTTAATCTAATTGATTTAGGCATTTCTCGATGCCTTAGCAGAGTCCCTGGCGGTCTAGTTCCTGGGGATCGCTGCCTCCTGGGCTTATTCCAAGTGGAGCGAGCATCCAACCAGGTCGGAGTTGTACCATTGGACTACAGACTCAGCACTACTTAAGTAGCTTGAACAATGACATGCCTATAGAGGACGCTCATTGATTCCTGCCCAGGGCGTCCGCAATAATGAGACTGGATCACGTGAAAGTGTTTCGGCGACCTTGCTGACTCATCGAAACTGCACGTGACCGATCAATTTCAGGACCAGAGGAACTCAACGCTTGTTAACAAGAATACATACATACAATATGATATCTAACTAGTGTGTACATTAACTAGCATTTATAAACCTTACAGAGCACAAGCAACAAAGTACAATGTGATATGCCGTGAATGATGCCGAACATGTGCAGCGATCCATCAATCAGACAGCGATCTCATTTCGCGCCGCGAATCAGCATGCTGTTCCCGGCCTCCATAGGCGGGGGGGGGGGGGGGGGGCGGGGGTGAAGGCGGGGGTGCAGGCAGGTGGTCATGGCTGGGGTGGGTAGAGACTCATTGGTAAAAACAATCAGCCATGTGTTTGCAGTTGGTCTTCCAAAAGATACAAGCCAAGACACAAGTTGTTAAGAGTTTACATGTCAAATTTGCACTGATAACCAAGCTCTGACTATTGTGGGACAACTTGCCAGTAAATACATCCTCTCACATCACACCGAGTAATGAATATAGTTCACCTCAAATCCCCTCTATTTAATGAATTCATGCTGAAACCCAAGCAGATCGCTTGCAAGGGAACACACAAGTTTCAGACCTCAAGTGCATTCAGCCAGGAAGGGGGGGATGAGATGTGTACCTAATATGTTCTATTACAAGCTCCAAAAATGGATACCACTGTGCTACACATATATATTAAATGGGTAAAGCAAACAATCAATGAGTGGAGTGTGGACCCTGGTCTGCCAATCTACTATGCCACCCATCCTGCCAGCCAAAAAATGAGAAAATCACATGTTCTGCTTGACTTCACATGCCATGGATTATATAGGTAACATCATCCATTAATCTCCTACCCCCCACCGAAACATTGGTAAATCACATGACTTGACCTGGAGACCCAGCCAAAACATGCGGGCAATGTTGTGTATCTTTATCCCCCATTCCCTGCCAAAATAGAGAAAAGTTACGTGATATTCTACAACCCTAGCCAGAGTAGATACATCAAAATTTTGTGTAATCCACCCCTGCCCCTGCTCCCCCACCAGACCCCGCATCAGACCCCGCACCAGACCCCGCACCAGACCCCGCACTGGGCCCTGCATCAATTGCAATATCCAGTTACACATCTTCACCTTCCCTATTGGCTTTGTCTACCTTGATAAGATATTTCATAAATGTTTGTATTCTTGCCCTGGTGGTCAGCAGCACTACTGCTACGGCTAAAGGAGGTCAAATATAGAATATGCCAGACTGACCCCGCGGCAGACCCCGCCAGATGATGGGATCAAGCGCATCAACAATCCTATTGTGCAGGGTGCATTTGGGGTTTTCTAAGCTCAAATGCATGGTCAATTAGTGTATTTACCTATGGAAATTATACTGGGATGATTTAGAGAGGCTTCCATTTTTTTTTTGGCGGAAAATCACGTGATTTTGCGCCCACTGTCTGCCACAACATGCAATCTATCAAGCAGCACCTCCAAAATCATGCCAAATGGTGCAAAAAGGGGCCCCCAAAAAGTCACGTGATAATGCGCCCACTGCCCGCTGCAGTGTGCGGGAGGGGCGGTAGCGCCCCCGCCAACGCCCCTGCCAACCCCCGCCATTTTGAAATTTTTCCTGCAGCTCATCACGTGATTTTCCCGCCATCCCGCCCATTTGGTGCATCATGTGATTGATTTTTTTTTTCCCGCCCAGCTGCCCGCTCTTATGGACAAGTCACATGGTATGTATGGGCACCCCCGTCCTGACCCCCGTCCTGACCCCCGCCCATCCCCCTGCCCCAAAATGGCCAGCTGCCCCCTGTACCCCCGCGGGGGGGGGACCTCCTGGGTACCCATAGAGCTACGTCTAAGGGTACCCAGGAGGTCCCCCACGGGGTCTATATGGGGGGTTGGCGGTGGTAACTGAGGTGGATTGGCGGAACTGCTGGATCAAAACAGGAAGCAAAAGTCGAATATGGTCAACATGCAGTCAACCATGGTGATACAGACAACATACATTCGTCGTGTTCGTGGCCAACTGGAGGCAGAGGATGAGAAGAAGAAGAAGAAGCGAAAGGGACACCTCGTGGGTGATGGACTCCCACGCGTGTTGACTCATCCAAACTTTGTATGCCAAGTTCGTCACACTAATGAGGTAAACAAGCAGAAGGAAGCAGAGAAGGAGCAACGGAAGGAGACTCAAGGTGAGAAGGACAAAGCCCGGGAGGAATGGAAAAAACAAGAGGAGGAACGACGAAAAGAGAATCAAGCTCTTCATGATCAATGGGTTGAGGATTGTGTAGCGTGGGAGCGATTGCGGGAGCAGATGAAGGCTGAGGGACGGAAGATCTCAACCAAGAAGCCACTGTGGAAGGACCGAAAGCTCCCAAATGTCCCCAAGCCAACGATCTTGAAGATGTCTCGCCGGAAACATATGAATCAGACAGCATCAACTGCTCAACGTGATTCCGAAGAAGAACTGTCAGAATCCACTGGAAGCGGTGCCGATGACAACGATTTTGATGTAGAGGACGATGAAGACAAGGAGGAGGAGGATTGAGGCCCACTGAGGTCTTAGAGATAGTACTCAGAACTACTAGAAAAAGCTGTAATTAGATCACATGGTCGCGTTTGACGTCGGTTATGGATATCAGTCACATCAAGCCATTGTATCAGTGAATGGCGGTAAGCTCTTGTCTTTGAATAATATGCAAGTCTCCAAAAATCGCCCAAATATTTGTGAGAAATGAGAATCACTATTCAAGCCTTATCTGAACATATGGTGGCTATCAAAGGATGGGCGAGGACCATTGGAACCTATCGCGTTGACTGTATCACTGACCGGTTGATGACTGTTGGACAACCGCATCAATTCACTTCAATTAAGAAGTTGCACGTGGTGCGTCAGAGTACTGATGTTTCAAATCCCGAATGCTAGGCGAAGGCTGCTCAAAGCTTGATCACACGTCCGGATGAATTCAATGCCTTGCTCTCATCAGACGAAAAAGTTCCGGAATGCAACTCGCGATCTCTTCCTCGTTCTAGTATTACAAGTTGAGCTTGTTACCTGCTCCTTGAAGCCTCATCCGTGACATTGTTCGAGCCTGGTTCGTACATCGCACCAGACATCTGGATCTCACTCGCCAACAGAGGACCTCTGTTGCCGGGCATATTTTACTCATGCCACTGTCCCGTGGCTGCTTGTGTCATCGACTTCCCATGCCAAAGTGGTCTCCAGGGATATAGTAGGGCCGGGATGGTAGCACCTGCTTGTCTTGCCTCTCGATGTCGGTTATCCGCCCTGCTCTGTTGTCCAGTCTTCTCGCGCTACTACTGGCGACTTTCCTCGTTCGCTCCCCGTTTGGGGCATGTCCCACGATATCTACCTCGTCGGGGCTGCTGCGCGGTGCGGAAAAGGATGGGGGTGAGTGTGGCTGGATATCCTCCTCTTGCTCTGGTCTCATTCCTAGTTAGTCACGATGTTCAAAGGAGTTGTAAGGCTTCCTCGATCTCGTCCCTCCGTGCAGGCGAGTGGTGATCTGTCTAATCAGCGTTATGCGCAAGCTCCGATTGGCAGTCTGCGCTGGGAACCTCCAGTGTCATTCGTCTCCAATGCATCAGTTGACTCGTCGTCTTTCGGTCCATCTTGTACTCAACAGTTCATCGGGAATCAATCATTCTTCGAAAGACTGTTCAACGCACCGCCGCTTCTTGAGAGCGAGGATTGCCTCTTCCTGTGAGCTTGGCCCGTTGTTGTTAGACTGACAAACATACAAAGATCAGAAACTTATGGGCACCCACTTCCGGCAACAATCTGTCAACCGTTTTCTGGATTCACGGCGGGTGTGTAAACGCCAGCTTAACATCATAGCTCAAGCTGATGTTTACTCAGCGGGTTTACCTATGGGAGTGCGTCTAACCCTCTGTATGACGGCGAGAGTTTGGCGAGGAACCGCGGCATCATTGTCGTCACTATCAATTACCGATTGAATGTCTTTGGATTCCCCGCGAGCCCCGAGATTCCGCTCGAGAAGACCAACCTGGGCTTCTTGGATCAAGGTTCGCTTGCCAAATACTGCTGCAGCTATCAGTGAATTCATGCCTTACCCAGAGCTGGCTCTGAGCTGGGTTCAGCAGAACATCGCTCATTTTGGCGGGGACCCCGCGAAAGTGACCATCATGGTGCGTCCACTTACTCCATGCACCGTCAGGGAATCATGTAACTGCTTGCTATAGGGAGAATCTGCCGGATCGTGGTCCGTAAGCGACATGGTTTCGCGACACACTCCCGATTCCGCGCCTTTTCGTGGGGCGATACTACTTTCTGGGCCTCTGAGGCCGGCCGCGGCGCCCCCGAGAACTGCCCATTCGACGTTCGATGCACTCTCGGTTGATCTCGGATGCCCCATGGATGCTGGGCCAGCTAGACTGCGATGTCTCAAGGACGTACCCGCCTCCGATATCAGGACTGCGCTACATGGGCCAAAGAATCCGACATTCATGCCTGTGGTCGACAAGTAAGCATGCCGAGCCGCTTCCTTCTGTGACACACTGCTGAGCGCATCCAGTATCACAGCGTTTTCGGATACTGTTGTGCGCCTTCGAAGTGGACTCACAGCGCGCGTACCCGCCATTATCGGGCATACCCAGGACGATGGGACCATCATCACGGCGGGCTTGCTGTCAGATCCATCAGATCCGATTCCATTTCTGGACATCCTTCCACCTGGAATCTTCTCCCAGGATCAAGTCCAAAAGCTATATCCTGCCTTGAGCAGCGTAGAGATTCCAGCTGCGGTTGTGAGGGACCTCTTGTTCCTTTGGTATGCTATTGCAATGCGGGGTGGATTCTACTTCTGACCTACCGCGCAGCCCTGCTCATCTCTGGACGCAGGCCGCCTTGGACGGCGGTCTGAAGGATGTCTATCGATATGCCTATGGTCATTCCTCCTACCAACGGTCTGGTTTCGTTTCATTTCGTTGACGTCCTCCCAGGACCAGTGTTCGACGACCTGCAAGCCTACCCCGGAGCTGGGGCCTGGCACACTTCAGAACGTACGAGCATGCGCAATCATTTGCGGTAAATTATGTCGCCTGACGCATAGCTACTATAGTTCCGATGATCTTTGGAACCCATAACCAAACGACGGCCGAGCCCGCTGAGCGGACACTCTCGCAGACGATGCAGGCCCTGATCGCAAATTTTGTCAAGAACCCGACGGAGCCGCCCGCGCCCAACTGGGAGAGACACAACCCTCGTGCGCCGAGACTCGCGAAGCTCGCTTACAACGGGAATGTCGCAGTGGGCGATGTGGTCGAGATGGCGGATAGCTCTTCCTTTGACGGCCCATGCGCTTTGTGGGACAGACTCATTGTTCAGTGAGTATCGTGGAATTATAAGCAAGGGCATATGCATGCACGGCGGGAAACGAGCTGCACCTCAGGCACGAAGACTTACATTCTTGACGTGTGCCAATGACAGCATGCGTCGACTGCGGGACTTGACATCTCGAGACCCCAACTGGGAATTTCCCAGCGCCGACAGACGATCACACAGAGAGGAAACTTCCCTGCTGTGGATTCAGACCAAGCGGCCTAAGAGGATGCGAGACGCGGGACACACAAACGTGGATGATGACTTCGTGGAGTTGTGGTCCAATGACAGACAGCTTCCTTGCTGAGGTTCTCAGCGTGCTCAGAAGCCCACGGCAGTTGTGTCCCTGGCCGGTGCACGAGCCATCTCTTGCCTTCCATCCGACCGTGAGATGACACTTTCTATTTATTCCACGCGCCGCCGGAATGAAAATGTAGCGGGGTCGCGCTGTGCAATTTTCGACTTCGATCTTGTTCAAACTTATGCCACAATCGCTTGCTCAGAAGTCATGGAATTGTGGCCGCAACTGCGCCAAATTGAAGCTGTGGATGACTCATCATGTATACACGTGAGGAGACAAAGCTGTGACGCCGGCCTCTCAATCCGTTTAGTGGCTGATCACACCTCTGGACGGATTCACTGCCTTACTCTCACTCAAAGGGAGGGAAATAGCGTGTAATTCGGGAACAGATCTCCGCTCTATCATGACAAGTCGAACTTGACACTTTCTCCCTACGGCCCGCCTTCTCGCACCAGCATCATTCCGAGTCGTGGTTCCAATCGCACTCTTCACACCGGACATCGGAGGGAATCCAGTTCACCAACGAAGGAGCATCGTGAATGTACATATGGGACTCATGCCACCAAGCATCCCCGTGGTTACTCGCGACATTTCCCATGCCAAGGCAGATTCCCAGGAATATAGCAGGGCCGCGACGTCAGCACCTGCTCGTCTCGACTCTCGATGTCGTTCCCCCGCCCTGCCCTGCTTTCCAGCCTCCTCGCGCTGCTGCTAGCGGCGTTCTTCGTCCGCCGCCCGTTCGGGACACGCCCCGCGATATCGACGTCTTCGGGGCTGCTGCGCGGTGCGGAACAGGATGGGGGTGAGTCTAGCAGCCAGATATCCCGGCCGTGCACGTATCTGAATCCCGGCTAGTCAGGATGTTCAAGGGAGTGGTGAGACTGGCTCGATTTTGGTGCCCCGTGCTGAAGGAGGCTGATCTGTCTGCGCAGCGATATGCCCAAGCTCCGATCGGCGGTCTGCGCTGGCACCCTCCAATGCCATTTGCCTCGAATGAATCGGTCCAATCGACGTCGCTCGGCCCATCGTGTATCCAGCAGTTCATGGGGAACGGGCCGTTCTTCGAAGGATTGTTCAACGCACCACCGCTTCAAGAGAGCGAGGATTGTCTCTTCCTGTGAGCTTGACTCCTTGTCATGGGTGATGGATGAACAGATTGAGAACAGCAATGTATGGGCCCCCACCTCCGGCACCAATCTGTCGACTGTTTTTTGGATCCACGGCGGGTGCGTGCATGTCAGCTCATCGCCATACTCTCCAGCCGATGATGGTCGCTTAGCGGGTTTACTTACGGGAGTGCGTCTAATCTTCTGTATGACGGCGAGAGCTTGGCGAGGAACCACGGCATCATTGTCGTGAGTATCAATTACCGATTGAATGTCTTTGGATTTCCCGCGAGCCCCGAGATTCCGCTCGAGAAGACCAACCTGGGCTTCTTGGATCAAGGTTTGGTTGTCAAAACCCTGCATCTATCAGTGCCTTCATGCCTTACCCAGAGCTGGCTCTGAGCTGGGTTCAGCAGAACATCGCTCATTTCGGCGGGGACCCCGTGAAAGTGACCATCATGGTGCGTCCGCTTACTCCATGCACCGTCGGGGAATCATGTAACTCTTTACCACAGGGAGAATCCGCCGGATCGTGGTCTGTGAGCGACATGGTCTCACGACACACTCCCGATTCCGCGCCTTTTCGCGGAGCGATACTACTCTCAGGGGCTCTCAGACCGGCTGCGTCGCCTCTTGGGACCGGTCATTTGACATTCGATGCGTTTTCGGCCGATCTCGGATGTCCCATGGATGCTGGGCCCGCTAGACTGCGATGTCTCAGGGACGTATCCGCCTCCGATATCAGGACTGCGCTACATGGGCCAAAGAATCCGACGTTCATGCCTGTAGTCGACAAGTAAGCATGCCGGGCCGCTCCCTCCGGTGACACACTACTGAGCGCACCCAGCGTCACGGCGTTCTCGAATACTGTTGTGCGCCTTCGAAGTGGACTCACAGCGCGCGTGCCCACCATTATTGGACACACCCAGGACGACGGGACGATCGTCACGGCGGGCCTGCTGTCAGATCCATCCAATCTGTCGGGCTTTCTGGACATCATGCTGCCCGGACTCTTCACCCCGGATCAAGTGCAAAAGCTGTATCCTGCGCTGAGCAGCGCAGAGATTCCAGCTGCGGCTGCGAGAGACCTCTTGTTCCTTTGGTATGCTATCAGCATGCGGGGTGGATTCCACAGCTGACCTACCACGCAGCCCTGCTCATCTTTGGACGCAGGCCGCCGTGGACGGCGGTCTGAAGGATGTCTATCGATATGCTTATGGTGATTCCATCCCCTATCAGTCTCGTTTCGTTTCGTTAACATCCTCCCAGGACCGGTGTTCGACGATCTACAAGCCTACCCCGGAGCCGGGGCCTGGCACACTTCAGAACGTACGAGAATGCCAGATTATTTGCGGTGCATTACATCGTCTGACGCATAGCTAGTGCCGATGATCTTCGGGACCTACAATGCGACAACAGCTGAACCTGCCGAGCGAATACTTTCGCAGACGATGCAGACACTGATCGCAAACTTCGTGAAGAACCCGACGGAGCCGCCCGCGCCCAACTGGGAGAGACACAACCCTCGTGCGCCGAGACTCGCGAAGCTCGCTTACAACGGGAATGTCGCGGTGGGCGATGTGGTCGAGATGGCGGATAGCTCTTCCTTTGACGGCCCATGCGATTTGTGGGACAGACTCACTGGCCAGTAAGTAACGTGGGATCATGAATCGGGACTACGTATGCATGTCGGAAAACGAGCTGCACATCGGACACGGTGGCTGACTTTCTGGACGTGTGCCAATCACAACATACTTCAACTACAAGACTCATCCGTCTTGCGAACACAGCTGGGAATCGTACGGTCCAGGGTTCTCGATTGGGATATGCCATTGACATATACTATTTGTGAATTGTTGACCAAGGTGTACAATCTCACGCTTACGCTCGTCAGTCCATATCGTTTGAGAAGGCTTATGTCGCTAAGCCACGAGTTCATCATCCGTTAGATTATGATTCAACAAGTGTCGCGTTTCCAATCAGGCTCTTAATCAAATGCTGCATCATGACCAACACCGGCTCAGAATCAATCTGTCACACAGAACCATCGTATTATACTATCATCGAAGCTGTTCTCAACGAACGTTCTTAGACTTTTAAAACAAGTCGTGCGGGAGGGGAGCAGGTAGTCTCTTCTCGCACTCTCTCTTTCGCCTTCATGGCACCTTTTCAACTTCAGCCTTCGGAATATTTGCTTGCTCTTTTCTTCGGTTCTATTCTTTATGGTGTGCTTGAGCCAGCCGCACATCGCATTGTGCAAGCTTACAGCCTCGAACAGGAATACTGTTCACCACATTCGTCTCAGCGCTCGCGTCACTCGTTCTCGAGCAGGACAAAAAGCGATTCGAGCTCAAGCGCCGTCAGGATATGAGATTTCCCGTCCTGGTGGCCACCGTCGTGATGTTCCTTGTCTCGACGCTTGCTGCGGTATTCTCCATCCAAATAGCCATGGAAGGGTTTGTCAAGTATACCGGCCCCGGTGGGCCCTCGTAATTCTTCAACAGCAACGGGTCCGGGTCTAGGCAGCGGATGATCTTGCTGACCAATGGGACCCAGATCTTTGTTGGAGATGGACTCATCGTGAGTCGCACGGCGTCGCACAAAGATCATGATCGTTGACCCACGCTGATAGATTTATCGATGCTACGTGTTGCATGCTCACAATTGGAAGAAGATTGCGGTTCCGCTCGTCAGTTACCTCCTGCTCACTGGTATCATTCTCTCCTCCAAGTGCTACCGGGCTTCTACTCATCAGTGGTAACCTTGCAGTGGCTGAGCTGTGCGCCTTGGCTGTTCTGATCCTACCGCCCGGGAGGCCATCGAACGGTCCCACCGTGTTCATCCTGATCTTGATGGTGTTGCTGTTGACGTGTGTTACAAGTGTCTCCACGACATGTATGTCCGTCCGCTAGACTCTTCAGTGACGTCCTCCCAACTTTTGTAACAAGTCCTGATTGTGCGGCGACTCCGCTCAGTCGACGCCGGCACAAGCTCTGTGCCACAGCAGCTTCTCACCCGCGTGGCCCGAATGTTTTTTGAAACAGGATTGATCTACACCCTTGCTCTAGTCGCATCTTTGGTCGTATATCTCTCCGGACTTCTCTCCGGAGGGCACTTAGAGTTCATAGACGCTCTCTGCGTGCGTGAGATCCAGTTTCACGACATTTACAGCGCTGAAATTCTAGCTTCAGATGACACATATTATTGTAGGTCGTCAATCCCAAACGGCTCGTAATCGCAGGCCAAGGAGTGAAAGCTGAAACATCCCCCCAGCCAATTACTTGCAATCTATTACTGATCAGGGTGCGAGGCGCACAATCGGATGCCAACAAGGAGGACGGAGCAGACATAGAAAGGAACGCGCATCCGTGAAATGTTCTGTGAGATTGAATCCTCGATATTCGAACTCACATTTCAGCCACAAGAGTCGATGACGAGTCTTACACATACTGGATTACGTGGCCATAACTGTTGCCCTTATGCCAATGGTTCCGGAGCAATTGGCACTCATGTACATACTTGTAACATATTCAGTCATTCCATTCCTGTTTTGTCTTGTAACTGAATCAGAGGCTTTGATTCAATGCTGCGTGAATCACTTGACCAATGGCTTTGGAGTTTGAGTTGTTGTGGACAAAAGCTCTGCCAAAGCCCAGCGGCAGATGAATCGTAAGAGGTATCGCATTGGGGGTCGTGAGTGATCGTAAGAACGTAAATACATCATGTGAGGATAAGGATACACATAAGATATGTATGCAAGACAATCGTGAGAAGCCAGGTATCAGGCAGCCTCTATGAGTAGATGGTATAAAATGAATCAGATCGTCCAAACGCGATGATAGATATTGTGCACAATGTCCCATCATGCCGCACGCCAGTCTTGGTCGAAACCCGCTGCCCAGGACGAGTTCGAGAAGATCGCATGTGTCGGGCTGCGGGATCGCGGGAACGGGCTGGCAGTCCGCTCGCCAAACTTCAACGACTCCTGGCGCCGCGAGCCGCTCGACCCCGATTGGTCGGCATTCCTGGCCCGATGTCCGAATGCACTCAGCGTCGGGCTAGCGGGGCCCTCCACCGACCGTGAAGGTTGCAGAGCATGCATCCGGGCGGAACCCGCCGAAGATTCCTGCGAGTGCGCCGACGTCATATGGCTGTGGCCTGACCGCGAACCAGAGGAGAGCGAGTCTGATCGGTGGTGCGCCATCGCAGATGCGCCTCCGCCAAAGGTTCCTCGTCTTCCGACGGTCGTGCTACCGCCACCACCACCGAGAGCCTGCCAGCCGCCTTCTGCCACAGGAGGCACATCGTCGATATCCAGATTCAACGCGCCTGACGCGGGCCGAGGGGAGATTCCGGGGGTAGCCGCCCCAGTGCCTCGAGGGGAATTTAGTCCAAGCCGACTGCCAAACACGGGGACCACCGCAGCGGGAGCCGGCACATCCAAAGGATCGGTGGTTGTGGGCAGGTACTCGAGCGCGTCCTCGTAGACCGTCTCCCCACTTTGCTGGCTTGACCTGCGCGGATTGGATGACGCACCCGCGGCGGAAACCGAGGTGGACGACACCTCGCGCATCGGCGATGAAATTGAGTTGGAGGGGGTATGTCGGCCAGCATCGAACAACAGCACTCCGCTTTCTTCGTCTGCGGCCTTGGTTTCACGGTTGGTCCAGGAGAAGCGAGAGAGCCACGACCGCCGATGTTCTTTGTCTGCGAGAGGCGTTAGACCTCCAATTCGCAAGTGAGGGACCCACACTCACCTTTGGAGGCAACAGGGACTCTGGTGGCAACGGCAACGTGACTTTCTTCCTGCTCGCTTCCCTCGGTGACGATCGACAACGAATCCTTTTCTTCGACCAGACTGGCGACTTGGGCCGGGGATAGGATCCGGCGACCGGGCACTGGGGCACCATAGCCGTGGCTATGTCCATGTCCATTTCCGTGGGCAGCGAACGCCGCCCCCAGCGGAAGACTTGCGCCACCCTTTTGCCAAGGTTGGCTCCCCTGCGCCGGCCGGTCCAGCAAAACACCGTACCCGGAGAGATTCGTCCCGGACGACTCGGTTACCCGGGACGAGTTGCTCGTGGTATGGAGCTTTTCGTCGAGCCCAACGGCAGCAGTCGGCTGTTCCACCGCTTGCACGTCACGGCGCGTGAGGAACGGATCGGCTTCGGTCGCGCCGTGTCCCGGCTGCCCCTGTCCCGGGGACCGCACGACCAGCCAGTCCGCGTCGAAGTCTTGCACCGAGGCGCCATCCACGGCTGGCGTGACCATGGTAAAACGTGTTCCAGACAGCCTCCGAACGTTCGCCGGGAGAAGCGACGCAAACTTTATCCGTCTTCGTGCGGGCGCATCCTGACGACAAATAGAGTCAGTATGTAATCTATTCTCGAGAACATTCCAGAAGGCAGAGAAAAAGACCCCCCAACGCAAAGACAAACGCCGCCGTAGTGAAAATGCGCGTGGCGATGAAGGAGCGTATCAGTCAGGGGACGTAGACTCACAGGATCACCTCCGCGCACTCTCTGTCGGCGAAAGAGGAAGAAAAGCACAAATAGGACGAAGACAGCACCAAGGATTGAGCATATGATGATTGCCGCGAGTTCGCCCCGTGTGAGAGTAGAGTGGGAGGAGTACGAGGAGATAGGGACCGCGGATGCCGAACGCGACGGTGCGCCCGCGACGGACGAGGCAGAAGACAGAGCAGATCTCGAAGCCAAAGCGGTGGATGATGAAGCAAAAATTTTAGAGGACGATGAAGCAGGGGTAGATGAAGTCCGGGTCGCGGACGAGGCTGAAGCAGGCGCATGGGAGGCCGATCGCGAGGATGCTCCCCCGGGAAGAGACGCGGACGTAGATCTCGCGGTAGTCGCAGCCGGTGTAGATGCCGATGTGGGCGTCGCCGATGCCACCGTGTCTGTCCGGCTCGTCCGCTGTGTGTCAGGCCGCGTCGATCCCCCAAACACCCAACCGCTCCCTAACGGTATGCTCGGCCCAAAGTACGTGAGCGGCTCGACCACGAGACTCGTCTGCGTGGTTCGGGGGAGTGTGATAGTCGTGTACGATAGCCAGGGCGGAAGTTCCTGTGTCGGAGCGGCCATATGCAGTGGCTTCGGGTGGCAGATGCGCGCGTCGGCAACTAGATTGAAGGGATCGGGGAGAAGTGAGGCAGCTGGGGGCGGAGGGGGGACGAGGGAAAAGGAAAGCGGGGAGGAGGAGGAGAGCGAGTGAGGGAAAGTTATGAACCTGCGCTTCGAAGCGATCAGCCCGAGGTTAGATTGCCGCCGGATCTGGCACGTGTGCCTGATGTGCCTCCCTAGTGCTTCTTCAGCTTCGACTCGTCCGACTTGTCTTCTGCCTCTACGCACCCTCCGTGCACCCGCTGTGCCCGCTCCTCGTCTCTAGGAATGCAAAGATGTCCGAATGATCGGAGAAAGGAAGCCGAAAATACGCGTCTGAATCAATATTGGTGGGCGCACCATTTCATAAAGCCGAATTGGCAAATGAAGGGCGTCTGGGAACGCTACAGGATACCGCCGGGCGTCGAGATTGGCGGCTACTAGACTCGAAGATTGACCTCACTGACCCATTGAAGCTTCCCACTGGATTGCCACCCCGATGCCGGCTCTCTACCTCTGAGTTCTGGGTGACAGGGCGATTTTAGGACTGCGGGACTCGACTGTTAGGAACGCACCCCTACTCGAGGACTGAGGATTACATGGCTCAACACACTCTCGAACCCATGGAGACTACGCAGCCATCAAAGAATACATTCCATCCATGAACATGTACTATACGTCCCCACCTCAAGACAGTCCAGAGATGGGAACATGCTTTTGGAGAAACTTGACCTGAGCGGATAGGGATTCCGCATGATGAGACAGGCCATGGTACACATCAAAGTGCCCACCTCCAGTTCCATGCAATGTCAGCCACCTGTGCCAGCAACAATGCAAGAGTACTGACATGGCAGCGAGACCAGTTCGCATTTATCCGTCGCCTTCGATATCTCCACCGCGCCGTCTGGAAGGCACAAGTTGTCCTGGGTGGGAAGCACGATGAGCAACGGGCAGGAGATTTGCGATGCTTTCGTGCGGGGCTGATAGGGCGGTAGCTGGAGCACCGAGGATGCGGATACCTAGAATTGCGAGATGCAGCCTCTTTTCTCGCGTGCAAGGAGATGCACCCACTCGATTCTCATAGGGACTACCAGACGCGATGAGTGCTGGACAAGTATCGGTTATGAAGAATGCTCACACGTCCGAAGAGCAAATGGCCATCATGCCAGAGACCGTGCCCGGTGTCGTCAGAGCACCCAGCGTCCCGGACTCCGACACGACAGGGATGTACACAGGCTGCAAACCGAGAGCTTGTTTGACGAGATCGGCGATGGCAGAGGAAGCCAGTTTGAGGCAAGTCATATTCAGCGGCAGACTCGGTGTCATTCCGGTGTACGGACATTGAGCCAATGCGGCGACTGCGTTCACGGTTCTCTACGTCTTTGAGCCCAGTCAACAATGGATGCTTAGGAGCAACGGACTGACGTCGGTGCTCAGGGTAATACAGTGTGCACCTATACCAGACATGAGAAGTACATTCACCCAAAGCAATTTCGCTTGCACACCAGAAAGGCTAGATCCCCATATGATGACCCGTGTCCCATCGAATGCCGCCTGTGCCCTCGCATAAGCCACGACAGTCCGATAATCGTCCAACTGGTCTTGCACGACAAGCACAGAGCGCGGGGTCCCATCTGTTCGACATGAGGAAGGCACACAATTACATGCAATCGAGCACATACCAGAGGCACCCCATCGCCGATAGTCGAAGACCAGACAAGCATAGCCCTCGGTCGAGAATGCTTCCGCGTAGAGCGCAAGGCCCATCGTTTTGTTTGCACCGAAACCGTGCGCCCTGTAGTGGCAAGGATAATGGCATCGTGAGCCAATTCGCGGTGCGGCCAAAGAGCACCGTACATAACGATGACAGGCAAGGGAGTCGGAGCAGACGTAGAGATAGAGGCGGGCATGTATTTCCAGGCATCGAGGTCCCACCCAGGACGTAGCGAGGGTATCTTGAGCGTCGATTTGACGAAGGCCATCGAGATGGTAGATGGCAAGTAGCTTGTACCTACCGTGCCTATGGAGCCGAATCCATCGATGTCGTATCCTGCTGATCCCATCTCACAAGTCCACTGCGACATCAACAGAACAAGGCGCGCTGTTGAGCCAAGGATAACAAGGAAGGTATCCTGGAATTGTGAAAAAGTCGTGGCTCATGGAGTCCGAGTCGGATGGGTGGTCGGAAGAGTACGAATCAGGACTAGCGGCGGCGACGGTCAGCTGATTAACGTGCTCTATGACGACACGCGTTTTCAGCCGGAGTCTGCATAGAATCAGACTGACTCTGAGATGGAAGTCGTGTTTTTTTTGGTCATTTCGGTACGACAAAATCTCAAAAAATTGTTTCGATTTAATCACAGGGTTGGATGCTTGGCGAGAGCACCGGCGCTCCCCGTATGTTCCTTGTTTCGAGTTTTGTCATGACTTTCCATCAAGGCCAGCCTTTTCACTGTGACGTGATATCTTCTCACGCCCAGGTACTCGGGTTCCTCAGAGTTTCCATGGTCCACTTTCATTGTCGAGCACAACAGGTCGTGCGCCACTCCATTGTATCCCGTACTTCTCATGAGCCTATATTCAACTGTGTTCTATCCGACTGGCCCGTCTAGGTATTGATCCCACGATTCTGGCAGCTCAGTTGTTCAATCCACCGTTTCTATGAGGCGTCGTCCCTCCAGACTCGCACGGATCGCGGGCAAAGCTCGCCTCGACGCGTCCCAGATCCTTCACACGAACCGGCCTGTGCGTTCGCCGTGACCCTCGAATCCCACTGCGTCCCACCACCGGTAGCATTACGGAGGCCGCTGACGTCCAGATGATCGAACGCGGACTCATCGACCGGCGGGGAATTGGATGTATGCGCTGATCAGCCGTGGGAAATCTCAGGACGAGACGCCCAGCGAGTAGAGAGCTGGAGTGCCGACAGAACCTTGTCTGCGAGCAGCACACACACGGAACCTTTTCCACAGGATTCTATGTCCGTTCAGGCTTCACCATGGGGTGGCTGGCGAGGATCCCACTGCTTAGATCGCAGGTCTGTGTGCATCTTGGGAGATTTGATCCCTCCTCTACCTGCTGCTAGGCACGGGCGGTCCGGGACACGCAGTGTGCACATCCCTGTTCTGAACACTCGTCAGTTTTCTCAGGATGCGGACTTTGTGAATTCCTCCGTCAATCGTGGTACCTCCAAGTCGATCACATCCATCGAGTAAGGACATGATATGTGATCATGAGTCATGCTTGATTCGGAAGGACGAGCACAGTAACTGGGATAGACCCAGCTGCTGCGTTTCTGGTAAGCCTGACGCGTGGAAGAGAGTGCTGGTCATTCGCAACGAGCGATTATGCCGTATGATAGAGTGCCTTGCGACCCGGGAGCGAAGAACTTGCGCCTATGCCCATACAATGGTCCGCTATCTTTCCTTCCATGAGCCATCGTATATGCACTGAATGTTCTGTGCACAAGATGGGAGATTAGCGTTGCCGGTTGCATGTCAGCACGACGAGCGTCCGTGATAAGTCCAACGGAGCCTTGGGGTCTACATCTGGCGCCCTCGTGCGAGCAGCAGGGAGCCTTAGCGCCCGAGTGTAGCCTGACACTGTAGCGATCAACATGGACAGCGAGCATGGAGAGAAACAGGTGAAGACCGCACGAGCCATAGGCGATTCAGAGATGGATATCTCTGAAAGCTCGGGCGCGCGGGCTTATCTCTGACGTCACGCCTATTCGCAGTTCTCCCACTGCACTCGTTCGATCGATCGCTTCGCTGTGAGGTAAGTATAGTTGACTGTCGGACATGAGCCTCCGAAAGGAAATGATGCCACGGAGGACCTGAAACAAAATATGCCTAATCGAGAAATACAACAGTGGGTGCTGGCGCCACTACAGTATGTGGTCTTTTGAGACCGAGGAATAGTTGAGAACGGGGTGCATGCGCTTTACAAAGGCGCTCGAAGAATTCGCGTTCCACTTCGAAAGGGACGGCCGAGCACGTGCTATGGGGGCCTGATTGGTAATGCGACTGATCACGACGCTCAGCTTTTGCTCTCTCGTCTTGCTTGCGAGGCATGCGGATTGACCCTCCTGCTCCGTCAAAAGATTGTCCATATGTTCATCTTCATGCACGGAGGCCAGGCGGAAAGACTGACAGATGGAAATGAGGCTTGATGGTGCGTTGTCGGAACGATACCAGTTATTTTTGGTATCAGGGCAGTAGGCCGTCCGCGATATCTTGACTACATCTCTCTTGTTCTCTCTCTCTGCAACCACGGGCTTTTCATCTTTGATCAAAATCTCCATCGATGACGACCGTTGGAGCTCCAAGCATTTGAAAGTTCGGGGCCGTTATCTAATGTGCCATGGCTCCCCATCTTCAAGAACTGCACTGACTAATCCTGGGCGCTTAAGACTCTCCACTGCACGAAACACGACTATCAGACCTGCATCTTCGCGTGTTCTATGTCAGCGGGTCTTTTCCACCATTCGGCGTTGTCTTTCCCCGGGCGGACATGCGCTCGCAGCATGTTTATCTACATCTTCCTCCTTGAAACCGAACTAACTTTGTCGTCATTGGTTCGGCTGTACCCGGATTGTTCCACGCCCCTATGGACAAACTTTTGGCGACGACGTTCAGTGCGCCTATTGACCAGTTCGCCGCCACGGATCTCACGCCAGATATGATACAAGCTGGAGTCCGAAGATCTTGAGCGTCTATACGACTGCCTCAAATATCGCGCCGGGAGTGCTTTGCTGCAAACCACTGAACGCATCTACTTACATCCCTGCACTTTATGGCGACGTGAGTTTCTTGTTCTCTCACCAGTCGTATGCGGTGCTCACGAATCATGCAGTACTCTCAAGATCAAACTTTCGAGTTCGCTCTTTCTGCATGCTATTCGCACTCCATTGATCTTTCATCCAGAACTCATGGTCGAAGATGTCCCGGTGAATATGGTCGAGCTCGAGTTGACATCAACGTCAACGGTATCGGGAAGAAGACTGCGGACACAAGTACCTCCGAGGGCAAGGCTTTCTGGGACGAAGAGTTTCATATGTACGATTTCCCAATCGCTCAGTACCTTACTCATCATTTGGGCAGGGACATTCCTATTGGAAGCCATATAACATTCACCTTATTTGTGCACCGTTTTGCACTCTCATTTCGTGAGGCTCGTGCCTGGGGTCACCATTCGGAGCCTCTTGTCAACGCTATTATGTCGGGTGCTTGTATGTCATGTCTCCCTCCATTCAAGCATTGTATCGCACTCATCTCCCATCTCCCAGCCACTGAACGACGGATGACAAATTCCACGGCGTGCATCAATTTCACCGTCAACCGGCTTCCCCACACTGCTCCGTCTGCTGCTGAACGACAAACGCGTGCAGCAGCTCTCCGCCAGCAGAAGGGACCTGGTTTGCACTGCGTTGGCGCTGCGATGCAGCTCTTCCACGACTCTGGTCTGGTAGATGCGACCCTTCAAGTGGATAGCAAGCCCTTTCGTCCCGACCGCCCTGCGTCTCGGCCGAATGTTCCGATCCGACAAGAAGGGTCGTTGTCCACTTTCAGACCTATGGATGACGAGGCATGGAAAGCATTGCTTGCCACCGTGTCAATATTCGCGAAGTTAGTGGCAAACGTCGCTGAGGTGGGTCGTGCGGTCATTCTCTGTAGACCGGTGTCGAGTCTGAACGTGCTGCTGCAGATTCATCCGCTCGCGAAAGCTGTTGTTACGGTGCTCTTGGCTGGCTACAAGGTCTGATACGATCGTGCCTACTCCGTGACGCCTGCTAACGCTCTTCATCCAGGTGTTCGAGACCCTAGCAGATCGAGACAACAGATTCAAGTCGCTTTTGGATTCCGCTTCAAGCGCCTTTGCACTTGCAAACAAGCTCAAGGCACCTGAGCTTCAGCCTCACACCTCGACTCTCAAAATCTTGACGTTGCAGCTGAATGACTGCGGGTTCTTCATCCGTGACTATTACAAACAACGAGGACTTTGTTGGTTCCTCCCGTTCTCAGGCTCGTCGAAGTGCTGACATGACTTCAGTGCAGCGGACGGTCAACTCAACCTTTCACGGCCAACAATTGGATAGGAAGATCCAGGAGTACGAAGACAATTTCTCGAGGATCAGAGCGATATTCTGCGGCGAATCGGCTGCGCATATCGAGGTGAGGGTGGTCAGGATGGAGAAGGAGATTACACGAATCGGTGCGTGCCGACAATTCTCTTTCGCAGGCGCGTCAACTGATGTGTGATGACAGGCTCTGCGATAGACCTAGACGGACTGCCATACATTTGGGGAATCCGCTTCAATCAGAACCGCACATGCTTACCAGGAACTCGGGTAACGATACGGGACAAATCGTGGATTGGGTGAACGACCGCGACAAGCCACGGACGTTGGTGCTCACTGCTGAAGCTGGGTTCGGTAAAACGGCGATCGCGCACACCGTTGCGCGCACCTTAGATGAAATGAAGCGTCTAGGGTCATCCTGCTTTCTCCCTCCGCTGCTGTCTGGAGACCCAGAAGTCGTTCTAAAGCTGTTCCCGACTATCACTCGTGATCTGGCGGACTTCGACACAGCTTGGAGGAATTCGCTCTCGAGGACTGTTGGGGTCCGAGCGATACAACGCACCGCGTCTCTTCAGGAGCAGTTCGACAAATTCATGTTTCTGCCTGCCACTGGTTCCGAGAACGCGCCCGTGTATTTTGGGCCGATGTTGATCGTCGTCGACGGGTTGGAACAATGTGGTTCTGAAGGTTCTCAGGAACGCAGGGAATTGCTGTCGATACTGTCCACGAAGCTCACCAAACTTCCTGCCAACTTCCGTATCCTGATCACCACCCGACCCAGTCCTGACATATCTCGCATGCTCTGTCGGGAGGGCACTAATATCGAACACTGGGATCTGCACAATGAGATCAAGGACAAGCAAACTGCGGAGGATATCGCGGCCTTTTTGGATGCAGAACTCCGTCCAGTCTTCAGAGGACGTTGGCCGGAGTACCGCGAGAAACTGGCCAACAAGCTCGAAAGAAACTTCTCCAGCGCTGCGCTCGCCTGTGACGCAATCAAGCAAGAGGCGAACCGGTCGATTACATCACCCATCTTCTCCAGAGATCGGACGAAGGCGGCTGGAACGCAGCGGCATTTCGGCAGTCTATCAGCCAGCACATTCCATTCCTATCCACTCGTGAGCCTCAGCGGGGCCCGCCTGCGCCGTTGCTGTCGGCCAACCAGGCCAATCGGCCTCCGCTGCTGCGTCAGCCAACGGATTTCATCCCGCAGCCTCCTAAGCGCATTTCGTCGGACGATTCCACACCGCTGACACCCGCTTTGAGTGACCAGGGCTCGGTGGGTATGCCTTCTCCAGATTCGGAGTTCTTCGATTCCGCTCCCAGTGGTTCCTTGCTGTTCCCCCAACCTCATTTCGACGAGCCGATGTCGTACGAAGGGGATGACCTCATCCAACCTGGCAAACCCATCGGAATGCCCTTCGGCTCGAATTCGTATGCGATGTCTGGCGACGATGTGACTGGTTACACTCCATCGTTCCCTGATCCAAAGCCACACAACCCCCCAGTTTATCGGACCTCTGACCCGCACTGGAGACCTACGCCTCCCATGCGTGTCCTCCGAGCCCCGCTAACCACACATTCGTCGGCGGCCTCTTCCTTTGGAGGTTGGGCGTGAAGGGGATATTTCGATTCTTGCGGTTCAAGGGCTCTGGAGCGTCTCGTTTATGCCGCATGGAACTTACCTCGACCAATGTACTTACTGTATCCTCGTGATAGTTTGCACCGTAATTTAATCTAGGTCCCCCGTTTGCCCCCGTATTGATGAATATTCAATGAGCGCGTAGACCTTAATCCCAGCCACTGAGAGGAAGTACAAACGCAGATCCACTTGCAATACATCGCACCACGTGTATGCCTCGTTCCGCTGGTCTACTGAGTGGGGGATCAGAGAACACGCTGATCGTGCCAGGTGAGCAATGAGCAGCCCCCGACCGCATGTCGATCCGCACCGCCCACGCCCTTCGCCCACGCCCTTATATAAACTACACCTTGCTCCCGTTTACTCGACAGACACCAACATGACCCCTGCCGACCTTTCCACACCTCCCGTCATCCGAGCTTGCCTGGAGCAAGCAGCAGTCCTCCAAATCTGCGCAGGAATGGAGATCCTCGGACTGGATCATCCTCGAGAACGACGAATACGGCGGCGGCAGCAGGGGTACGTGGGAGACATTGATCCTCAGTCGACATCGTCCGTCTCACAAACACTCAGCCTCGAGAAGTTGAAGCTGCTCTATCCGACCCGGGAGACGCGTATCCGAATGACACCATATTGGCGACGTCGACGCAGTCAAACAACGCCACTGCGCCGGACCAAGTCCTGCATGGTCATATCCTGTATGTCCGCGCACCAACTCTCGCACCACGTGTAAACTGAGAGGCGTTTCAGACCTTGATATCGAGGAGATGCAGTTCACTGAAGAGATGGCGCGAATCTGGCCTCGGGAAGAGCTGGACGCGATGGAGGTTGAGCTGATTGTGTAGAGTAGCAGTGTATCGCACCTAGATTGATCCCCGACACAAAGATCGCTGGTCGAAAAGATTGTGGAAGGCCGCAGCAGACTTCAATCGAATCGTCGATACCTTAATGGGCGATACGGGGATGGACACGGAGTATCGGTGCTTTCAGCGTCGTCTTGGAGTGATGCTGGGCTAGATGAGACCACTGCATTAACAGTGTGTACACGCCCTCCGGTTGTCGATCCACCTGTTGTATCTGGACGAACACATATATTACCTTTCCCCCTCTCCTCCTGCTCCATTGCGGGCGAGGCAATAGGTTCTCGAGTCAAGGAACGCAAGCGCTCAGCACCGAAGATCGTGGGCACGCGAACGCCGCCGTGACTGAGACATGTTTGAGGAGCCTGTCACACTGTCGGGAATGGGCATTTCGTCAAAGTTCTGATCCCACGGCGGTGACGAATAAGTATGGCGCTGAGGGCATTCAGTGGAACTCGGCACATGCAAGTCGTCAATCCAGAGGCGACCACTTCACTGTCAATCACTCAATGGTTGATGACGCTTGCGTAATGTCTTGATTCTGGATAGTTCTCTTCCCAAACACAGTATTCACGGACATTACTTGTTTCGCGACGTTTTTCTTAAAGCAAAACGCGGATCCAGGTGGGCCTCAGGATGCATAGCTTTGTATTCACAAGATGTGCTAGTACATGTAGTTGTTTTTACCCCACTCGGTGCTTCACGGTGGCATCCTAAACGTGAATAGCCCCGACGGGACACCATTCAAGCTGGCCAACGGCTTCGGCGCTCGAGGAATCCTGATCGATGCCGAGGGTGAGGACACCTGGTGCTGAATGAATAATACAGATGTCAGCTACCACCTGGAACACGCTAAGGTCTAGAGTACGCACGGCCTGAACACCTTCAAACCGGCCTTTCGCAGATCGCGTTCGGCCAGCAGCAAGCGATCCTTCGTTCTGATGCATGATATGACCTTCAAGTTCATGATTATAAAAGCAGAGTCTATGCAGACCTCGACAGCGACGACGGGCTGCGCCGCCCGTTTCTTCGAGCGACCGGAAACGGCTCCATTCCTCCTCCTCTTCTGTGGCTGTTGTATCTCGATAGCACGTCCGCCAACCCGTTGTCGTTTTGCCTTCGGTGTTTCCACGACATCGGGGTCAAACTCACTTGCACGAGGATGCATTCGCGCACGCCTATCTGTCCGGCGCTTGAGCTCGTCCTGCGTGGGTTCCCTGGTGGAGTCAGCATTGAGGTCAAAGCAGCTAACGTGCAGCCCCACCGGTGAAAGCTATTGAAGGCTTTGATTGCAGCTCTCACTAGACACGGGAAAACAGCATGAATCCATTGCCGGAAAGCAATGGCCCCGCCGTGTACGTATATGGAACCCCCCATAATCTCGAGTGCATTTCCGTAGAACTTGTGATCTCCGGAATGCTCGTAGAATCCTTTTTCGATCATGATGTGCTGGAAAGTGTTGTTCTCAAGCAGCGGCCCAAGAGCATTCTAGACAGAAGACAGTTAGCACAATCGATAGCACATACATGTGCTTTGACCTTGATCAACTCGTCTACCTGTTTGATCTTGGCAGTGTTGGCTTCCTCGACAAGCAGATCGAACAGCACGGCCCGGATAGCAGCATCGCCCAACGTCTCCAGTGGGCCCCGGATCTCCGGCGATTTGATGATATCCATCCAAAACTGTCGGGATAGTTGACCAAACTTCATGTGAAGGCTCGCGTCCATGGTCTGGCAGAGAATCCCAAGTCGAATCTCCTGCGTCAACGTGAGTTGCCCTAGTTGATCTCAGCCAGCGCAAACCCCGAGCAGCGAGTAAGAGGCACCTGTGGTGCTGATCGAGGGTCGCCCCAGGAATGCGGAATCGCTGATCCTTCGTCTTTGAGCGTTGGGTGGTGCGAGCGATGTGGATACTATAACAAAGGCTCAGTACCGGTGGACATACGATGCTGAGGAGCTGACCTCCCCCGTGCGTGAATGAGGATCGTCTCTTCAAAGGTGAGGCACTGGAGAGAAACTGTAAGCAAGCAAGGAGAACCGCTTAGTGGCCCACCACTGAGTAGCCTCGTAGACAACTTCCAGCACACGACGCTCTCCCTGTTGCTCGGCGAGTATATCCGACTTTGCAGTTGGAGTAGGAACAGAGGGTAAACTACATCGCAGGATAGTCAGTTGCAGGGTGTACGGTATATTCTGACCAAACAATTGACATTTCGGCGTGGAAAACAAGAATGTCGAGAATAGGCTGGATGAGTGTTTTGATCCAAGACAAGGAGTCCTTTGGTGAGCTGTTGGCGGTAACTCCAACAGCGATAAGCAGCGCTGTGCTTCTAGTCATTCCGAGATGACTGGTATTCCCAATCCTGTCCCACAATGCAGACAAAATGCTGTCCTGCACAAAGCGGCTTCGAAGGCGCTGACGAGCAACGTCAATGTGGCAATAAATGGATCGAGAAGAAAAAGAAACAGACCGTCAATGCGCACTTACTCAGCACGTCATCCGGTAGCTGTTTCCACAGTTCATACACGACCCCGAACGACCAATACACCTCGCCTCGTTTTCGATATAAGAAGCGTTCCTGCACAGCGAGGGTCCGACCGAGAACGTCCCTACAAGCAACGGGCAAGACGCCCAAGTTCTCCACTTCGAGTGCGGCCAGATCGACAGTCCGGTCAAGTGCCTTCAGCCTCGTCTCAAGCGCGGATCTCTCTCGCGGACTTGGTGTCAGAGGGGAGCAGGAGAAGACTCGGTCTTGCCCGATTGAAGGATAGCGCGCAAGCAGCGGGGATCGACCTTGAGCTACCTGTGGTGAGCAGGGTAACCCATCAGACTCTCGTGCTGCGACGATGCCAGCTTTTGCGCAGCCGGAAGACTTTGCTGCTGCGATCGTAGGAGGGGAGTCGTTCTGCACGGTGCGCTGCACAAGTATGCCATCTAGGCGTGAAAAGAGGGAATTCGGCACTGCGGATGCAGACGAGGATGTTGAGGAAGGAAGCAATCTGTTGACGGAGAGCTCTTTCGGGGACTTGAATGGTCTTGAATGCGAGCCGCCATTAGCGGGAAGCCTTAGGACAGATCCAATAGCCTGCTTTACGCGATTCAGAAGCTTGGGTCTCTTTCGACTCGAACGCACGGTGTCACCCGCAGGCGCGACTGCAGCAAAGGGTGGGTTCGGAACAGTGTCTCGAGCGAAGGGCTTCGCGTTGCAGCGTAGCGGTGGATGCCTTTGAGATAGAAAGCGAGCAGCATTCAGAGTTTCCGGTAGTACGTTGGGCGGGGACGCTTGATGGGTGTCTTGAGCGACGGAGCCAACGCGACCGGTGCTTGGCGCAGACTTGATCGGTCCGAATGAGTAGCACTTGAGTTCCGCGTCGGATTCAGTTGGAATACAACGTTGAAAGGGGATTCTGTAGCCGTCTTGCTCGGTAGAAGGCGCGTTGGGGGTAGGCCTCCTGGATGGAAACAGTCGAGACGGCCATTGCGGCAGTGCCCGGATTGAGCGAGATGCTACCGTTGATAGGCCAAGATGTTCTGTATAGGGCGAGAAAAGCCTCGAGGGGATGGGGGCATGTTCGAAGTGGTCACGAGGAGCGCGATATGAGAAAACGTCGGGCGTGGCAGTCCCCAGCTTTTGAGGTAGAGGGCACTTCGGGCGATGGGGTGCCGGTGAAGCCGTTTGTGCAGCGAAAGAGCGGCTGGAAGTATTCGAAGGGAGATCAATAGAAGGCATTGTGCAGTCGATGCAGAAGGAGGGGAAAGCAAGAGCGAGCCAGTCTGATCAAGCCAAAATAGCGATGAGTGCGAGGCCTAGCCCCTTTTCCACCGAGTACGTTACTCGTTGCACGGCATACGCACACCAGATGCGACCGAGGGATTGCTGTTCGAGCACAGAGACGAAGCGTGCACAATTCCCATTAGGCGAGCTGATACCACACAGTTGAGAGACTGCAACAACAGCGACGTCAATTCCTGCTGCCGTTTGAGCTTACCTTACCACTGAAGAATTCTAACGCTCTAAGCAGGCCCATATCCCCCTCAGCTCCACCGAGCGCGAGACCGCGGGTTCTTGGGTCGAAGAACGAGGTTGCCGAGCACCGAGATGGTGGACACACGAATGTTGCCGTGCTTGAGTGTATGGTCTGGCGAGACGCACATGCTTGGGCGAAAACGCTCAAGGTTTACAGAGGCACCGAAAGACAAGGACAGCTTCAAGGCTGCGGTGTGGGTCCTGACAACATGATGTAGACTGTAGAGGCAATGGAAATGGAGCACAACGTCCCATGTCAATCACTGGATATTGTGATGCCCGGGCCCCGAGAGAAAACCAGGGTATAGAGTTCGATCCACGCCCAATCCCATCGTTCGTGGATTTTTCAATGCCCTCATCGACCTCGACAGTCGACCCCTGCCTTTCAAACAAGACTTCTACAGGTATGTGACTTTATGCCCCTCACTACAATTATGTTGATATACACAGTAGACAAGACTTGAACACACTTCTTCCGTTTTTCATCTCACGGAATCTTTGCCTCGGCGCCAACGACGCGACTAGCCCCACCAGCGATCTCGTGGCTGGGCTCAATCCACCTCGCCGTCGCTGCAATCCGGAAGTTTGACGGGACGACCGTATGTCTGAGCAGCGCGCATTCATCAGCCAACCGATGACAGCGAGAAACCGATCCGCACGCACTGGTAAAAGTCCTGAACCCCAGTCCCCTCCATTAGACACACATCGCCGTGCTTCAGCACAACGGAGAGACACGTGCGGACCCCCTTCGTCTTTGTCTTAGCGCCCGGGCCATCAAGCGTCTTGAGGTGCTCCGCATACCTGAGCGTGGGCTGAAAGTGCATCACCGCCGGCGCGCCTGTTGTAGGCGAGTCAATACGTGGAAGAAGTGAATGACGCGAGCGAGAGCGCACCCATCGACAACCCCGCGACGTTCGGCCCGAGCCCTTTTTCGCTATCGCTGTGGAATGCCATCTTCTGCCGCTCCATGTACCCCGCGCTCAGCACCTCGTTGAAGACAAAGTCCTGGTGGCCAAGAGCCTCACAACATCGACGCTGGATGAGGTCACGGGCGTGGATGACGCAGGGCGCAGTTTGGGCGAACGGCACTGTGTGGTCTGTTGCACCGACGTAGTGGTATCGTTCCCCGGCTAGAGGCGCATCAGTTATATCTAGTAATCGGCTGGGGCATACTTGCAGTTTTGCGAGAAGTAGTTCGTAAGGAGGGCTCCTCGCACTGCGCATCGTGAGCATGAATGTAGAGACATTTCCCGCCTCATACATACGCTTGTGCTAGCAATACATTGAGAACCAAGCCTAATCGAAGAAACAATACTCACATTTCTCAGCGGCCACCTTCTGAACGCCAACGCCCCACTCCCAGCCTGAGCCTGATACGCCTCGAATACCGTGTCCACCTCAGCAGCCGTCGCCTCCGCCGACCCGCGGATGACGTGGATCCGGCCCTTGTCGTACGGGAGGACAAACGTCTGGACGAACCCCGTGCCGGCAGTCCGACAGTCGTGGTGAAACGGCATCTTTTCGAGTACGCTGATGCCCGAGTCAGGACTGGCCACCCACTCTCGCGAGCCGCCAAGCAGCGCTGTCGACATTCCCGCAAACGAGGAAGCAGGGCGGATCGCAGTGACGATGCGCTGAGAGAACTATGTGTAGTTATCAGTTGTTTACTCATCTAGAATGGTGCAAATATGATGACACGTACGTTGCATGTCGGTGTCGGGCACTGATACACGTCCCATGCGGATCGGCACGAGACCCGCCCACAACTAAAGCAATGCCACCCGCGGCTGTCCTTGTACGATGTGCCGCTCGTCCCTCCGCTCGGCTGGCGAGGTAAGAGTGCAGTGACCATTTCCTTTGGAATGGGCGTCGAGTTCATCACAGTCTCCAGAAACTCCCTCCTGTACTCGATCTGCTCGCCGGGTTGCAGGGTCCAGAACGAGGAGCAGCCCTGGTTCAAGCAAACGTCAAGTGTATACACCCGTGGGGAGGTGCAGCGGCAGTGGGGACAAACTGCATAGAGACGAGGAGGTTGAATCGGTCTGTAGACTATTTCAGACCGAGATTGAACCAGCAGCATTACTTCACTTGCGGACCTCATGTCAGACAGAACACCATCGTATACCACACCGAACGGATCCACGCAGTCGACGCTTGCACTCGAAGTGGGGGGCGATGACATGTTCTGTGTCTTGGACTCGCCCGCAGGAGCGGGTCGTATAACTCGCCGTGAGACAGGCGTCTCGTCTCGTTCCATCATTTCGAATTGGCCGGTATGAGAAGGATCACCGATCGATAAACCAGATGCGTTACGGGAATATTGAATGGGACTGCGATATATCTCAGCGTGTCTCAGAACAACTATACTGATAAAAACATGCCAGAAGTCAGACATCTCGTGTAGTCGGACCATCATGTTATAGGGATCTGGACCGAAAGACGGCCCGGAGGGAACGCTTGAGAGTGATGGAACGGCCCGAATTGAGCTGGAGTGCACCTCAGACTGCGTGACCAGCCTCTGTGGCATTGCGGCTTGTTCGGCCATCCCGAACGATCTGAACTTGTAAGCCTTCCCGTCGAACGCCAGCTGATGATTAGGTCTGCAACTCATCAAGGCATGGCATAAGACCTCGGAAATCACATACTCTGAAAGATGGATGGTCGCCTGGTCTGCAAACTTAGCCCACGCTTGGGGTCTTTCAGTGGGACATGGCGCCTGATCTGGTCTGCGAATTTCATTCAGTGACCAAGCCTCATGAAACTTGGCCCACGCACTTCGACGCAACTTGTTCAGCTACAACGGGGAGCATCGCATGTGACAACCACCACGGCTCGCCCTGCCCCTCACACCACTCGAACGCAAACTTGTACCGCACCACGGCACGCGTCGCGCTGTCCTGCTGCTCGACTGTCCCGCTGTCAGCCGGATCCCACCGAACGAATGAATGAGCAAGCAGAGCAAAGCAGCACACACACCCCAATAGTGCACTACGCGGTAGAACCCCAGCGCGGCCATGTACACATCGCGCCCGGCGAGATCGAGCGGAAAGTGCGCGTACTTGTCGTCGACGAACAGCACAAGCGGGTTCTGCTGCTCGTAGGCGCCGATGAGCGCACGCACAGATGCGTCCGTGCGTGTCTGATCGGTATCGCACTTGCCGCCGCCGTGCGAGATGATGAGCTTGCCGGAGCGCTCGAATGTGTCCCGTCTGATGGTGTGCTTAAGCTCACGGTCCCCGCCAGGGAGAGGGAAACACGCACCTGGCGCTGAACGCACTGAGAAAATAGCCCTTCACGACACCGTCCTTGTGATAGACTCCGCCCTGGTACGACCGGAACCACCGCGACGACTCGCACATCTCTTGCCGCGAGGCCGACCACATTGGTGGGAAGTCATTCAAGGGCTGTTTTGGCTTCAGTGGTGGATCGATCCGAGACAGTACTTCCGATGGATACTGGGATACGGGCCGAGGTCGGTCAGATTTGTCCTTTCCTGAAACTTCTGGCATTGGAATCGGGTTTGTCTGGATGACAGGGGTGGATATTCTAAATGGACCGGGCGTCGTCTGAGGCGGTGAGATTGCATTACTCTGCTCGCAGGGCACAGGATGCACCACATCCTTAGTAGCCGATTTAGAATGTTTTGGTATCCGTGCCAATTTTGTGTACTGCGGCAAGCGGACGATCTTCACCGAACGCGTGTCGATCATTGTGGGGGTCTAAAGACATTAACGATCCGAAAGCTCGCATCAGAGACAACCGAACGCACGGGCTGGATGCCGACTGGTCTCGTTTTGACCTGGCCCGGGTTTTTGGGCAGTGGCTCTTTCAGATGTTGGCTCCTGGCGGTCTGATTGCTATTGAAACCATTGTTCGGCTTCTTCGCTGCTTTTGACGGCTTCGCTCTTGTATCCGAGGGCGGTCGTTTGCTCGATGCCAACGGAGGTCCCCGTACGATCCGAACGCCATGTGTGTTGATGCGTGTCTCCTCTATCTTCACCGTAGTCATGGGCGGAGTGTTGGTCCGGACTGTCGCGGACTTGCGTTTTCTCTGGGCTGCTGTAACTTGAGCTTCGTAGACCGGCGGGGCTTTCAAGACTGGCGGTCGTGCTCGTTTAGTCGGTGACTCGCCCGCCAGTCGGTCGTTGGCCGCACGTTTCTTGCTTTTTCTGAGTTGAGCGAGATGGTCTCGGCTATGGTCTGCGACAAATTCTACGACCTTGGCTTGACGTATTGCCTTCCATTCGTCCTAGACGGAGGGGTCAGGGCAAAGATGACTTGAGGCAGGGCTTCGCTACACACACCGATTCTCCCTTCGGCTCTTGCTTCACTTTCTTCCCCGAATCGTCCATAACAGCGGTCCCGTCCGCAGCCGAAGTCCGACTCCTTGTCAACGGCACAGCACCCAGATTCGCGTGGGAGTGTTTCCTTTTCTTTGCTGGGGTGGAGATAGTTTCCACGCTCTCAGGTAAGATTGGAGGGGGCGCGTCCTCAAAGGAAATCAGGGCCGGATTCTGCACGGGTAGGGTAGGTCAAGAAAACACAAGACAGACACATGACGTAAACTGACCGGTAAGGGCTCCGACATCTCTGTGTATGAATCTTCGACTGGGGCGCACCCCACAGGACCTGGATTCGCGTCCGAATGAATAGAGAGCGTTGAATTCGACGCTGACGGGAAGACAAAAGTAGAGGGCAACGTTGGTGCCTCGATGGCCATGCGAAGCTGCACAGCGGGGTCTCCATCTTCTGCACAGTTGACTGGGGTATTCAGATCGAGATACTGGTAAATATCGTTCTCCTCGTCGATGGATGACATGTCGCTCAATGGGACATCGTCTTCGAGACCTGTCGTCGTGGTAGAGATGCGTAGCTTCTTCGGGCGACTGGGCACTGGATGTCTTCGATGTGTCGGAAGTGAGCATTTGTATCCCTCGAGGTAGAACTCGTGCAAGATGGCCTGTGCGGCATCCTACTTGTGGTTAGTACATGTCTCATAACATTGCGTTTGCACCGACATCCTCGCGGCGGTACAAACACCACTGATAGTCAGCGAAACATTCGACCAGGGCCCGACTAATCCGTCCAGAGTGTTCCAAGGTGACCATAGCGTCGGAGCACAGGGAGGGGCGCGTTCGTTCAAATGTCATGGCGCCAAACGAAAGGTCGCGCCATCGCTCGATGGATTTGCGCTTTCGACGATCACCGGCGGCTCGTCAGAGAGCCCTGTACGAAGGAGAGCGGCGAACAAACACACCGCGTCCCCGCTTCGGTCCTTCTCGATCCAAGTCTCTACTGCTTGCACCACTTTGAGCTTCCGCTCCCCGTCCAGACCTAGTGTTCGCGGGTTGTCTTGCGGTGTGTTACTGTCCCAATTTCTTCCAGGCCTGCGATTGCCTCTTGCCGATGCGCACTCAAATGCTCGGAACAGGTCTCTTAGTGGCGGAACGTCCAAGAAACACCGATCCTCATGGCTGCTGGGCAGCGGTGCCATGCGAGACATCGTGCGTCCGCCTGCGTTTGCACTGCTTGAGCGGACGTAAATGTGGGTGACAAGCTGGCACTGGAAGAGCGGGAGCTTGACGATATGTAAAGAACCCTGGATATCGGTTGACGTACATGATGGGCGTCAAAAATCAAGATGGAAGTCCAGATTATGTAGATGATTTCCTGTCATAGTGGACGCGCATCACAGTACTCTGTCGGTAGATCAACGGGTGCTGGGACTGCGTTGATAAGGACACAGTATGTACTATAGGGACATCTATCTACAGTCATTGTATCTGGTGTTTTATAAACGTTCCTTGAGTACTATTTTGCCAAATATACATACACATGTATTGAATCTGTCATTGACCTAGGCAGTGAGGGAGAGGAAGTTCAAATATTTTCAACATTCACGAGGTAAAAGCGAAGGCAGTAGCTGACTTGAGAAATCATAATAAGCATATGCCTGGGCAGCATTGCATGGATCGATTTCAGCAGGAGCATAGATAGATGCCGAATCAGATGGGGGTTGGAAAAAGTACAGCGGGTCTTCGGGAAGCTCCGTAGATTGGGTATCCCCAGCAAGACTGGCCTGGACTTGGCGAAATTTGTCGGAGAGAGGAGATAAGTCGAGTTCGGGATGCGGCACGATGTAGTTGGATCCCCCTACGGAGACCTTGCCAGGCTCGAGTTCCATCCTGTGATTCCCAGCGTTTTCGTAGTAAACGCATGCGGTCTCTCTGGGCATCTCCTCAACCGACCCCGGACGGACAGTGCAGTCCTGCAATTTTGGGCGCGGGTACGAGTCGTCCGGAAGACACCGCAGATCCAGCCAATCCGACTCGTCGTATCTCGAATCGTTCAGGGCGGGAGGGACTTCCGGGACAAAGACATATCGGGGTTGGCAGTGTCTCCACGCGCGCTGGAAAGCAAGTCGGTAGGCCAATTTGTCCCTCGATGGTGTAGTAGGATCGGTGTTCGGTCCAGGACTCGGGCTGGGATCAGGAAAGGCCGCGGCGGAACTCGAATATGCGGAGGTGGGCGGGGGTGCATCTGTAGACGTATGTATTCGATAACTGGCTCAACACCCGAAGTTGAGCCTGGTCACGCCCAAACCAGGCAGTTATAGCACGCACTGGACGCGGAGATTATCGGATCGAGCTGTCGCGACGTTGCATTGTGGGAACGAGCACTTGAACTTTTTTTCCTTGGTGTGCACCGTGGTGTGCCGCATGAGGTGACTGCTCGAGAGAAATCGGGCGTCGCAGGTCGAACACACGTGTTTTCTTTCGCAGGCTTTTTTTGCTTCGTCGGGGCGGCGCGTCTGGAAGTGAGTCAGTGATATGTTGTTTTCCATTCTGCAAACAATCATGCCATGGGCGCAGAAAAATGGGAGGAAGATGTAAGAGGCGAGACCAGGAAAGAACCCTCAGGTTACTCATCGACCTTAAACTCAATCATAGAAGCCTCGGCGGCTTATCCAGAGCCACTGACAGAAGATCCGTGGCCAGTTTTGCATGGAAAAACATCGTCCATGTATGGAAAGAAATGGAAATCATCCGTGCTCCGTCGGGGAGCCGAATCAGGGTCGCTCCCGAGGGTTTTCGGCATGTTGGGCTCCCGTGGACGGTGAGAGAAGCCAATTGCGTAAAAGGATTCTGATGCGGTGGCGGATGGTTGAAACGTGAAAGTGACAAGCCCCAACAGAACTTGGAAACTGGAAAGTCTCTGGAAGATGCAGGGACGATGTGAACACCGGAAAGGAATCCGCTTCAGTTATTTCACTCTCTTGAATATACGTGCAAAATATGCGGATATCTCATGTCCCGAAAAAGATCGGAATTATTGTGGCTGTGAGCATCATACCTGAATAACAGACGTAAACAGCATTTAGTGATCTTCAGTGCATTGTCATTAGCCACTTGATTCTCGCCAACTTCTCGCCACTCCATAACGTCAAACTTCCAATGCCGTCGCACTCACAAACACCTCCTTTTCAAGTCTTCGCTTCCGAAATCATCGATGTCGATGCCCTCGATGAAGACGACGTTCTACGCCCATCACGCAGGCCTCGCGGCTCGGAGCCAGCTGAGATCATAGAACTGCTCGACAGTGACGATGAACGACCTCAAATCAACATTGTATCGGGCAGTGTTGTTTCTGTCACTGGTAAACCTCCCCTTTGCATGATCTGCTCTTTATCGACACAGCCTTTTAGCACGCGGTTTCCACACAGTAGTGGCAGAAAGCTCAAGAAGTGGTGCGCGCTTTGTCGTGATTTCTCTCTTCCGACCGCGTCCTAACCATCAACAAGGACAACCACGCGCTTCTTCAGTCCGTGGCACACGCCGGAGGCAGCGCGAAGCCTCTCCGCCGACAGCGCAATACCCCGCACGCCGTGCAGATTCAATCGCCCCCTGGAATATCATGGAACCCCCAGATTATCACCGCCAAGCGGATGGCACCGCCCCGGGCATCCTTCAACGCCTGGCCGGCTTCAACCCTCTGCGCTGGGCCGTGGATTTTGGATTCGGGCCACCGCCCGCGGCAGCGCAGCCGCTGCCGACGTTCGCGCGCGCACACGACGACACGCTCTTGCTAGAACGGCTTCTTCCTCGCGGCCTCTGGCCGGATCACGGGATCCAGCGCTTACCCATCGTGCCGCGCGCGGAGGAAGTAAAGTACAAAACCGAGTGGACGCATCCCGCGCGTCTCGAGGACGGGTTCGTCGGCGACTTTGCGCCGGTGGAAACCATCGATATAGTTGACGAGGGTGAAGCGAACGAAACGAGTACGGCACTGGCATGTGCGCGATGCTCCGATCCGCTTCTTCTGGGGTCAAATGATAACAGCCTTACCCCCGACGAGGTCCGCAGGCGACGCGTGTGGGGACTTCGATGCGGGCATGTAATCGACGGCAAGTGCCTTGAAGAATTGTATAAGCCGCTGGAAGAAGAGGAAGCACCCGTTCCCCCCAGCAAACGCAAGGGAAAGGGCAAAGCACGGGCTCGGGATCGCATGGAGGAAGTCGATCCGACGGATGTAGAGGATGACGCTTCCGGTCTCCTCCCTGCTCCTATTTCCACACGACTGCGCTCTCGTGCGATGCTCGGTGTCGCAGAGAGGTCCACTCATACGATATCACGAGTACCAGCTTTCCGGCCCAAACCCAAAACGAAGTCCAAGGGAAGGCGTGCTCGGAAACCAGTTGTTGAAGCTCAGCACGACTGGGCTTGTCCCGTTCTTGGCTGTGCACGGGGACACCGCAGCGATAAGATCAATGGGGAGTGGGTGAATCCCCCGGAGATGGGTGCGATTGCTATGTTCGTCTGAGCCGGCTCCGTTCTCGTTTGGATCTACACTGTCTTGTATTCATCAGACTACAAGCGGACGCAGACGCGGTCGCGGGCTTTCACGGTCTCTTACGTACCATCTACAGTTAGGCACGGATTACAAATATGCGTTGCTTCTAAACTGGCCTCTCCTCTTGCCTTACTACGCCCATCGACCGGTCCTCAGCGATCTTGTCTAATCTCCCTCGCAAGCTCTCCGCGCTGGACCCCTCCTTACGGAAGACCAAGCACTATTTCTCAGGTCCCTCGTGTCCTCCAGTGTCACCAAATCGCGTCCCCTCTTCCGGATATGCTTCATCGTGCAATGCCCGCGAAGTCCTGCGTCGGACGCGTAACTCAACCGCTGTGCTTCTGACCTGGCTTCGTGCGCTGTTTCGGAGAGAACGTGCTCTTAAGGTTAGTACGGAACCTCAGGACTCATGTATAAAGAAGACGACGCGGACTCTCCCTTTCACCCACGGATAGCACCATGCGCAAGACCGCCCTGATCTTTCTCGCAGCAGCTGCGCAGGTGTGCGCTGGACTGACACTCACGACGCGCCAGGGAAGTCCTGCTACTCTGTACACGGGATGCAAGGACCCGCAAACTGTTGCCATGACCTTCGTTGAGTCGTTCGGACCCACCATTTTCCGACTGCACACTCACTCCCAGATGGTTAATAGGCTGATTCTCCGTATCTATACACGTGCGTATCCGTAGCTGCGCGCAGAGATGGTTCATTCACGATCAGACTAGGCGGAACATCAGCGACATCTTCACCAGCGCCGGCGGGCACTGCACGTTCCTCCTTAGTCAGTTTTCTTTCTCTCAACCTCATGTCGTCTTGCCTGTCTGAGAGCGCGACCTGTGTACAGACGGCGCGGACTACGCGTGCATCTACGGCGCCACACAGGTCAACAACCTCAAATACGCATTCGCGGCCGGCCACCAGCTCGCTTCCCTCACGTGGTCGCATCTGGATCTCACGACACTGTCTGCAAACGATCTGCGTACACAGGTATCCAAGCTCGATCGTGTGTCCGTTTGTTTCCTTGGTTGGCTCGCGCTGAGATCGCCACTCCAGTTGCGATGTCGCGCATCGTCGGTGCGATGCCGACGTGTTTGGTTCCGCGTAAGTTGTCTTTCTTTTCCTGCGCGAGCAAACGACTGAGCAAAAGCATACTAGCCTTTGGGAGCTTCAACGACACTGTCCTCGCAATCGTCGGCGAGACGAAGCCGGCAGTCGTCTTGTGGGACTACGAGTGAGTTCTTCCTTGTTTCACATTCTAAACGCTAAGCGGAGTCGCAGCGGGACGAATGGCTCTCCGTCGGATATCGAGGCGGGGTACGACTCCCAGGTCGCGTCCGCCATCACTAACATGCTTGCCCTAAACGAGGAAACTACACGTTCGTCCCCCTCCCTGTGCATCGCCAGGCGTTTGCTGACTGCCCCGGTTTAGCAACCACTGCGTAAGCCATCTGTACCACGCGATCTGATCGCCGTCTCACAGCAAGCAGCTCGCAAGTCATGCCGCACGTCGTCAACTCGTTTGTGCAGGCCGGGTACAAGCTGATCACCGTGGCCGAGTGCATCGGTGTGGACGCGTACTATAACAGGACCACGCCGACGAACAGGACGGTGAGTTGAAGTGGAGGCTTCTGTGGTAGATGCTGACCAGGACGCGCCCCAGGTCGACTGGCACTGTTGATTCGGATGGCTTTTTGTGTCAAGTCTCGATGGCAGGTGAAATTGGCATGTCTTGGAAAATGAGATTTTGGGTCTTCAGAATAGGTTGGCAATAAACGTTATAGCACAACATCTTGGAATGCGAAAGTGGTTCCGATTCTACAAGCTCGAAGCATTTTCTGTGACCGTTGTCTGATCATGAAGAACAGAAGTAGATCTTGAGAGTGGATTGAATATGATTCAAAACGTGTAAAGCGCGGGCAGAGATAGTATTGTCTGGGCTCGGCGTCGCATCGCCTCAATGGTCTAGTCGTATGATTCTTCCTTCGGGTCTGATAGTCCGATCTGCTGAAGGTCACAGTATGGAAGAGGTCCCGCGTTCAATTCGCGGTTGAGGCCGTGTTTTTTGCAGCCTTGGACTGCCCAGGGGTGTTCCTTGAAAGGACCAGGAGAACGAGCCTGAGGGCGTCAATTTATCAACCGAACAAGACTTCCTTTTGTGGAAAATACACCAGCCGATTGATCCCCCATCGATCGTCATTTTTAATCTTTCCGTGCAGGCCGCGATGTCTTCCCGCCCATTGCAGGTGTCTCTTACAACATTACGATGAGTCTCGGCACGTAAGATACGACTGCTGCCAAATCCGTGCTAAATACCTTTTTCGAATGCTCGATTTTTAGTCAATATTTCTGGCCGTCTGTCTCTTGACGGACGACTACCAGAACCGTTTTCGATATGAGCTTGAGAGTTCAAGAATTCCCGAGATTCATTAGAGATGTCTTACTGTCGAGATTCTGAAGCACTGATAGTTGGTTTGGACATTGCAATGTAAAAGTGATCAATCTGGTCTCATTCACGCATATATGCATACTGGCACTTCACTTCAGATAAGACTGATCGCTGCTCACAGCAAGAATTTACGCGGGAAACGAAATCGTGGATGAATCGGGCGGCGCCGGAATCCGTGTAGCGCAGCGCCTGGACTGAGTATCGAACGTCGGACCTTTTGCCGATGAATCATCCTCAGGCTTCTTCTGTCATCCAGCAGGCCAAAACTGGCCATGTAGTCCAGTCACTGATATCAACGACAACATAAGTGATAGATCAGTACCTCGTCGACTTCTCGTCGTTGTGGCTCGGAAGTAAACGGATGGCGGGCTCGCCGTACCCAAGCATGCTCTGAATTCCTTTCCACAGCCGTGTCAGCAGATAGGGTTCCGCCGCCGTTGTTGTTGTTGGGGCAAGCGCCAGTGCGTCGCGGCCGACAACGCCATAAACGTCTTCTCGCTTCTGGAAAGCAAGAGGGATCTGCTCACGGACGCTCCTAGCGTGGGTCAGTCGAAAGGCGGTATGTACAAGACCAAAGGACGCACTCGACCACAGCCAGATCAATCTCCGCAAGCACGAACTGAGACGGCATCGGCTTAGACGGATCAGCCGTCTCGTCGATAGAGGGCAGGCGGCCCAGCTCGCGGCCCCAGGGGTCGAACACAAGCGCCTGGCCCCACGAGGACCGTGCCGGCGTGTGCGCGCCGGCCTGGGCCGAGGCGACGACATACACCTGGTACGCGATCGCGATGGAGCGCACGAGCGTGTACCAGTGCGCACGCCCGGTAGGCAGCGTGAACGCCGCGGGAATCGCGATGATGTCCGCGCCCTTGCGCCGCAGGATGGTGTGCAGCTCCGGGAAGCGGATGTCGTAGCAGATCTCCATCCCCAGGCGCCCCAGCGCGCCCATGTCCACGGGCTCCGGGACCCTGTCGCCCGGGATCATGCGGTCGGACTCCCCCGCGCTCGCGGCCGACGACTCCTTGAGGTGCACGTCGAAGAGGTGCAACTGGCGGCGGAATATAGCTCAGCACACGATCAAGCGGGTGAAGGGTCGGCTACAGACCTTGCGGTAGAAGGCCTTGAGAGTGCCATCGGGAGAGATACAGACGTGGGTGTTGAACACGCGCTCGCTGCCCGGTGCCTCCCCGGCCATGTCCTCGGGCCCCGGACGTTCGTGGATCCCCACGCTGATGTAGATCCCGAGCTCCTTCGCGACCGCCTGCAGACCCAGCGCATACTTGTGAGAGGCGAGCGGCGCGGCAAGGAGGTATCCCTCGTGTGCGTTGTTGCTGATGTAGTCGGAGGCTTCGGGGAGGAAGAGCGCGGTCGCCCCTTGGGCGGCCGCGTCGCGGGCGAGCTGCACAGAGATGGCGAGGTTGTGTCCGACGTCGTTAGTGGAGCATATTTGGCCGCAGGCGATGAGGGGCATGGCGATACGAGGTCGGGGACTCTACGAGAAGAATAACGTCAAAGATAAGTACGTAGCAGCTGTGTCAGGACTAGCCAGAATCTGGCATACAGATATTCCGCGTCGGTCAGAAGGGATGAATAATCAGGGCGCTGGGTTGCCGTCAGCGCGGTGTTCCAGAAGAATCGCAATAGCTCGCAATGATAAGAGAGGATAAGCACCAACCTGACGTGAGTAAATAGCACTACGGCAGGAAGACGTGGGAAGCTATGGGCGTGGCGGTGCCAGGCAATCAATGATGGTAAGATCAGCTGACTGGAGCGACTACGACATGCTCCCAGAAGATGGTCCCAATCCTCAACCTCAAGGCGCGATAAATCCGCTCAGGCCAGAGTTTCAGAGGATTATCAAGTGGATATGATTCTGCGTAGTTGAGAGTGTTTCCATCCTTGGGTCGTCTCCGAGCCTTAGAACTATCTGATATGGCTCTCGAAGCAAGATTACATGTTATCCAGCGTTATCCTGTGTTATCTCGCGAAACTCTTCGCAAACAAGCGGCACCGAAGGCGCCACCCGAGTGAGGGGCTTCTTTGGGCGCTATCAAGATAGATGGCGACTCGTTCCCTGCACCCTGATGTGGGAATAGAAGCTGGCTTATAAGTAACGTGGATGGGTCTGGGGTTATCTCCTGAGACTCCTCCTCCGAATATCTCCTCTCCACCATGGCAGGCAGTGTATCTTTCTGGACGAAGGTCAGTTCGAGCTCACACCTTCTCCTTCAACTGGCTTGATTATCTCCCCCTTCTCACAGTTCAGATCTTACATCTGGGACTCGGACGATCACCTCAAGACCCCGGAGGAGCGCAAGTTTGTGCGGAAACTGGATTTCGGGATCCTCATCGTTGCCTGTCTTGGCTTCTTCTTCCGCTACCTCGAGTGCGTCAATTCCCACTTATATCCCCCCTTCGTCCGTACTTACGTTCTATCAGCCAGAGCAATCTCGCCAATGCTTGTGCGGCCCATACCTCCTCCTGCATTCAGTTACTCACGCTCGATCAGACATTTCGGGCATGAAGGAGGATCTGAACATCAATGGCAACCAGTACACCTAGTGCGTCTCTGTGTCTCGCATGTCTTGCCCATCTGACTGCTCCTTGCAGCATGGGCACCTGCTACACGGTTGCGGTACGCCTGTTAGTCCGTCGCCTGTTCGCTGCGTCTGAGGGTCGCACAGTACGCGGTCATGCAAATCCCATCAACGATGATCATTCAAAAGATTCGGCCATCTGTGCGTGCTATTGTGCAATAACGCAAGCGAAGATCCTGATCGCCTATTCAGTATTACCTGGCGTTTTGCGAGATTGGGTGGGGAGTCTGGACCTTTGCGCAGGCTGGAGCTCAAACCTACGTGCGTTCCCACTCCTGTTTCTTTTTGGCTTGGTCTTGACCTCTGCGATAGCAACAAATGTACGCTTTCCGCTTCATGGTGGGCATGTTCGAATCCGGCTTCTTCCCGTAAGTGATCGTGTCGTGTGCTCAAATCGATCAGTCAGCTGAACATTTGTCTAGCTGCATTCTGTACATCCTCGGCAGCTGGTAAACATCCCGAACCTTCCCATTTCCTAAACTCATCGCACGCAGGTACACAAAGGCGGAACTGGCCAAGCGGGTCAGTAGTGTCCTTTCCTAGAGATATAATCCTCTGACCCAACCATCAGATTGCTATCTTTCATTTAACCGGCTCCGTTGGCACGGCTATGGGCGGATTCCTCCAAGCTGCTGTGTACAAGAACCTTGACGGCCATTTGGGAATCGCCGGATGGAGGTGCGCGTCCCATCATATTGGAACGACCAGAACTTCATTGAAATTATTGGCTCAGATGGCTGTACATCGTCTGCGGCTGCATGACTGTCCCTAGCGGCATCCTGCTCTTCTTCTTCCTGCCGGACGTCCCCGCCACCTCTCGTGCCTGGTACCTGACTGAGGAGGACAAGAAGTTCGCCATGGAGCGGGCGATCCGACACGGCAAGGGCCAGCCCACCGGGAAGATTGATCTCGCGTTGCTTAAGCGCGTCTTTGGCCGGTGGCGTGCGTGTCCGCTTTCGGACTTCTGTTATGAATGCTAAAAAAAGCCTTGGCTGCAGATTGGTACTGGTTCGTGCTCGGATATATCCTCTACGGCGAGTCGTGCGGTGCTACGGCGTACTTTGGTATCTGGCTCAGTGAGTTTTGGAACTCAGCCACATCTTAGAGGTTCTGACGATCAACAGAAGCCGAGAAATTCAGTGTTTACTACCGCAATGTCATTCCCAGTTGCGGAGCCCTGATTAACATTATTTCTATCTTCATGGTCCGTATCCTTGCTACTTTTGCTCCAAGTCTTCTCAACACATGAACAGTGGGGATTCCTCTCGGATCTGACTGGCAGTCGTTTCGCTTGGGTCTTCATACCATTAGTGTATGGTTTGCTGCCGAATGGGTAAGATACCTCTCCCACTTTCCGACCAGATCTTGATGATCTGCACCAGCATTCTCGCATTCTGGCCGGCATCTGTCAAGTTGAAGGTGTGTTATCTAGCCGCATCGATATGTTCATCAAACTGATCGCCATCAGGAATTTGCTTTCATATGGAGGCCGGGAATTATATGCTGATAAGCGGAGGACATATCACTGATACGCGAAAGTTTGCCGACATGGCATCAATGTCATGATGCGCTCTATGTCATGATGCGCTCTGTCTGGACCCCGAACGCTCGTTAACATGTATGAAAAAGGCCAAGTACATGCACTGTAGAGTAGCGATAGAGCGTAACTACTTACATGAGACTAGACAGTCCAAAAAACTTGCAGTAACCGGAGCATACATGCTGCTCAGGAAACTTCTCGAAGAACCTGCCTGAATTGCCACCACCAAACAGACCACGTTCGAGAGTCCTGATGATCCAGTCAGATATCAAGAGCACGCAGATTGACACAGCAGTGGACTGCGCACGGTGAAGTCATAACCTGCGGATCCGTCAAGAGATTTCCGGAGCCTTGGATAGAGTTAGTATGAAACAGTGAGCCAGATCGAATGAACCGGCCTTGAAGATCAGAAAGAAAGACCAAACGCCCGGTGTGTTCGTATTGGACATGTTGTGTAAAACAGAGGAACGATGCCAACAGCTTGAGATCTTCTGGAAGCGACGGAACGGGCACTGCACTATTGTTATTGATGTACTTCACAAACTTGCCTGAAATTCAGTGAGCAATATACTCGAGTCGTTGCAGAGAACAAACCCGTTCCAATTAATTCTTCAATGAGATATGATCGTCGGAGTGATGTCATCATTTTGCTCGACTTGCCATCTGCCGCCGCATTGTGAACCAGAGCAACGCCGGCCTCGACGAAGCGGACTTCAAAGATAGGGAGGTCGCCTGGTGGCGCGACATGCTTTGATATGTAGTTACGCACGAAAGAATAAACGAAACTGAGAAGGGTAGTGCCCCAGAATAGGAGATTTGCCTCCGATACATGGTGCGCATATTCATCGATGGGGTTGAAGCGGATCAAGACGGTATTCTTGTTGTTCTTGAACATGCGTTTCGCGGCAACGGCTTGATTTGGAAGCGCTCCGAGGGGTGTGGTCGGCAAAGTGGACAGCGTCAGAAACGCAGAATGAGCAGATTTGAACGAACCGATCCCCAGAGGCTTCTCCGAAGGCTGGAGCGACAGAGTACCGGCTTCCGCCTTCGCAATATCGCAGACAAATTTTTGTCCGCCATTTGCGAGGAGATTATTGAGATCGGAGGTCCCAGTGATACGGAAGAATTGGATTATCTCCGTTGTGTGCAAGGCTGCATAGAGATTAGATCTGAATACTTAAGTTTCATAGTAAGACGCACCTCTCGCAATGTTGGGAAAGGAGCCGCCTATACTGAGTGCCTTTCGAAGACGTTGCTGGTCAACCGGATGATAATCGTCGATTGGACTAGCAGCACGCTTTTTCGAAGTCGCTATCTTGCTACTGGATTCCTATTCCATGTATGTATCGAGTCAGCGACAAAACATGAGAAGGGTAAACGAACACACCTGAGACGAAATTTCTCTCGTGCCAGAGCTTGGAAGCGGCGACTCTGGCAGCGCTTGATCTGGCTGAGTAAAGTCCTGCAAGCTTGGCGCCGATCGAGAGGGTCGAACGGAGCTGAACGAACTGGCAGTGGCAGTCTGCTGGATAAATAATCAAACAGATACAAGAATCAAGATAGAAGCGCTCACCTTGCTCTTTGTTTTTGAGCGTGTCAAACACCCGTTACTCGGTTCCTTAGTAGTCTCCGCGGCCGACAGGACTGTCAATTTGAGGGCCGAAGGCTCAGGGGCACGCTGTACCATGTGCGAGCGTAGCGCAGATGAGACGGTATCGGCATTATCCTTTCAGAAAGTCAGTCGTGCCAAATACCGGAGAGTACTAGTATACGCACCTGAATAGAGAGTGTGTCCAGCTCCCGGGCATCACGGTAATTTTCATATCTGAGCCATTCTTTGGCGTCGATGACAAGTGCAAATTGAAAGGGCTTTCTCGGTCGCTGAAACACGAGTTGGCCCTTGTCGGCACGAGCCTTTGATGTCTTGAGGCAACGCTCATAGAGCACGCTGGATCCTGGGAGCTCCGCGTGGACATTGATCCACGTTTCAGTATCGCGTACTAAAAAATTAGACTCATCAAATACAAATTGAGAGTCAGTTTCCTGAGCGATGGCTTGACGAAGCTTGGGCGCCACGTTATCAAACACGGCTGTGATAATTTCGCTTGCGGTAATTGTTGCAGGGACATTCTTGCCCTCGTGAATCGTCTGGAAGCACAAATTCGTGACAAAAAATGATACACGTCACCGTAACATACCCCAAAGACTTGCCCAGTAGGTCGACCACGAGTCTCATAGCGGACACCAATGTTCAGGGTGATCCACTGCGGCGACATCCCAGTATACGCTGATTTGGTAAAAGCCCCGCGTGCCGCGGCATACTGAGAGTGAGCAGCAGAATAGCCTTGGCTTGAATATTGCCCCGGATTAATTGGTGCACTGGACGATCCGGAACTTGATATCGGTTGGTTTGGAAGCGAAACACGAGGACCTTAAGAATTCAGATATTAAATTTGAGCAGATCATGATGTACGTGCCTGTGGATCGCTGTGGGATCTCAAGGGGCGGTCCCATTAGACCCGATGGAATGGCCGCAATCCGGCCTCCACGAGATGCGTCTGCGAATGCTCAGTCAGAAGCAGGGTATAGAACAAAAATAACATACCTCCAACGCGTCCTTGGATGTTCCTCTGCCGGATAGATTCTTTCTCGCCTTCCAGATCGCCCCGGAACGTTGCTGCACAGATTGTGATTGATAAATTGCATCAGTTTTAGCATCTAAACGTACCTCGGACCGAGCTCGAGGCTTTCCTTGCGTAATGCGCATGGCAAGCTGCACACACAAGCCTGCCACCGGAGACAGCAGAAAGGTTCTCCACCCGGAAGCGAGGCTGACCGGGCAAGATCAGCAAGCCCTTTGTGAGATCAGAACGGTCGCGAGTGTAGCATCGGGCTCCAGTCTGGCACACAACGGGCTCCTGATCAGAACTATCATCGGTGAAGTTGGCAAAGAGGGTTGATCCAGACATGATCAGAGCACCAGTAGGCGACGATTAAGTCCCATTTTGTGAGACGCTTTTAAGGCCTTTGAGCGTCAGCAATTAGTAGTGGGTCGACAATCTCGGCTGTGTTGCCAGAGTGCTCCCCCAGGCTCGGTAAGACTGCCTCGGTCTCAGTAAATTTCACGGTGTGTCATGGATCCTCAGTTCTTAATCAACGTGTTTGGTGGAATGGATGTAGCGCCTTAAGCATGTGCCCGGCCGCACTAGGGCTCCGCCAATTACTGGGCTGTTAAACCCTTGAATTTTCCGCGGTGGTATGCAACGAGCACAGCAAGCGCTCAACATGTGCGATTTCAGTGTTGATGCTGATGTTGAATTTATTACTGCCGCCCTGCGTGTTCTCAAGCGAGGCCCTCGTTGAGAAACAACGACTCACCAAAGTACATGCCTGGGAAGTTGCACTACCGGACAAGGAGAATAATTATATCAATTGGGATCCGATCCGAAATGATATCTAGGTTTGTAAAAAGTCCTTCGGTTATCAACATTAACATTATCAACATGAGTTGAAAATAACTCCGATCAGCAACGTTTTTGTTTACCCTGACTTTCTAAGTACATGCATATGCCTTCCACTCCGTACTACCGCCGTACCCAGCTCGTTGATCGTGTTCTCAGATCGCCACTATAAAGTGAGTCCTGGCTTATTCGCACTCCAACAGAAGCTCCTCCTCGGTTCTTTTGTGCCACCAGCGGTCTCATAACTCTCTGAATGCCCAATCAGTACAAGCCCGTTCGTACGTGTTACACTTCCAACTGTTTCACCTTGCCCTTGCTCTGGAACGTTCACAGCTAATGCTGAAGACCTCCGTCCTTTCATCGAGAAGTACTGGAAGCAGAACAAGAAGGATGTCGAGATCGTCGAGCTGCTCAAGAAGTATCACATCGATCTCAACAAATACGGCCTCGAGTGCGTGTATATTTGTGTCTTCATTGTGCAGGCTACTAACCGCTCTCAATTAGAGTTCAAACATTTAGAAAAATTCGCGAGAAGCTTGGTTTCATACGCACGCGGCGTCAAGGCCACACCGTGGACACAATTGGGGTATTTATTGTCAAACTCCGTCCGATCTATCCCAAGGCTGGCGGACGGGAGATGGTTAGCTTGCTATTACACGAGGAGAATGTGCGCGTGTCCCGGTGTGTGATCCCTCCAATTGTGTTCTCATACGCTCACATAGGTATGTTTCTAGCGAGACTGTAATGCGCTATTTTCACACTCATGAGCCCGATCTTGTTCGTGAGCGCCGACGTGGACACTTCAAGCGCAAGCAGTTCTGGGCAGCGGGTGCCAACGATATATGGGCTGTAGATCAGCACGACAAATGGAAGTATAAATTCGGTTTAGCGCTACACACTGGGATTGACCCATTTCTCGGCATGATTCATTGGTTGAAGATTTGGTGGAACAACAGCAATCCCCGCCTTATATTCAGCTATTATCTGGAAACCGTGGAACGGCTTGGGGGTATGTGCAGTATTGATCTCTTCGGACTTATATTCACGACGTTTTTATCGCAGTCATCCCACTTGTGACCCAGAGCGATCCTGGGTCAGAGAACGTGGGGATTGCGAATGGACACACACAGCTGCGTCACTATCAGGACCCCTCACTTATCGGCACCTCTCAGCACCGTTGGATGCGAAAGAAGAAGAACATCATGCCGGAAATCACATGGAGTCAGATGCGGCGTCGATTCACTCCTGGCTTTGAAGACATCCTCGACGTTGGTGTAAACGAGGGCTGGTACAATCCGGGAGTTCTACTCGAAGCGTGTGTATCTTCCTTACTTTCAAAGCGATCTTCGACTTCTGAATCACAGCGCAGCTTAGTCTTCCGTTGGGTATTCATCCCGTGGCTTCAGGGCGAGCTCGAGCTGTATCGGCATCGCGTGAACAATACCGCAAAGCGCTGTGATCGTAACAAGATCCTTCCTCACGGTGTTCCGACTAGCATGTTTGAGTTCCCAGAGGATTACGCCATCCTCGATTTCAAGGTACGAGTCCAATTTCATCAAGTACAAGCCACTAACTACTAGTCCCTTACAGATCAAGGTCGATCCTATCGGTATTGAAAAAGTCCGACAGATGTACGCACCACCTGATCATGACGTCTTTCTCCTTGTTCCCCCTGACTTCGAGATCGCGATCTTGGATATCTATGCAAAGCTTAATAGCCCTATTGTGGACCGGGACTCATGTTGGGATGTATATCTCCAGCTCCTGAATTGCCTCAAGGAGTTGGATCAGCTCAACGATATCGATCAGAGTGCCGATGCAAGGTGGGGGCATGTGCTGACCCAGCCGGTCGATGAAAACATTCCCCTTCTCCCAAACTTGCAGGAACTGCGGGGCGGTGAGGGGGTCGTCGGAGAGGGTGCTTATTATATGGGTGGAGTCAACAATGGGGATGGTCTCGGTATGTTCCATTACTTGGGAACCTTACTGTTCACTGACTCGTCTCCTTTTGGAGGTCCTGAACATCACGCATGTCTGAACGCAATGATCAACGATATCGAGCCCGAAGTGGATCCCATGCCCAACTCCCAGTTACCGGATGACGCTCACGCATTGTACGCATGGTTCTCGGACGAAGAAGACTCTCAGGATTTCAATGATCATTGGTAGTACATACATGCTGACGAGCAGTGATGCGCCCTAGCCCTGAAATCAATCGATCACGTGCACGAAAAGATCCAATGGATTTGTCAGCGAGCTCGTCAAGGTTGTTGCACGTGATCATTTGATCAATCTATCACGTGCACTGAAAGATCTCAATGGATTTGTCAGCGAGCTCATCAAGGTTGTTGCACGTGATCATTCTGATCATCACTAACGAGCGTTCGGGGTCCAGACAGAGCGCATCATGACATAGAGCGCATCATGACATTGATGCCATGTCGGCAAACTTTCGCGTATCAGTGATATGTCCTCCGCTTATCAGCATATAATTCCCGGCCTCCATACTTTCATGACCGGTGGTGTCCAGCTGATGACGGCTGTATTCTATACCTGGGCGAACGAAGTCTGCAAAGAAGGTGCGTAGCTCTGCATCTCTTCTCCAGTGGCCGATGCTGACTGACTGGTGCAGATAACGAGGAGCGAGCACTCGTTATCTCGAGTATGGTATGTGCGCCTGTTCTATTTTACGTGCCGAGGCTTATTCGAGGCGATAGAACGGATTGCAATATGCGGTTGCAGCCTGGCTCCCGATCGTCATTTTCCCTCAGCAAGTGCCTTTTCTATCCTATTGATCACTTATCTTATATCCGTCTCAGACTTGAAGCCCCGACGTTCCGTGAGCATCAGCAAGTCGGATTAATCGCCGGCAAAGACTAACAGTACTTCTAGGAAAGGGTTTCCCAACCACATTTGGGCTTGTCATCGCTGCTCTTGTGGTTGTCGGTGCGTTCTTCTCTATTCCTGTCGTTGATTCCAGCTCATGTGCCTCCAGTAATCATCAAGCTTCTGGTTGACCGCGACGAGCGACGCGCACGGTCAAAGGGCGATATAGAGTCTCCCGAGAGAGACTCCGCATCTAGTGACCTGGATAAGAAGGATGCCGAGGATTTCGAGCCTGCTGTGGTGAAGGCGGCGGATCCTACTGACGGAGTCAGTGAGCTCAAACGCAACTAGGCGTGGAAGTGTACTGCAGAGACGATGACGACTACGACTGGATTGATGTAAAATTAGTTTTACCACGATAACGCCAATAAACGACTTGAAACTGAAGTATGCGTTCGCCGATATCAGCATGCTGGGCATGTTTATTAGCACGTGATCGTGTCCTAAACCTATTTCTTATTTACGCCTTGTTTGCTCTTGTACTTGGCAGCAAGCGATAAGTACTTACGGTAAGATATTTTATCCAATTTCTCTTTTCTCACTCGTGCCGTGATGGTTCTAACGTGAACCTGCTTCGCAATGCAGCCATCTACTGCGACATGGCCGATCAGTCTGCGACATTGAATGGCGACACGTCGCTCCCCGGCGCTGACACCCTCGAGCCACCCGCTGACCCTTCCTCGGTCGCGGCTGTGCCTGCACCTCCGCCTGAAGCCCCGGCTGCCGACCCTGCAACACCCGCAAAGAGACCGCGTGGCCGGCCGAAAGGGAGCAAGAACAAATCGACCCTCGCAGCGGGCACGGCGGATCCTGCGACGCCTGTGGTGAAGCGGCCGGTGGGTCGACCGCGGGGGAGCACGAAGAAAAGCGAGGCCGACGGGGTGAAGGTCAAGCGGCCCGTTGGACGGCCGCGGAAGGATGGGCTGCCGCCTGGGTCGGGGAGACTGAGTCTCGGGACGAGCGCAGCAGACGTAAGCGGGGTCGTATCTCTGCTCTTTGTGTCTCGATTGATGGGCCACGATGCACAGAAACAGCACACGCAGTGGTTCCCACTCCAAGGTGGGCCGATGGAGAGCCTGTCCGCGCCACCATCGACGACGACGCGGCCTATCGCATCCCACGCGTCCCTCGCGGCTGCCAGCAACGCAAACTGGTCAGAACTCGTTCGATCGCACCCGGAAGACTTTCTGCAGGCGTTAATCGCCGCGCTGGATCCCCCCGATCCCGGATCATCCACCGTGTCAATCGAGGACGCTTTCAAATCGCATCTAGGCTCGCTCGCGCCGCCGAGCTCTGCCTCGCCCACCAACGCGACGCCGACGCTGTACTCGATCCTGCGCACGTTCTGGCTGCCGACGTCGCCGAGCTACTTCTCGCTCACGGCGTCCGCGTCGTCGCGCATGCTCTCGCCGCACCGGTTCCTGTACTGGGACCCGCAGCCGCTCGTGTTCAATGGGCTGGCGTGTCCGACGTGCGCGGCTGCGCTGGTGAACCACGGCCGGATTCGATCGGGTCCGCTGGCCGTGCACGATCTGACGGGCCCGTTTTACATCATCGGGTGTTCGTATGTGTGTGCCAGCAACCATGTGTTCGCGAGCACGGACCCGTCGATCCGGCGTGTGCTGCCCCCGGCGCTGGCGGATGAGTTCCCGGCGCGATTGGGCGAGCAGGATGTGGGGGTCGGTGCTGATATATGGAACTGGACGAGCCGCGGCGTGAGTCGCGAGCTCTGGAACCTAGTGGTCAGTGCGCTGCGGTGTGGCATGAAGAAAAGCTTCATCCTTAGGATGGTAAGAGAGACCAGACGCGGCGTTAAAGACACAGAAGAAGAGGAAGAACAACATGATGCGCGGGGCCATCCAGCCGGTGCCGATCAAACGCTGCAGACTGGGCCTAGCCTTGCTGATGTGTGGTCCGCTGCGACGGCGCTCCGGCCTGAGCTGCGCAACAACCCCTACGCATCCCTGGCCGCCCCGGCGCTCGGCATTTCGTTCGTGGGACCGTCCTTCATCCCAGGATATCCGCAGCCTCCGCCTCCGCCGCCTCCGCCGCCGTTCCTGCCGAACCCGCAGGCCGCGGCGTCCCCGACCGCGGCAGAAGCCGACCCCGCAGCGGAGACGCGCAAACGTGCGCGAGAATCCGATACTGACGGCGGCGGACCCGCTGCTGTCAAAGTACGTCATCCCCGTCGGTGTGCGAAATGTGGCTCAGACCAGTGCAAAGGCAAGGGTGGATCCAAGTTCTGCCCCAGCCCCTGTGTAGACTGCGGCAAGTTTGCATGCAAGGGCCGCAACAGCCGACGGCCGGACCGCCCGTGCGATGAGGCTTGGGACGAGGTGTAGTGCAGGGTGGGTTTAGGGTTGCGTAAACGTCCGAATGTATTCCATGTACATATGTTACGTATGTGTGTTGTTGTGTGCTAGTTGTATTTAAACGAATCACGAGTTATCCTCGCAAGCCCAGGTGTCCTGTGTGGAAGCCGCGATGTGAGTAGTACGCTTGACACAGCCAGGGAAAGACGCACGTCTTTCGTTCCAAGACCAGTGGAGGACTCGTAAGCATCTATTCCGAGGCATTGGGCGACGGTCACGAGCTGATAGCCCTTGGCTTTGATCTGGTTTATCGCGTTCTGGACAAGGTAATGGCTGGACCAGATAAGGAACTGATAGTTCGCGCTGATTAGGCTGCCCGGACTCACGCGGTATTTTCTGTTGATCAATGAGCAGTTGAAAGCCGAGACAACGATCGCTCAGAAGAAGGGGATATACTCACTCATGGTCTCGTGGTTCAGCGCGATCATCGAGTCCGGATTGCCGGCGAGGAACTTGGCATAGTCTTTCTCGCTGTTCTGGTAGCTCTCTCCGACAGAGTCGCCCGAGCTGCATAGGGCGTAGCGCTATCAGTCGCCGACAACGGACTAGCACGCGCTGGAACCTACTCAAAGTTCCAGGTGACGATATAGTCCTTATCGTTCTGGGCCGCGACCTGTCGGACGCGGTCGTTAAAGTTTCCGTACGGCGGACGGAGAAAGCGGGTCTTGATTCCGAGAACTTTCTTCAGCGCGACTGCAGGAGATAACGGTCCGGGTGAGCAGAGGTGGACGACGTGCAGCACGCTCGGGGACCGCACCATCGAGTTCCTGGATCTCCTGCGCAACTAAACGAGATTTGGATGTAAGCGAGCGAACGATTGGGAGTGATCTGCGGGGACTTGCTCTGATCTGCACTGAGTGTGTTGAGATCTGGATGGGACCAGGTGTGGGACGCGATTTGGTGCCCGGCGCGGAAGGTGGATTGGATGCTGGTCACGATGTCGTCGTCATATATGCAACCATCTGGTAGCCTTAATCAATTTGAGAGTTGAGAATCCTGATAATCTCGCACAATTATTCCCGTCTAACGACGAGAGCATTTTAAAACATAAGCACAGTGAATGCATCGCGCACTCACTGACGAAAAAGGTCCCCGATACATTGTTGTCCCTGAGGAGGTTGCTGATACCCACCCTATCCCCCTGAGTGTCTCGATTTTACCAAGCGCATAGATCGCGACTCACTCGTACACCCACGGCCCGTCATCCTAGAGGCTGTATGATGCGGGCCCGCACAGAGCGGATCAGATCACGCACGAATGTCAGCGCAGCAAAGTTCTTTGTTGTGCAGCTGGTATAGACCGTGGCCATGCCGGCAGCAGCAGAGCTTGAGTTGTGCGGTGCGCCGGTAACCAAGGGTCCGCAGGACACTAGTGGGAGAAACGCGCCGACGAGGAGTATCAGGGCAAATCCGAGCATCTCGAATTGGTTTTGTGAAGGAGTTGCAGAGATGGATGGATGCATTCCTGGCCTCTCTCTGCTTCCTTTTGTATCCCGCACCTTGGAAAGAATGAACATCCAATTTCCTCCATGAGTTGGGTACCGCCACCCAAACGTCTTATCAAAAGCAGTGTATCCCCAAGTTGCACTGAAATGCCTCAGCAGCGGAAGGAAAATGGGCGAATCTTACCTGACGTTGTGTTGACTTTCGACAGGGCCGCCGATCAGCAGGCCCCGGAGGGACGTTGGGGGGCAATTCATGCAGACGGAACTTACGGCTTTGGTTGATCGGCTGTTGCACTGTTTGGACAGATTATGGCAAAGGATTCAACGTAGATCGGTTCATTCCACACGTCGTCGAGGCTGAACTAATAAGTTGAACACGGCATTCCCGATGCGGTAATATGTTCAAAATAGCACGTGGTACGGTATAATTGAATTGATGGATGATGTCATGACGGCACGGCCACCAAAACCCCCCAGACGCTTTTTAATTTGCGACATCCAAGTAGACACGACTGTCTCTGAGACTCGATGGACCAAGACCGCTGTTCGCGCGGTATGAGTAACCTGCAGGGCACGTCTCGCTGCAAACCGAATAATTAGCCTCGAAGCCTCGGAATATTGAGCACCGACGACTGCGCAGGCAGTCGACGTCTGCTGCAACGGTCCGCGTCTAACCATCTCTACGGATAGCAAACCGATGGTAATTTGTGTATTTGCCATCGATCTTGCTGTTCGACCCAATTTGACTCTCGCCTACACCGGCTAGACGCGCCTGAGCTGCTTTAATATGACTCACAGCGGTTGCTACAGAAGTGCATATCAATTATCGAACATCCTCAGCGATTCTATGAAGAAACCGACTAGCGAGGTCTCGACTCTTTCGGGAAGTCCCGATGCCTGTTCAGCTCGCTGCCTCTTGCTACTACTCCTGCTGCTGCTGCTGCTGCTCGAGGTTAACACTTCCGAGCTGTAACGCCACGAGACAGCTGCCATCCCAAAATCGCAGAGAGACCGCGATCCAGACCGGATTGCTGCTTTCGATTTTTGGTCGCTGGATCTACGAGATTCTCGCGCTGATTCGTGAGCGCGATACGCTCTGGGCCCAATGCAGCAAGTCGTCGCGGGCTGCCGGGGGGAGGCCCATGTGCGCACTCCGTCTTCCTCGTCCGTTTCTGGAGGAAGGTTATGGAGCGTCATGAATGAGGGATGGGATGTTCCATTGAACGTCGCGCAGGCAACGGTGGCGCCGAGAACGCGTCCAGTGTGGACCATGTTGTACTGGAGCAGCTACTAGCTTGGATTATGTAAATGATCCTCCGGACCAGGAACGTCGCTTTATTTAAGACCAGCACAAGCACCATGGAAAAGCACGCCAACTCGTCTGCCTTCGCTTTTCCTCGAGTGGGCTCCCTTCCCTTTCGCCTGAGCATTCGTTTTTGCCGCCCAGGCCGTTCGTTCCGTCTTCGAAATGTCTCCCAGGAGTTTGCGCAATAAGCTTTGGGCCGCAGCGGTCGCTGGTGCGGCCGCGCTATCGACATCCAACGCGTACTTCCTCTTCGCGATGAGTCCGTCGTTTCCATATCCGCCATCCCCGCCGCGTATTTGCTGAACGCGTCCACTAGACGATGTCATCACCATTGAGCGTCTCGACCCAATTGTCAGCCCAGGTGCGACGGGATTCTGCTCCGTGCCCCGGGCCGGACACTGATATGTTTTCTTTTCCGGCAGGACAAGTCGCTTCACACGTTCATACAGGTGCCCATTCCTCGCACAAATAGCGGGTCCTCGCGCGTTTTGCTGAATGGGCTCTTTCCGCCAGTGATGGGCGGGAGCAATTTCCGCGCGACGACTAACACGAGTTTCTTGCGGGCAAGCGAGTGTACGTCCTCGCCTATCAAGCAGGACAAGTCGAACTATGTAAGCCGTGCTTCGGAGCCCATTTTGCCTGTCATTCGCTGATCTGAAATTCATAGTGGGCACCAGTGCGTTCCTTTTCCATTAAATTGGAGTTTCGGCTCAAGCGTCCTCCAAACGCAGACTCTCTACTTCCAGTTCGTCTTCGAGCAGTGCTTGGGGTTGTTGTCGTATTGATCCATCTGCAGCTGGGCGAACGGCTCATTCAGCAGTGTGACGGGCAACCCAGTCATGTACGGCTGTGTTTTCATATCTTCCTGTCGAGACTTTTTCGCTGACTCATCATCGCAGCTGTAAGCCTATCCCTCCCGTCCAAGCTTTTCCCGTCTGAAAAGCGTCGCCGCAGATTACCTTTTCTCCGACACACCTGGAGCGACGACGCCCTTTCCCGATGACGTGAGCCCCTCCCTACCCCTCTTCCATTATGATTCTGACTGGCCACCGGCGATGCTTCTCAGTTCCGTATGATCAGTGGAAATCCCACGCTGCGCTCTTACAACGGGAGTGACTACGCGCAGCAGGCCATCACGTTCCTCTGCCTCGATTTCAGCGGGGTGAGCACCCGGTTCAACCAGATTCCGGCGCAGGGATGCCCGTCCGGAATGCGCGCCCAGATCGTACGTCATCCATCCTTCCGATTCTTTTCGCTTTGTCGTGTGCTGACGATGTTGGCGGCAGAACTTCCCGATGTATGCTGCAGATGTTCTCTTCTCTGCTACTGGTACTGAGAGCATGACAGGTGCTGGGATGGCAAGAACGCGGACTCGCCGGACCACAAGTCGCACGTCGCATTCCCGTCTGGGGGTGCTGACTCTGGCGCATGCACAGATCCCAAGTACCCCAAAACACTCCCTCGAATCTTCATGGAGGTGCGCGCCGACTCGGCTCGGGGTGTAAGCAACCCTGATCTCTATTATGATAGATGTACCTCGACACGGCGTCCTGGTGGAATCTGCGCGGCCAGGCTATGAACCCCAACCAGCCGTTTGTGTATTCGATGGGCGATCCAACTGGCTTTGGATATCACGCCGGTGAGCGGGCTGAACATCCGTCTCCGGTTGGACGGGCTGAAGGCAACTGCAGATTTCATGATGGGCTGGGATGCCAATGTGCTTCAAGGTGTAGTGGACAGGTGCAACTGCAATCCGTACGGCGACCCGACGTGAGTTGTCATCTTATCCACTGAGGAAAAACCCACTCATGATCTCCGCAGCTGCTGCTCCAATGCCGGCGTCTTCACCTTCGAGCAGGGTGGAACCTGTCGCATCACTCAGAGTGTGGACGAAGTCACGACGGGAACCATCAAAACCCTCCCGGGTAACAACCCCGTCGTCGGGTTTGGAGCAAACGCGCCGACACTGTCCGGGCCTGCTCCGCCGTTCATCCAGCCTGTCTACGCGTACACCGGCGACAGTCCCACGCAGACCGGGACGCCGGTGGGCGGGCAAGCGGTCGCTCAGACTTCGGCGCCAGGCTCGGCCGGCGACGCGCCTGTTGCTGTTCCGAGTGCGCCGGCGGTCATCGCCCCTGCGTTCGGAAACCATCGGGCACGAAAGCTGGGCCGTTCGCCCGGCATCCAGTTTTACGACGCCCATTCGAGCTTCTGAGCCTTTGTATTGAATAACCTTGCACAGATGCTCTAAATTCTGTCGCCGCCCAGCGCGGCCGTTTCGACGCTCTGTACTTAGACTTGTCGCCTTTTCTCTCGCTCACATCCTGCATTGATTGCAGAACGCCTCCAATCCTTTTTGTATCCTCCCTTTGTAAATCGTAGTCACAATGCAACGTCTGTCGTCTTTGCAGCTCCGATAGTGGCGGTTCGCATGCCAGCTTGATCAGTCACGTCATCAAACAGGACATTAGGCCTGCCGCTCGTTTGCATAAACTCCCACATCGTGCCTCGCTTCCCCAATTCCGCGCCCAATTTTAGTGCACAAGAACCCATCGGATGGCGTCCAGAGCGGCTCGGGGCAACTTGAGACCGAAAGGAAGACCCCAAAGCAGGAGCTGCCGCACCGTGCCGTGCGCTGAGCAGTCGTTCTCTCAGTCAGCCAAGGCGCAGTCCGCTCTACACCCCATTCGCTGCTTGTCTCCCCGCGTGTTTCAGCGCCATGCTTCGCCGCTGGAAGCCTTAGGTGGAGCGACGTGCACTCAGGGCCCTCGCGGCATTAGTATCGGCATGGGGGGAGAGGATCTGGAGATGCAGCTCGGTGCAGTGGGATAAATAGGGAGGGTGTTCAGCGAGGAGGACAGTGCACTTCACTTCTCTCTTGTGCCCCCTCTCCTGCGAATTCTAGCCCCTGCAATGCTCGCTAAGGTTCTGGTCCTTCTGCTGGGTCTCAGCGCCGTCTCTGTCGACGCAAACAGTACGCCCAAGGTCCGCGTCGTGACCAGCTGCACGGTCAAAAACGCCGTTGCGATGACCTTCGTGCGTGCTTAGTGGCTCGATCGGGTGGGGCGGCCGAGAAACTGACGTGTATCCCACAGGACGACGGGCCGTACCAGTGGATGTGAGCTTCGGACGATTAGCTCGCGCGTTGTGCTCCAACTCTATCTCAGGCCGCTAATCAGCAACATGCTCACCCAGAAGGGTGCGAAGGGTACCTTTTTCGTCAGTGAGTGCAGTTCTCGAACCTTAGCTGCGCAAGCTCAGATCCTGTAGATGGGAACAACTGTGAGGATGAAAGTCACTTCCATGAGGGTGCCTCGATGAATCTTCTTTCGCGCAGACGACTGCATTTACGCTCGTACTGTTTCGTCGTATCTGCAGCAGACGTATCTTGCCGGCCACCAGATCGCTGCGCACACTTGGTCCCACCCTGATCTTACGACTCTCAGCGTTGCCAGCAGTGCGTGTTCTCGACTTTCTGCATTTGGCTATCAGGCACTCATATTTGAGACAGTTACCAAGCAGCTGAACAAAATCGACGGTAGGTCTATCCGCCTCATGAGGGTTAGATTCTGATTACTCTCTTCGAAGATGCGCTTTTCAGAGTCTTGGGCATCAACACCACGTTCTTCCGCCCTCGTGAGTGCAGGGTAATCCATATCTCAGTGTGCCGCTGCTGATATCCGCCATTCAGCGTACGGGAGCTACAACACGCGTGTCCGCGAAGTGGCCTATGTCCTGAATAAGACGATGATAACTTGGGATTTCGAGTGTGTCTTCGCCCCTGAGACCTTCGCGACCGCTCTAACGGTGTCTCAGCTCAGAAGACTCCCTGAATGCGACTGTTCCTCAGAGCCAGCAGTACTACACCGATCTCATCCAAAGCCGTCCTGACTCGGTGATTGCGCTGAACCACGAAACCGAAGGTGATTGGCTTCCACCTCTGGAGCGAGTGGCTTGCTGATTGTCGCTTGTGCTCAGAAACGACTGCGTGCGTGTCGATTCGCTTGGATGATGCCTACAACTGATTTGTCGCCCTCCAGTAAGCAACTCGCGACCTGGGCGGTCGACGCCTTCCAGGCTGCCGGATATAACCTAGTCACTGTGGCCGAGTGTCTGGATATGGATCCCTATACGCACGTCGGTGATCTGGGCGTTCGTGATGTGAGTGAAGGTCTTCCTTCTCACGGACGATGCTGATTCTGGACTACAGAGTGAGACTTGGACCTGCTAGTCGAGTAGCCAGCTAGATGGCGTAGAGCTATGCATTGTTGTAGTTGCTGCCCGAACAAGAGCGCCTCCATAGAATGTGGGCATGTTGATGCATTCAAAGTATCTTTCTGCTCCGGACAATCATGTTCAGACAAGTAAAGAGTGCCCCTGGCTCGCACCATTCGCGTTGTCCTCATACATACTTGACTCGTTGCCGAGGTCTTCAGCCATGCCAGACTCCCATACTGCTTGCCGTCCTATCTTGCCCCTTTGGTCAAGCCCGCGGCAGCCATCGTCCAGACTGTCCAGAAGCTTTCAAGACGTACAAGCCTGCTCAGGGTCCGCTTCTCCGGTGGAAGCGTAGCGGCAGTTGGGCGGCAGCCTGCAGGCCCTATCTCACATGGCGCGTATAAGACTGAGGTGGTCTAAGACCAGGCAGCGCGCAACGCACCCCCATGCACTTGATCGTCGTCCTGTCCTTCCTCGCGAGCGCTTTCGTCGACGCCGGCGCGGCGCTCACTCTGCATTCGCGCGCGGGCAGTGCTGCGACGGTGTACACTGGATGTAAAGACCCCAAAACCGTCGCGGTGACCTTCGTGCGTGGCTCCGACAGTATCGTGTGCCCCTGGTCGAACCACTGACATGAGACTCGCTCGCAGGACGACGGGCCGTATCAGTGGACGTGCGTGGCTACGAATCGCTTCGAAGCGTGGTCAATGAGTCTGACGCGTCTGCAGAAAGACGATCAGCGACATTTTCACCAACGCCGGTGGACATTGCACGTTTTTCATGAGTGAGTGAGATTCATCACTCTGGTATTCCATACAGTTGGACTGACGGACTATGGGGTACAGACGGGAACAACTGTGCGACTCCCCTCCGTCTTGAGCTTACTAGCGGATGACCGTGGCCTCAGGGGACTGCATCTACGACAGCCCACAAGTCGCGTCGGTCAAATACGTCTACAGCAAAGGACACCAGATCGGCTCGCACACCTGGTCGCATCCCGATCTTACCACACTGTCCGCGTCGCAGATACGACTCGAGATCTCGAAAGTGGATGGTACGTCGGACATTTGATCCGTCTGCTACAGTACGTGCGTATGAGATGGATGACCCCTGGTGGAACACAGATGCGCTACAGAACATCATCGGTGCCAAGCCGACTTGCTTCCGGCCTCGTGAGTCGATATCAGACTGCCACCGTCATCGGACGCGTTTTGACGTCGGTTCCAAGCGTATGGGTATTACAACGACCTTGTGCGCTCTGTCGCCGGCGAAACGGGGAAGCACATCATCATCTGGGACTTTGAGTGCGTCTTCCCCTCATGTATCGATCTTTGTGGGCTGAGACGTGGGCCGCTTCCAGTTCGGGCGACTCGACTGGGTCTTCGGCTACTGCCAGCGAAAAGGCGTACGATAACCAAATTGCCAAACACGTGAACAACTTCCTGGCGCTGAACCACGAGACAGAGGGTCAGTCTGCAATGCTATCGTAAACTGGGGACATCTCTGACGCTGTTATGATTCCAGCACCGACTGTGTGAGTGTGTCCGTGCCTGGAAATCACTTGCCCTTCAAAGACTGAGATGGACTTGCTCAGTAACCAGGTCATGCCTTACGCTGTAAATGCTCTCAAGAAAGCCGGCTACAAGATGATCACGGTCGCCGAGTGCATCGGTGTCACACCGTACTATAACGTAGGAACCCCAGGAAACAGGACGGTGAGATAAGCCTTGGTGATCTTTCCACGGTCACTGCTGACCGGTGGCCCAGGCTGCATGGCATTGCTGACGGGGGAAGGAGGTATCCGAGTCATGTATCCGAGTCATAGAGGTGTGGCTACTTGGATTAGATGTCAAGTAGTCAAAGTCGATCGACACGTCTGTAGCTGACTCTGAAGCTTGCTGTCGAGCATTGGTGCCAACATTGCGGCTGCGTGATGCACTTCCCTTTTCACGGACTTTGTTACGGAAATCTCACATGCGAGAATGAGATGGAGGAAAACAGTGTTTCTACATTCCCGCGACCCACTCCGACGACTAGTGCCTCGGACTGCTCGCTAATGAACAGAAACTGTCTCCAGAGCACGAAGCATGGGAATCAAAAGCCACTCGACCGCCGTCCAAGTTGTCGTAGGCTTATGCAGATTCGGTAGCTTGCAGGCCCGGCGCTTAAGGTGTGGACGACCTGGGCAGACCCATGCTCCTGCCGGCGAGTACACAATAAGAAGCCAAGAACGATGGGGACAATTGGATGGGCTTCTCATCGCCTCGTTTTCCTGGCGCGCAGCACAGCAGTGAGGTACATGACGGAGAAGCAGACCGGCTACTGTGCAACAAACGCGTGGTGGCAAGTGGTTCGCCATACATAGGTCCAGAGAGGATCATGATTCAGCTGGCACTGTTTCGACGTGATCGGAAGGCTTTAGAGCTCATGCCTGGCACTGCTGCGACACGGGCACCAGGAGGTACTGGCTCCTTCACCGCGACACGTCCGAACCGAGAGCAATGAAGCCATTCACGGAAGGCAATTTCCGAATATCTGCCTCTGCAGACGATTGCATGTCAAAGGACGCGCAGCTGGGGTCCTCGGGTGGCTGCTCACTCATCGCCCGATGCTACCACAGGAAGGATGTGGCGAACGCGGAAGGAACATATAAAGAGAGGGATGTGTGACTTACCAAAGCCTGGCACATGATGATGGATGAAAGTGTGCGAGGGATGAGGTATCGTCAAAGGTCTGTTCAAGAGGACGCATGAGCCTTGTGCTAAGAATGAGAGACGAAAAGCAGATGATGATGCGTGTTCGTGAGAAGGAAAGGCGCAGGTGGGCCTGCCACAAAGAGGTATGGGCTCATGAACTTGTCAGATAGTGGGACCAGTTGGTACGCATGCGGGTCGTTTGAGAAGAAGAGAGAGTATCCCGGTGTGTGACACACGTGATCGCGTGCCGGCGAGGCTTCCCTCATGCCTCAATCATTTAGCCAGTCGTCAAATGCCAGACATGTTGAGCGTGCGCCTCTCCATGTCAACTGCTCACTTGACCGGTTGCCCCTCATATCCATTCATTCACATCGCTGCATCTGGGCCGCGCCAGGCTAAGCATGACCGGGGCGAACAGTGACTTCAATTTCGTGCGCCAAAGGATGTGGCACCGCAGGAGAGTGTACCTGAATGCCCGCCCGGGCATAGATAATGGCGCACAGCTAGGCGTCTCATCAGACGTAAGGCGGTGACAGCCGCGGAGAACACGCCAGTGCAAGCGAAGTGGAACAGTGCATTGAGATTGCGGACAGGGTCATGAAAAGCGTTGATAGGCAAGTCCGACGTCCGGTCGAGAAGCGTCAAGGATACATGTGTGTCCGAATCCTGTCGCACCATCCATCCCTCTGCATCCGAGCCAAGGCGGTAAGAAGATCCGACGTGTGCAAGCTTCGCGACAACATCCCGATAGTTCCATGACCCTACTCCACCCGTGCGCACTGTTTAGATACAGAGACACTACTTCTTCTTTTTCGGTTTCTTCTTCTTAGCAGCACCGCCAGCAGCCGGGGCTCCGCCCGCGCTGGGGACAACGGTTGCTGTGGCATCGATGGGGGCGGATGAAGAAACAGGCGGTGGGGGTGAGGAGTGGTCCGGTACTTTCGGCTGCTGCCTGTTCTGCATCTTCTGCATCAAAGAAAGATTGAGGGCCTCGAAGCGGTTGAGGAAGACGGATGAGGACGTCTTGAATTTGATGCACTGAAGGCTCGCATGTCGGCGGGTAAATGAGAGGCAGATATCGGAGAGCAACGCACCTTCGTGTTATCTGTGATTTTCAGCACCAGTTTTCCCTCGGACGCCTTCCATTTGACACAGTATCGCGTCTGCAAACGGGATCAGCAAAAAAGCCGTGCATGAAACGATGCTGGGAACGAACGATGTTCGGGGATTTAGTATACAAGGCCTCAGCAGCATCTTGGTACTCTTGCCATGCCTGGATATAGACCATCGCACATGAAGCTGCCAAGCAGCAGGTGGGTGTGCCGGAATGGAGACGAAATCACCGTGTCACAATCGCGTTACTCTGTCAAGGCTTGGCGTCACGCTCGGTAAAATCGCCTTTCGAGGTTTTGTCAGGTGACACGTGATCCCACACCTCTTCTACTTCCTAACCGTCACCCTTCCTCATTTGCCCGCTATGGCCACCTCGGACAGGAAACGTGCGTTTTGGCGCACTAGCACCGCTGGAGACACTCTGAATGGATCGCAGCTCTCCCATTTGCCGCCAACTTTGCCGCCGGCGCCATCGCGGGGATATCAGAGATCCTGACTTTCTACCCACTCGGTATGTTCCTGTCTGCGATCGAGGATCCACTGACGCTCACTGTCGCTCTCCAGATGTTGTAAGTCCACCTCGGCCCGTGATCCGTTCGCGCGCTCCCTCTCACGCTTCGCGCAGGTCAAAACTCGCATGCAGCTCGAGACGGGCAAGTCGTCGGAGGGGTTGATCGGAAGTTTTAGGACGATTGTTCGGCAGGAGGGGTGCGTACCCGGCCTCGTCTATTCCATGCGCACTCCTCACATTCCATCAGCGTGGGCCGTTTGTATCGAGGTACAACACTCCTTCACACCTTCACTGCATGACGTGACTGGTCGTGTGCTACGTCAGGTCTCGTTCCGCCACTGCTTTTGGAGGCGCCCAAGCGCGCAGTCAAGTTGTGCGTATGGAAACTGTGTTTCTCGCCGCATGGGGTCTGATCGCTGTTGGTACAGTGCGGCCAATGACTTCTGGGGAAAGACATATCTCTCGTTCAGCGGCGAAACAAAGATGACTCAGAGTCTGTCGATCATCACTGGATGTTCCGCAGGTGCAACGGTATACTTGTTCAGTTGAATAAGCGATCTCTTTTTAACGCAGAGAGCAGGAGAGTATCGTGGTCGTTCCCTTCGAGCTGGTCAAAATCAAGTGGGCATTGGAACACATGATTGTCGCAAGGGACTTACTCTTACATTTCTACCAGAATGCAAGACAAGACGAGTACTTTCAAGGGCCCGATGGAAGTTGTTCGGCACATCATCAAGACCGATGGGCTTTTGGGAATGTATGCAGGCATGGAGTCTACCTTCTGGCGGTGCGCGTTTTGTATTGCATTTCCTGTGTCTTTTTGTCCTCAAACCACTGGCTTAGGCACTTGTGGTGGAATGGTGGATTCTTCGGCTCCATCTTCCAGGTCCGAGCCTTGCTTCCGAAGGCTGAGGTGCGTCGTTCGAAGATCGACGAAACCCTTTCTTGATAGTAATTCAACTATCAGACTCCCCAAGGAACGCTTTTGAACAACTTTATCTCCGGATCTATTGGTGGATTTGCTGGCACTTGTTTGAACACTCCGTGCGCCTTTTCTTTCTGAATGGGTCTATGAACCTCAATTATTCGCGCAGCTTTGATGTTAGTTCCGGTTTATACTGATATGCTAGCCTTGCTCATTTCAGTAGGTTGTAAAATCTCGGATCCAGGGCGCTGCCAAGGTGCCCGGCGTGGCTCCGAAATACAACTGGACATACCCCGCTTTGGTTACGATCGCCCGCGAGGAGGGCATCGGTGCGTTGTATAAGGGTTTCGTGCCCAAGGTCCTGCGGCTGGCACCTGGCGGCGGAGTGTTGCTCCTCGTCGTCGAATTTACGCTGGGCGTTTTCCGACAAGGTATGCTCATCTGACCATCTTCTCACCCCAAGGGAAACTCATTCCACCCAGCGCTTGGCCCTCCGTATGTGTAGAGACGTTGACGAAATGACCAAGGTCTCTCTTATTGATTTCGTATGCGGTACACTCGTATGGTGCGGTTCACTTAGAGACCTCACCCTGGGAACAACGTGACTGGTCACACCAGAATTAACCTAATTTTTTCTCCTCTTGGGAAACAGCTCCTTTTCACTCAAGGAAGAGAATGGCTAGAGGGATAAGCCTCAATTAAATCACTGAGTGAGCTGGAAATTTTGAGAAAGGTCAATTTGGCAGTAGTACAAAATATCATATGCTACTGGTCAAAAGCGTGCGCAACGCCTTCAGGGATGTGTCGGTGTGATTTGTATGAACGTGAGCTGAATTTGCGAACTTCCAACTGAGCCTGTTGAGTCTCCATCCCCTTCCGATATGCGTCCATCCAATGGACCATCCTCTGTTCCCACTTCCGGATTGTTGAGACGCTGACTGAGGCAAGCGCGAGGGGCATATTGGTCTTGAGGGTGTCGAAAGTGTAATCACAATTATTGCGCAGGTATTTTTTGATGGCACCCCAGAAGTATTCAATGAAATTCAACTCACAATGAAACTTTGGAAGCAAGAGGCACAGATGGCCTGCGTCCTCGACCACCTCTTGAACCATCAAACGTGTTTGGCGCGTGCTCAAGCCGCAGCAGCCATTTCCGCCTTGGTGGGCATGGCGGAAGCAGAAGATACACAAAATTGATCAGTCATGCGTCAAGATCTAGTCAAAATTCCGATATGGCTACAGTTGTTACAAAATCTACGAATCAGATCGAAATCTAGGCCCCAAAAGGGGTACACTGTAAAAAAAATTTGGCCTGCGGCCAATTTGGCAGTTGTTCCCAGGGTGAGGTCTCTAAGTGAACCGCACCATAGATTCGGTAGTTATATTGAATAGAATACCGGAAGCAAATAGATGCCAGTACACTCCAAGTGTGGAATTGCGACGATCCGGGAGAACGGGGTTTTGGGGAGAGCAATGGATGAGCGATAATGAAACTGTGCCCAGGTAAATTTGTTGTTGCCTTGCAAGTCGCATCGAGTCGTCTAGCCGGTTTGAACATCACGTGCGGCCTTGGCAGTGTCCTTTGTGTTCAGTTTGCAACAGATCCGCTGGCCCGAGTCCAATACTAAGCGATGGAATTGAAATCTCTACAGTTCAACTTGCATTTCATTTACATACTTGTTCTCCGTTATTGCTCGGCACAAGATATTCGATTTACTCCTGCAAATAACGTCAAGCGCCGAGGGCAATCGGAAGCCCCATCGCCCGCCTGCCCTCGCTCTCGACAATATCAGCCTCGGTGGCGAGCCCCACAAAGTCAACGCCAGTCGTCGCGACGGGGTAATCAGGGGGCGGGATGCCCGCAGCAAAGCTCGCGCGCTGCTTCTCGATGTAGCTGGCGTTGACGGGGGTGAGCGGGACGGCGGGGATGTACATAACCGCGGAGTCTTCCGCGCCCGTGTGTTCCTCTTCGACAGCATGCACGACGTCGCAGTGCCAGAAGACGGTGTCGCCGGGATTCACGTCGGGGATAGAGGTCATCGTCTGGTTCAGGAGCAGGTGCTGGACGAGGTGGTCAGATCTAGTGTGTTTTTAACGTGATTTATTCTATTCATACGGGGTGCAATTCGTCGGAAGGACGAGGGCCGTGGAATCCCCTGTCGCCGGCGCGTGTGAAGATGCCCGGGAATTCAGACGAGGATAGATCTGTTGAGACTCAGAATCCGCTGACGACTGACGCTGAGGAGACGCCAAAAAACGCACCAAACACCCAGTTCTTGGCCGCAAGGATATCCGGTGATCCCAGCGGAACAATCGGCCGGAAGAAGGGGCGCATGATGATGTAGGCGTTGGAGAGAATCAAGCTCGGGAAGACCTTGAGGGTTCCTTGGTGTGGTCCTGTCTTACTATAGATGACATATCAGCGCGTATGACCCCGAAGATTATTTTTGAGTCCGCACCTGATGGCAAGCCATCCTTGGAAGGTGCGGAATACACTCGACTTTGCCATCAGTTTAGCGAGAATCAGGACAGGCACGACAAATAATGAAGCACACCTGATTCGGCCGGTTGTACAAAGATGTTCGAGCCTCGAGACGCGGTTCCAACGCATACGGGTCATGGTTCCTCCACGCGCCAGATAGAATGTCGGCAAAGCAGACGCGAAGCTTTTCGTCCTCCCAGCGCTCGATCGAACCACCTTAATGAGGAGGATTGTGACATCAGCGCGACAGATCAAGGTCGAGAGATAAACAAGGACGAACCGTCCACGTGCGGTGGGTGACGGTCCCAGACTCCGCCTGGGTTGCGGATGCGGAACCTGTCAGCGTAGGCGAGCGGGGTAGAGAGATCGACGCCTTCTGGCGGCGAGGAGCCGTTGGTGTGGTAGAGGTTGTTCAGCCACGCGATCGACTTGAGCATATTCGGATGGGCGCGAGCTTCGATCTGGGCTTTGGTCCAACTGTAGATATAATCAGCGTGGGACGAGATCAAGGGAAGCACTAGAACGGACTAGAGCTGGAAGAATTGTTTGGCACCCGTCTCAGGCCACCCTGCGCATTGGGTCAGTGCCGCCGCCGGTGCAATAGTATACGAGCCTGAGTGTCACACCTTCGACCTGGGGATTCGCCTTGACGAACTCCTCCAGACTCGTCTTCCACCCGCGCGCCTTGTCATCATCAACGACATCGCGAATAACAACCGTACCCTTGCGCTTGATGTCGGCGATCTGCTCGGCCGTCAACTTGTCGAGGTCAGCGAAGTGGACTTGCGGGATGTACTGCAGGGGCCACGTATGAGTGTCTACTGAATGCCTCGAGGTTCGATGCACGAGGCACTGGCTTACGGAAGATCCTTGCGCCGCGATGTCCGATGTCGCCTTCTCAAGCTCGACAAGCAGCTCGCCCCATGCACGCGTCAGGTTCTGCTCAAAGTTGGGGTTCGCGCTGGCGATCTCGCGCTTCAGGTCAGCGAAACGAGGCGGGAGCTGGGTGTCAGTATTGGACATCGTACAGAAGGATGATGAGGGTGGCTTCCACGCAGTAACGCTGCGTTAAATACAGTAAACTGGGGCCCGGACGGCCGATCCGCTCTCACGAGAATCAGGTGATTCGATCCGAGAGATCCGAATAGAGGATTTCGCAACCTTATCCGACCCGATAACAAGTCTCTTTGTTATTCAACGATAGCACTCGAGCTGGGAGGTTCATGGAATGCTATAGGCCATCCATGCCTCGCCCGCAAGCTCGTCTCCGCCCACCCAGCGACTTACTCCCCGCGACGCAGCCGTTTTGACCACCCAACCCGCCGCAATGATCAGGGTGGTGAATATTGGATGTGAGTCGAGGATAACTAAACGACTTCAGATGAGATCGTGACACTTGAATGAGTGAGCAGTGGACGTACCCCGCAGCCCGAACCCAGCCGACATCCCACCAAGCACGTTCCTGACAACCCATTCCCTGTCCACGTCCTCATCCGACAGCTGCTGCCATCCAAGTCGCGCTGCGAGGGAGCCGGATGACCGGGTTGGTTCGGTCGAGGGGCGCCATATCGTGAGCAGAAACAGCAGAAACAATTTCGTCAGCGAGGAATAGAATAAGGTCAGCGGGATAAGCGAGAATCGAAATTCTTGGCGGATCGCTGAAGGTTTATCGTGCCTCGTGAAAGGAAGGCGGTCCAACAAGCTTTGAACGGCCCAGCAGGCACAGATGACTCCACTATGGAATGTTATCGTCTCTGCTTTGGGGTCAGTCACTTTTTTTTTGTGGGAAGATCGGAAACTGACCTATGAGAACGCCGGCTACGGTTTTCAACAGAGCGATGACGGCCGCGTCTGTTAAGGGCGCCGAAACAGTTGAGAAAGATGGATCTGTCAGAGTGGGATTGTCATTCGAGACATATGTAGGCTAGGTGCCATGTCACTTACGCAAATGACTCCAGCGTATGACTGCATCGAAAGTTCAGAAAATTCATGGACGCGAAGGGAATTCGAAAGCACCAACACGCGTCAACGAATATCAGGGGACCGCCAAATCTGAAAACATTCTTCCATCGATTCTGGATTGAAGATTTAGCATGAAATCCCGCTCAATGCACAAGCGACTCACTCGCTCTCTCTGCTGAGAAGTCGGTCTTTCGACATTGACCTCGACTCCATCCACGTATTTCCTCGGGTTCGTTCCCCGGTTGTACAGCAGATGTCGGAAGACATCGCGTTTCAGGAGAATGAGGTCCAGAAGAAGAATGAACGAGTCGTGTTCGACGTAGGGGTCCGCGAAACTGTGGCATTTCTCCTACCCGCATGGGGTCTGGGGGTTCGGATTCGGGTTCAAGAAGCGGACATACGCATTGGTGAAGACGCAAGTTAGATTTAGAATCGTAGACGGTATAGAGAAAAGGCACAGCCGCGGTGCAGGTCGTGCATATCGGCATCCCACTCGTGGCTGGAAGGCAAAGGTGGAAATCCCATCACACAGCCACAGGAAGATCCACACACTGTCACTTTCGCTCAAAACCTCACTGGGCTCGGACACCACGATGGCCTCTTCACGCGCCCTCAACGCGATCCTGCCGCAGATAGCCAATTCGCCATACGAGGCGCATCAGAAAGCGCGCACCTTCGCCTCCCGGTACACCAAGTCCGGCCAATACGACACCGCGATCGACGTCCTGTTCCAGAGCGCGCGCGAGCTCTTCAAGGCGGGGCAGGCGGGCAGCGGCGTCGATCTTTCCGGATTCATGCTCGAGGTGTACGATGCCAAGGGGGAGCCAGTGAGCGAGGAAAGTCGAGGTCCGTGGAGCGCTTCTGCTGCGAGGCCACTGCGGAGCAGCGATGGCTTACCTACTACTTCCCCGTGCTGTTCCCAGGTCGAGTGACGCAACTCATCGCGCTTTGCGGCTCAGAAGGCTCGTGGAGGAAGACGGTGATCGACAAGTCCATTGCGTGAGGGCCCCGTCATGTTATGCTCGGTGCTGCCGTCGCTCGCTCAAACGTGGCTACTAGATGGTCGGCGAAACACGGCCCATGTCCTGCAGGCGACTCGGAGCTGCACCACTACATCGGTGTCCTGCTTTTCAAAGGTCCTTCAAGTTGCTCTCTTCATCAGAACTGATTTCGACTGATGTGCTTATCATTTGCGTGTGTGCGTAGATGGCGCCTTTGAAGCCGCGGAACCACACCTCCTAGCATCCGGGAACAGGGACAGTGCGCGCGTTCTTGCTGAAATGTTCATCGAATGGGCTGCAGCCGATGTGGACTCTTACGGCGCATTTGCTCTGCGCGGGACTCTGCCGTACGTCTCTCGCGCGAAGCCAAGCGTGATATTGTGCTCTCAACCTCATTGCGCGCCACAGGTACCTGATGAACGGCAACATTCTCTCCGCACGCATGTTCATCACGCGCTTCATCGCCCCCATCCCGCGGACCTCTGAGACCCCGCTCACGATCGGCGAGTCGCAAGTGTACCTCGTGACGGACCCGGTGTGCAACTTCGCGCAGCTGGCGGTTCTGGCCTGCCAGCGTGCCCAGGGGGAGCGCAACAAGGCAGCGCGGGAAAGCTGGGTCCGGTTGTGCGGGACGTATCAGGCAAGACGGGGAATCATGGCTTCGCCCGAAGTGCGGCAGGTACGTGGCGTCTATCCTCACCCAGTTGTGGGCTGCTGTTGCTGAGGGTTTGGTGGCCTTGTTCGCAGGCGCTGACGGATCTGTCGTCGCTGTACTTTGCACTCGCGCCGCCGCGCGGCCAAGGGGGGAATCCACTGGGAGATATGATCTCGTCGATGTTCGGTGGCCCTGCTGCTTCGCAGCCGACACGGCGGATTTTGGCTCCGGCCGGGGTATCTGCTGCGAGTGGTTTGGATTGAGATTCGGGTTTGGAGGTAGGGACGTTCGACTGTGAGAAGATCGGCTTTGAGGAAGTGAAAATATGACAGAGTATTGGCACATTCATAGAGCGATGTCTCTATCTTGAAGGTCGGCCGCATTCAGACCATTTGTGAGACGGTAATCAAAGCAGTGGATGAGTTGTCACTGACTGACTTCAATGCGCTGTCGATAGATTACGTCAGTAGCTAAGACCTTCGACTCTTGTCTGTCTAAGCATTAGTTTTCCTTCCGCAAGTCCTCTTCAGCGATCGCTTCATAACCTTGCTTACTACGACGATCCTCGGGCGACTCCGTCGTTATCGCCCACTGGGAAGAGCCTCGCTGTAATCAGGATCGCGACGTTCGCACATCTTTTCCGAGTCGAAAGCTTCCTGCGCGATTGAAGGACCGCCGGAGAATTGTCTCAATCCCGGGAGAGATCACCATGACAATGATGGCGGACACTAGGACATGCGGGTATGACTTGGATGTTCTGCGCTCAACTTCTCCTGCGGACTCGGACTTCCACGGCATCTCGAATCTAGTCTGGGTCTTCGGTATCCCGTCTGTCATCCTCATTCAATAGAGAACTGACAAGAACTCCGGCGCCAGCTTTTCCTCTAGGCGCGGGGACTCTGCCGCAGCGGTTCGAGTTCTCATTGCGACTCGCAAAGGGGCTTTGCGTCCGCAGCTAGTGCCAGTGGCAAGGGGCCGTCGTTAATGATTGCCAAGTACGCGCCAGAAGCCGTTGCCGCCGCCGCCGCCGCCGCCGCTGCGGATGCGATATCCGATTCCTGGCCATCGAACGATGCATTGCCGGCGATCATGTGCCGCTCGTATCACGGCACGACATACATAGACACTGGCGCCGAACCCTCGATCTCTCGCGACTTGCCGGTCCCCCCAGGATCTCGGGGATGGAGATGACAATCTCTGTGTGCGATGTGCCGGATGTCTGACTCGGTTCTCGTTGCCGTCGTACGCCACCACTATTCCCGAGGCGTATCCTGGTCCTCCCACACTCTCCGGCCACGTCCGCCGGTTCATCGGACTGCGGCCTGCCACCATGCTTGTTTCTCCGGATCCCTGGAAATGGATAGCACCAGACGTGACCGTGACGGGTGTTTGCGGTCACCGATGACTGTGATGCCCGCAACTGACTGCACGGATGACGCATCAGCGACCAAGCCGCGAGGAAGCACGCACACTTTTCTGGGCGGTGTTATTTGGCGGTCATCATCCTGTAACAACGGGTCCAGGATCGGTCCGGGCCTTCGAGTGGTAAGATCAATCGAATCCAGCTAACATTGGTTTGCTTGTGGAGCGGGACCTCTTGTGCTGTCCGCAGTTTCTCAAAGGAGAGCTCATGAGGTCATTGCACTACTGGGTTCTCCGTCCCAGTCGTGGACGGAAGCGAGATGTTGGGCACAGGCCATAGCATGGGTCGGACCGTTTTGAGGGCGGAGATGTAGCATCCTTCCCGCGCAGGAGAGTTGCAGCTCAAGTAGTGCCTTCAGGGCTAGGGCAGGCATTATCTTATTCAGTCTTCCCGTTTGTGTAGGCTACTCATATGAATGGTGGCTTACCACTCCGAATAAGGGAGATCTTTGTTGCTGACTTGCAAGTTACACGCGCCGTGGTCTTCCCACAGACTGTCCTAGACTGTCCCAGCTGGGAAAGCACCTGTCGATTGCATATCACTGTATGACGCACTGCAATTTGTCCGGTCAAAGCGCCTCATCGCAATCCACGTTGGCCAACAGTTGATGACGACATTGCCCCACTAATTCACCGATCTCCCAAGGAACTTGCTTGTAGGTGCTAGTAAGCTGCTAGAACTGCGTGCCATATGGACGATAATCTTCGAGATGGTTTTGCGCAGCTCACTGCTCGGACTGGCATCGGTCCATTGGGACCACGGGAACCAGGATCTGCGCAGATAGGCAATGCCCTGTGCTGACGTGCTGATCCCTCGCTGTTGGTGCGGATATCACAACGCGATCATCAGCCATGCTGAATGCTCTGCGCTGATTAGATGAGATGCAGATGGAGCTGAAACGGATGTCTGCGGGGAACTACTCCTTTTGGTGCCTCTGGGCCAAGTACTGGAGCGGATATCTACATTGCAGCCCATGCGGCGAATAGGATGCGACGCGACGCGAGATCGCTGCCACTCGAGCATGTGTTTGCAGCGAGGGGGTAGGTACGCTATCAATTGTCCATTGGCTAAGGAGACATAACAGACATGCGGCAGCACCGGGTCCCGAGCAGGTCCACATGCTCTGCAGCCATCACCGAGTCCCCACGGGGACTTTCGGCTTGACTCATCGCGGGGAACTTTTCCTTCATTTTTCCGCGCACAGAAGATACGCGAGTCGCCAGTAGTAAGCATCTTCATTTTCGAGGACGGGAAGTAGGCAACGCAGTCAGATTGAAGCCCCGGACACAGCCACCAAGATCCGCTCGTGGCAGCGTGAGTCAACAACGCGTGACAACTATGTGACGCTGACTATAATGCCTTGGCCACAGGATGACATAGCCACCGTGTGTCTTGCCTTGTACGTCCATCTCGGCCCTCGCACCACGTCCCTTCCTCGGTTTTAACCTCGGACTTGCTGTCTAGTCTCATCTACTTCGCCCTTAAACTTTTAACGCTCGAGGACCCAAGTCAGTATGGCCACCGTCTGCGTGTACACCGCCCCACCTACCCCCACCACTCAAAGAAAGCGCACGACGAGCTTCTCCAGTCCCCCACGGAAGCGATTGCACCGTACCGAGTCGTCACTGGATCTGTCTCTCTACGCGGCGGGGTCCTCGAGTAGCGCATCGCCGAGCACCACCACCACCATGCTCACTGCGGTCCCCCATCGGTCGCTTCGGTATCACAAAGAGCAAAAGGACGGCAGAAGGAGGCCGGCTCATCCATCGTGTGCCACGTCGTCTTCTGCCCCTTCCTTTCCTTCTCTGTCATTTCAAACGACAGCTGCCGTTGTTCCCCCCTCTCCTTTGTCCCTGTCCACCCCCTCACCAAGCAAACTGAAGGCCACGGTGTCGTTCTACGTTCAGCCCCCTGCTCCCACCAGGAGCCAGCCGCCTGCAGATCCTCCCGGTCTCGCAAGCCATCCCTGTTCGTCCCCTCTATCTACGTCGGCGAGCAAGCGCGCGTACACGCCGCCCTCGCCACCCCGTGCCCCCTTTCCGCCATCCAAGTCTAAATCCAAATCCAAGTCCCTGTCCCAGGCTAAGTCCCGCACCCTCGTCCTCCCACCGACAAGCATCGCGCCAGCCCTCAGCAAGGTGCCAAAGCCGAGCCACTCCGCTTGTTCGGATCTTCACCGGCGTGCGCTGACGGCGTGCATGCGCACGACGCCGTCCGGGTCCAAGATCCTGCACATGGGTGCGCGACTCGCGGTAGGGATCATGTCCGCGACGGAGGAGCTGGAGCGGATCTGCACCATGGATGTCGAGGACGCGGGTCTCGCTGGTGACGACCTGGATCTTGATCTTGATCTTGATCTGGATGCTGAGATTGGCGACATCCCGGACGAGGACGTGGATGAGCTGCTGAATGCCGCTAGCGAACTGCTTGGTGATTCGGACCCGGATGTCGCTATGGCGGATGTCGAGTGCGCACCGATGAGCACGTCGTGGATTGTCGTTGCCGAGACACCGTGTGCTGCCGCTGCCGTTGCCAAAGCTGAGGACTGGGAGATGATTGTCGCGTGACGGGCATCTGGCAGGAGCATGCTTGGACGCTTGGACCCGGCCAACTGTCAGGGTGTTAACCCCGCAGTTGAGGCCTCGTCTCGTCTCGACATCTTCGGTTTCAAGGGGTGTCAGAGTCGTGGTCGAACTGAACCGGCGGCAGTAGGGAGGACTGACTGTTCGACTGTTGGACTGGAGTTGGACGGACGGTGATCATCAGGATCACACGTCCGCGTCGTAATCTATCTGATAGCTATGACCCTCACTTTTTTCTTCCTCTCTTTGCGACTTGTGGATTTCCTACTATGGCCAACCTTACTTACGCCTCTGCAACCATTACTGGTATATACATACATACGCATACGCCCAAGGCTAGTTGTACCCTACGACATGTATCCTGATAAACAACCATCAACATCATCTGTATTCCTGGCGTGACATAGATAAAGATACTGGAGGAGGAATTACTGCGGACTGAAGAACGACTGCGGATATGTGAATGTACATGGTGGACGTACAGCTCTCATTGCTGGAACTTCATATTGTCTCTGCATATTGCAGCTCAGAACGCCAGTCACAGGGCTGTTAGCGCAGTTGGTAGCGCGTCCGCTTAGCATTTGTGTGTGCGGGAGGTCACCGGTTCGACTCCGGTATAGTCCACGTCAGTGCGGTGTCATTTTTTTTTGCGGGCTTGATAAGTGGTCCTTCCTTCCCATAAAAATGCGGATCTGGTCCGAAGGTCCACCGTACATGAGCAATGGAGAAAGGCATTGCGGAGGTACCGGCAGGACATTATCCGTAGCTTAAATGACCGAGCTTGAGCTTTTAGTAAGTACATCCGTGTGATCCTCCAATGCCTTGGCGCAACTGTTTTCCCCTCCCAATTTATTATTCTATCCTGAGCTGAGTTTCATATGTGATGCATTCCTAAATGGTGCCAGATTTCTCCTAAGCATTCCATTCCGGCTGCGGCATATTGCGACATTTACGTCGTTAACCTGGCCTCGAATTTCTCCAAGAACGCTTGGATTGATGCGGGGAACACAGCGTTCGGTGATTTCGTTCGTTGTCCCCGGCGATGTGTGTGATGATGTTATACACTTGACACGCCCGAGGCAACCCTGGGGGGCTGTTCGATTCAGGCCGTCACGACTCTCCGGGACGCGACAATAGGAAGCTGGCATGCATCGGTATTCGGTAAGGCTCAAGTCAAGGCTGAACCGAAGTCCCGGTCAGTCTGGATGCGGGGAGAAACCAACATATGCGGTGCCAGTCGTACTCCTGTTACAGGAAGATGTTGGCTGCACTTCCGGCGCTGACCCAATTTCTTGGCCGGATCCCAAAATTCCGTCCTTGGGAGAGAGTGTGCTGATTAGACGCCGATCTGGACCGCCCAGCCTGAGATTATGACTCCTGTTTTGTTCTTACCGATGAAGCGCAACTTCGAATCACGTTGGTCACAACGGTTACGGACTGGTATCTCCTCGGACGAAGTGAACGGCGTATTAGGACAGCAAGTGGAGCGTTGCATATGCAACGCCGGTGTTCCAAAAAAAAAAATCAACAGGAGATTGGCAGACCGAACGGGGAGTTGAGATTGTCATTCGTACCAAATACAGTGTGCCAGGTATCATGCCTGACGAGTTTGAATATTCTTGAACGAGCACAAAGAAGTGGGTGCAACAATTTACTACTATCCCTGTGAAGCGGCACTCTCCAAGGGTCACGATGAACCGATCTTCTTCATAGGTATGTGCCATTTCCGAAATTGCCCCCCGACTCGGACTGTATTGACTCACAGTCGCCGTGAAAACCTGAATGACGGGTTCGCTCCGCGTTAAGACAAAGAATGATTCTGACCGAAAAGGAAGACCCTAATCCAGTATTCAGAGCTTCGCTTCCGAGCTGCGATACCGAATCAAGAAACATGTCTTGATAGTCGGATAAATCTGTCTTATTACATTCAAAGTCACAGATAAAATGTTTATCCAACTCACCGTTTAGTGTAACAGATATCCCGTACCCGAATGATAGCCCGCACCCCTCCGACTTGTGTTTGGAGTCGTGGAATTCGCATGAATAACCCGAACAGATCTCGACCCCCAGCATCCCATGCGCCTCCTCAACAATCATTCCTAATGAGCGCGGGGTGGAAATAACGCACAGGAATCCTACATAAAACATAGAGTCATATAAACAGAGTGTCAATGAAGCTGGCTTGTCCGTGGAGGGAGTAGAACTGCCGATGCATTCGTTGAAACACGCACGGACAAGCAGGGATACAACGATGAGTTGCGCCGCAATACGGTCAAGCCACTACTGCCTTATCTGAATTAAAATCACACGCCGAGCCATCAGGCTTCGGAATTCAACAAAAATCCCTACTCCTCGTCCACGGGCAGGATGCGGCAGGAGCACCTTCTGAGAAAACTAAGTATCAAAAGAACGCTGCCCAGAGCGAATAGCTCATTGCGGATGAGCAGTAGGGATGAGCAGTAGAAACGTGTTGTCGCCTGGACAGGGTGCAGAAATGGATCCCTCGAGACGAGACCTCCCACTGCCAATGAAGACCAGTCAGAGATGGGTTCGCACTTGTTTATCGGCCGACATGATGGGATCACTCTGCTCTCAGCCAGTTGCTCTATCAGGAGGTCGGTGGTTCGACTCGAGCTGTGTAGCCTTTCCACAAGAGCTATTTTCTCCATGGATGTTCTATTTTCTGCTCTTGCCGGTGGTGGACTAGGTTCTATCCCGCTATGGTCTGAATTCCTGTTGGTCTTCTTCAGCAAAATGCTCAACGGTCAGTATTTGATTTCGAGTCAATTCGGAATGAGATATATTGCCAATAAAAGTAGTGTCATGATTCAATGAGCAGCCACCCTGGAAACGAAATACCCCTATTAAAAGATGATGCACCGCCAATTCAACATCTAAATTAGCAAGAAGTCTGGGGACTGAACGGGAACTTGAGGTTGCCGTTGGTGTTGTACAGACCGTAGCCAGGCTCCATATCTGCGACGGGATTAAGAAGTTGCAATAGGCTTGGAAGGTGGGAGATGGCGCTCACCGTCGCTGTATATGTGCCAGAACCAACCGACGGAACCACCGCCGTTGGGGACGTTCTTGAAGTACGAACAATGCTGATCGAGAACCTTGTAATATTGCTGGATTTAGAGGACGACGAATCAATCAGTGAACTGTTGATCGCGGTGAATGTATTTAATTATTTGGGCACCTGTTCACTTTGGACGTTCGCGACGGCCGAAGGAGAGTTGGGCGACACGCCGTCGTATGTCTGTTCGAGCGTGAATATCAATCACGCGCGCTCCATGATGTCGCATCCCACCGTTGACGGCCATCCGTTCTGACAGATTTTTTTTCGTCAGATCATCCTATACTTGGCACGAATTTGTTCGTGGCTTGCCTCTGTCAAATATATCTTCTTCCCTTCCCCGTTCGCGACGAACCAATCGAGATCCGTGAGCACAATCGGCCACGACTTGCTTCCTGAACACATGATGAGCTTCGAGAGAGACGAGCCTCGGAGGCCCCGCTGCGCACCTGTGCTGGCTTTGGTAGAGAAAAACGGAAGCATGTGGGCGTCAATGATGTCGATCGCGTCGAGCACGTCCTGGGCACCACCGTTGGACTATCACCCGCCCTCCCGGGTAAGTCAAACCAAGAAGCCGCGGCGAGGCAAAAGAACGCGCCTGGTATCCATATGCCATTTCCGAGATCGTCACCGGGATGCCGAGACCGGACAGATTCGCCTTCGCTGCGAGAACCTGATTGGCGAGGTCGCTCTCGCTCAGAACCTGCGCAGTCAGCCGTCGAATGCCTCGGGAAGAACAGGGAAGGGAAGGAAGAGCGTACATACCCCATCATACAGCGGCTCGCTTCCGAACTGCAGTGCCCGGGTCACGAATTTGGCCTTGGGGTTCGAGTGCAAGGTCTTGAACAGTGCAGTCCGGCGCGTCTTCCACTGGTTTCCTCCGTCAAATCCAAACTGCGACCGGGCCGTGCGCGTCAGTCGATCGACGCGCGCAGAAGAAGTGGACGCTCGGACTTACCCAGATGAGAGCGTGCACGCCGACTGGGAAGTGCAGGTTCCGATCAGCGAAGGTGTTCGACCGTGTTTATGGAAATCAGACGCTCACTTCCGGCCTCCCATGCTGCCTCGACCACATCGTCGCTGGAAGACCTCAGCAACGCCTTCCAGAGAAGGCGACATCCCTTCCAAGACTCACTAGAATCCTGTTCACCGATGTCATCGTCAGCGTCGACACCCACCACAGTTGGAAGAGAATGCGCACCAGTCCGATCGCACGCGCCGTACAGCCGGACGTATCGACCATTGAACGTCTGGCGAATGTCTGTGAACTCCGACACAAGCGTCCCGCGATCCTGGCCTGCCGAGCGCAAATGTTCATATATACTTATTCAACATCAGGGACCCCCAAAAAGGGGCGGCTACGCACATGCGGTGACTTCGTAGCTGAACCCGACAAACGCGTATTCCGAGGCGTAGTCGCACCACCAGTTTTTCAGAGAGTTGGGCACACTCGCCGGCATGTTGAATCCTGTGTGCAGTGATGAGCGACGCATAGATCGCGCGATTCGACGCAGCCGACCTATCGCGGGGAAGCAGTTGGGCGGCGCGGCGGCGGCGGCGGCGAGTGGGGTGGTCTTCGTCGCGGTCTCATTGGCCATGGGCCGCGCGAGCACAGCGCTGACGAGCAGAGCCGCAGTAGCAGAGTAGAAGAGACGACGATGCATCGGAGGCCTTAGCGATCTGCAGGGCCTCTGCTGGCTTATAACCACCCGCGTCCGCGAGCCGGAATCGCCACCTTCAGGCCCCGCAGCGGACGAAAGCAGGCTCTTCACATCCACTACTAGAGTGCGCCGACTTTGCCGGCAAATGACCTCGCTTGAAATGGGAGAAAACCATGCAATGCAACTCATGGCCATTATTAGCTCTGCTGCTGTGCGGCCCGATGAATCAAGCATTTATAATTAGAGCGCGCATCTGTTGCTGCAGGACCACCCAAACGAGGTACATTGTCTCCGCCGCCAGCCAGTGCAGCACACACATGGTCCGCCGCAGAACGAGAGCCAGGCCCCATTCATCAGAGAGAGCGTGTGATTAGAGAGCGATCAAGGCCAAGCAAGTACAATCCGGTCAGGCTACCACTGACTGCTTGTCACATGGGCTACCTACATAGATAGAATGACCGAGTCCGCCGAATCCTTCCAAGCCCATCCATCAGTCCACGCACGCTCACGTCTTCGGGACGCCGCCTTCTTCGACCAGAGTCGAGTTGCTTCTGCCTCTTGAGGAGCCACTGCCCGAGGGAATGCTCAACTTGGGAATACGGTCAGATATCTGATTCACGATCACGCGCGGATTCAGAGTGAGGTTCCGCTCCTCGATGATCGCCTTCGCGATGATCACTGGGTTGTCAGGCGATTTCGTGTAGTCGTCCGTGTCCTGGTGCGGATTGAGCGTCCAGTACTTGTAGCTTGAGTACAGTTCAGAGGGGCTCCTCCTAATCGCCAGACAGAATCATAAACATACTGCTTGCACGCTGCGTAGAAAGCGCTCCCAAGCACCGAGCCCATGAACGGTCCGACCCAATACTTGAACAGATCAGCCTCATCGGGACAGGCGATCAGTAAGCGCCACTACCACCACTTACTATCCAGTGGTCCGACGAGGAGAACCCGGAGATAACAGCAGGCCCGAAGGAGCGAGCGGTGTTCATAGAGGCCCCCGTGTAATTAACAGCGAACCTGCCGGATCATCAATAGAGACACGGGTAGCCCGACCGGACGCATCATCAGCATACAAGTGGCATGAATACAAGGTCAGCCCAATCCCGACCTGCACCCGCAGCTTCAAGGAACGAACAAGCGACGGAACGCCTAGGGTGACTCACAGGGGCAAACGCGGTGGCCTGGTGCTTCTCAGCAGCGAGCATCAGGACCGCGATCACCAGGGCGCAGGTGATGAACATTTCGATGATCAGGCCTTGGGTGCGACTCGTTTCGGGGTTGAGCACGGTGCTAGAGTGATTGAGGGTGTTTGCAGGGGTTTGAGAGGGACGCAGAGACTGACTTGACGGTGAGCGGGCCCGTGAGTCCTCGCAGGATGGCTGCCGCGGCGATGGAGCCAACGAACTGGGCGATGCAGTACAAGAAGCCGCGGAACAGAGGTAGGATGCCAAGCATGACTAGAGATGCGGTGATACACGGATTAAAGAGACTTCCAGTGATACTGCACAGGGCAAGACGAGGATGAGACGAGCATTCAGTCGCGCGAGGAGCAAGGGGGGACATGGGAGGGCGCGACAGACAGAAGAGGCATTACCGAAAGAACATCCACGCACAGACCACCAGCGAGAAGCCCATGCACGTCGACACGTACATCACTTGCTGCACATCCGACACGCCGTGCGGGCTTGCGAGTGTTTCACGCGTCGAAGCTTGAATCCCGCCCAGTCCCAGAAGCAGAAACAGCGTAGTGCCGACGAGTTCGAGGAGAGCGGCGAGGAGGTCATTGCGGAGGTTCTCTTGACTGAAGCGAGCCATGTGCCGGGTGGGGGAGTAGTGATGTGTGTATAGCGAAGGAGGCTGCAGAGGGCGGGAGCGCTGATGGTGTTGTTTGGATGATGAGATCAATCTCGGAGTGTTCCGCGTCCGCTTCGACAAATCTCGAGCTGCTGCAGATGCCTCCACTGGTCACTTCCCAGCGCGACATACGATGGACAAAACCAAGCTCCTGGATCTCACGCTTCCGGTCTTCATAAGAATGCCATGCAGAGCGGAATCTGAAGGGTTCTGATATCTCGTGCGTCCCTTCGCCTACGGGATAATGGAAATAGTGACCAACCTGAGTGATTTTGCTGGTCAAAACGTTCCACCTGTGATGATAGAGAATGATATGTCATGAATGCGGCGATAGCCGCACGGCGCAGTCGAAAGCCGTTCAAACTTCCAGGGTGACCGTTTTGGAACGCGCATGTTCTTGGTTCAACTTCTGATTCCATGACGCATTCTGATTCAGACTTGTATCCAAGACTGCAGACTCCGGAACAATCGTTGACTGGAATGTCAGCCTAATCTCCCGTCTTGGCAGATCCGGAAGGATGCTTGGGCCCGGAACACAACCGCACTCACTCAACTTCCGCGTTCCAAATCTGGGTATCCGTTCCGGTGCTTTCATGGTGCGAGCGATCCGAGACCTAAATGCAGCTGCGATCGTCTATGGCGTCACCCACAGGACTGGGACGTCAATGCGCTGCGATAGAGCGAATCGCAGACGTATCGCCAAGTCTCCTGCCACGGAACATCCGCCAGTCTCCATAGATAGCGGCGATAAGCCTTGCTACTGCCGGGTGCCCATACGAGGGTATTGAATGACTCCTGCAGAATTGGGCTGGAACGTGGACCAGGTGGGATGGGACTTGCATTCAATCGACATGTCCAGCGCAGAGCAGAAGACCACATTTTCTGCGCGGCTTCTGCTTCTGAAGATCCGGGCGAAGCGAAGACCACCCCAACTGAGCGCTCGATTCGCCGAATATACCAAATTTCGACTGGCCGATATTCTCGTGCACGGCGAAATTTCGGGGCCCAGGTCCCGCTGTGCTTGGCTGCGCATTTGTATAGGCTGCTCCATGTGCAGTTCTGTCAGAGCCGGGCTGGGGTATCCGGAAACGCATGCTCTGCACGACTCTGGCACCTCCCAGGTCGAAAATCACGCAGCAAACATGTTCTGCATCTACGATCCCACGTCCGCCGATTCATCTTGTCCAGGCAAAGAATACTGATTGCGCGATATGAGAGCGCGTCTAGGTCCCATGAAATCACGACATCGACAGCACGGAAGAGATGTAGCCATTTCGGAGGAGTGGTTTCGATCAGCTCGGGTTACAGCAAAACACGCGACATGTCAGATGATGGGCGCTGTTTGGGTTGGGGAGCAGGCTGATAAGATAAGATCATTGGATCAGACTCGGGTTTTGCCCGCCCACACGTGTCAATCAGGTCACGCGTATGATCTGTTCTGTCACTCTCTTCCCGCGATGATGGGCGCTCCCCCCGGTTTCTTGCAGCGCCGTTCGCTTCATCAAACGACTAGCTACTTATTCGTCTCCTCTGCATTTTTCCCATCGGCATCTCTATCACGCGACCCTGAAGCTCGGGTCCCATTAATTTGCTGACAAGGGAAGTCCTCGACGCACTTACTCTCCGGAAAACCAAAACGAAACGCAAGCGAAGACTAACCAGGGGGGTCTTCGCATGATTACTGCTGAATTTGACTCCCCACTGCCGATATACTTATCTGGATCGTCGAGCTGCTTTGAGAAGTGGCGCGAGAGTTACTCTATTTGTGAGTCGCTGGATGCTCGCAGCCTATCTCTTTTCAGAACACACATGGCCGCTGAATTCCCTTAGATTCGTTCTTCGCAAACTCTATGCAGGTGACGTTCCTAGAACGGATGGCTTCATTCTTCGCGAGTCAGGACGTCTTAATTTGCGATGTTTACGGTCTGAATAAGCGTCAACAGCAGGTGCAGTACACGGAGGCAGCCCGCACGAATCAAGAACGGAAGCTCTGGCAAGGCGTTGGCTCGATTTACTCAACCCACTCATGAAATCACCGGACGAGTGGTGCCCCGAGGTGATTATCTGGAAGTGAATGGAGCACGAATGCCATAACCCCATGGTGAAAGATCGCAGCATTATGGCAGTTCAAGGTACATACACGCCTGTCCAGCCGCGCTGACTCGGCCGTCCGTTGACCTGGGTGTGCTTCTCTCACTCCTTTCAATCCGTGCCAGTCTTCTTCGAGATGTTCTTTCCCCACAATACCACCCGGAGATGCTTCCCACGTTTCCACACGCAAGGCCCGATCCCTAGCCGACTGATTGATTCAGCGCTGGTCCGTCCGCATTGCTTTCGCCCACTTGCTTTTGGCCCTGCCCTCGGAGGAGCGTGTTCCCTCGAAAGTTGGGATTCCGGTTTTCAAAGTTTGTCTCGAATTTCAGCATCCGGGGCCATGTTAAGTGAGCGCGAGACCTGACGGAATCGTGTTAAAGTCAGTAGTTTACTGAGAAACCTAATTTTCTAATCGCTAAAAATCCAGATCAAGACGTTACCTAACGTCTCGCAACAAACAGAACATGATTGACTGGTCCTCCGATCTCACCGCGTCGCGCCAAGTCCGCACTCTCGCAGAGTCGTCTACTGCGAGGACTCCAGAGATCAGATCGCCAGGGAAGGCACGCGCGAGAATGGGGGGGCGAACTCCTTTACCTCGTCCCTCAAGTTCTGTGATTAATGGTGCGCATTTCAATCGGTATGACTCTTGCGAGCTAGTTTCAGAATGTGTCATTAGATCCCCCTCCTTTTGTGGAAGATGCCGGACATGGGACAGTCCTTTTCGGACACGATGTCAATTTGTTGCCGTGGACAGTTGTGGCAACCTGTTGGTGGTGTTACGCGCTCGAAAAAAAACCTCTGGGGCGGCCACGAAGCACAGAGACACACGCGAGGTCCAGGACGATCGTTCGGAAGCTCTGGAGAAGATGCAAGAACTTTTCTTTTGCGCTGCCCTGTGCTCCGACGGTTTGCCTCGGCCTTCTCCGATTATGCTTTGACGTGCGCCTCAGGTCTGGAGTCAATGGATTTAGGAACCATCCAATCGCTGCGCACCAGCCAATCGCTGCTCCCCGGACGAGACCCCGACGCGTGCGGTCGATCATCACCTCGCGAACAAACCCCATCGAGATGTGCCTCGGACTGCAACTCCCATTCGTCGGTGACCTGTCAATCCGAATCGGCCGGAAAGCTTAGTTTTTATTTCCCTGGTAAAAAATCTATATTCGCTATATTTTAATGACAACGACCAGAAACACAGCAGAGATTATGCGAGCGAGAGGATGAGAAAAAAACAGGGGCTAAAATACAGTGAGAGAGCATCCGGCAATTTCCAAGAAGACGAGCGATCCAGTGTCTGCAATTCTACGACTCTCCGTAATCATCGGTATTTGAATAGTCCTCGGGGCTGCCAGAGCTGGAGGTGTACGCGGAACCAAATGAGCCGAGACTCGACGGAGACGAGAATGTCGCCTGCGGCGACGTCGAGATCGAGAGCGAACTTGAACTTGCGGTGGACCAACTTGAGCCGTAGCCGTGAGACGACATCGGTCGGACATATGTCGCAGGCGAGTAGATCGAGCCCTGCGCGACGGACGGCACAGAATACCCCCTCGACACGTCCTTGCCGCCCTCTGTCGACTCGCCGCTCAGCAGCCACGGCAGCCGACTGCGGCTCTCCGCTCCCCCGCCGTAGCGCGACACGGCTGCATCGGCATCCCTGCGACTCGGGATCTGGAGCGGGGTCGGGTATGGATTCGTTGAGCGCGTGCGGGATCTGTCGACGTAGACATTCGACGTCGGGGAGGGCGGGGACTGGTATGCGTCCCCGTGCCACCGGGCGGAGGAGAGGCTCCACGACGAGTCCGAGTGGCCGCCGCCGCCCATCTCGCGCCGGCTTGCGGAGGAGTAGTGGTGCGACCAGGTGTCCGGGCGCAAAGTCGGGACCGTGGACACCGCCCAGCGATCTGTGCTGCCCACCCGGGGATATGAGGCCGCCGAGACGCTGGGATAGAGCGCGGTTGCACTCCCGAAGGAGTTCTCCACAGGGGAACCGGGGCTGCTCCCGTCAGACCCCCAGGAGCTCGGCGAAACAGAGAGGCTGTACGACTCGTCCTCGACCTTGCACTCGACGACGTCGGGATCCTCCGTCTCGCTGTTCAACTTGGCGTCAGCGGCGGGTCGCGGTTTCGAACCCGGCGACGACACTCACACTAATCGCGAAATTCCGTCGGGGCCCTTCTCCACCTTGGGCGGGACTCGGAAGTTGGTCGCGCGAAAGAGCCGCGGGTCCATTGGGAGGCCCATGATGTCTGGCCGACTGCTCGGTCGCTGGGAAACGCAATGTGAGCCACGGCGCGTGCGATCACTGGCGAGGAAAATCCATCCACCTTCAGTTTGCCGGAGTGCTGGTCGACAGATGTGTAGTAGGAGATGAGATGGAGGTCGGATCCCTCGATGGTGACTGTGATGGTCTAGGAGGTCGCGTGTCAGCGAGCGAGCGGCGGGCGGACAGCGCAGGAGGCGCGCGCACCTTCTTGATGAGGCCGTTGTGCTTGAATGTCCCGTGTTCGTTGGACTGCGCGGTGAGGTCTGTGAGTGCACTGCGATAGCTGAGCGGGCTACGACCCACAGCCAAAGCACGAGACTGCTCGTCGCTGGGGTAGAGCTTCTTGTGGCTTCCCCGGCTGTTGCTCCGCTCGTTGATTTCGCGATACACCTGGAGGCGAATGTTGACAATGGGTGAGAGAGACGCAGGCTGGGGACGCGAACCAGAAAATTCCCGACGATGCGCGACGGAGACCATAAGAGGCCGTCTGGTGCAGTGGTGAGCGGAGAAGCAGAGGGTGAGATGAACGTGTCGGACACACACCTGTCCATCGTTTGATCCCACTCTCCTCGACGCTGAAGACGAAGACCGCGCCGCTCTTGATCATGGTGCGTCGCTCGGCATCGTTGAGACGCCGGGTAATTCTGGGGATGACGCCCTGTCGAGCGGCGTGGATGAGTCGGAGCGCATTCATCGTTGTTTCGACCGCGCCAAAGAATGGCGGGACATCGGTAGGTTGCGACGAGCTCATGGTGGCACGGTTAAGTTTGAGGTTGTCGGACAATCGTTGTTGGGACAGAGTTGCGGGTGTGTACCATTTATGCCGGCCTCAACTCGCAATCTCATGAATCTGATCTTCCTTTCTTTCTCGGACGCAGAACCGTAGAAACGCCGCTTTCACACACTTGACACACACCACTCGATGCACATCGGGCAGCAAAAAGCGCTTCTTCAGCAGATCTCGACTCACTCTCCGTCCAGTGCAATCATCTCCCCCGCTCGGACCCCGGCCCAGCACCTCCCAGCTCCTTCACCAGCGCCCCCAGCGCACACCCGCTGTGCGACTGGCGATCGAAACGCTTCCGTGTCCCCTCCGGATGACTCGGAAGTGTCAAGGCTAAATCCGAGCACGCATGTAATAGTTCTTCATACCCAGATTCTGTGGTCCCTTACTGTCTGCCGGCCTATTGCAAGCGAAATCATGGGCTGCATCTATTCTTGAGATTCTCCTCTCGCGAAGCTGCCAACGGGCGATGACACACAGGCGCAGATCAGCGTCCGTGCTCATGTTGCCCCCGGCCCGTTGCTGCTGCTGCTGCAATCGATCTCGCAGACGTGTCCCATATGTTTAGACTACAGCCTTGTGAGCGTTGCATCATGGACCTGGAACGACGCTGCCAGTCAGACGGCCCGAGCCCCAATTTATTTGAGTGCCTGCACCGCATCACTTGCTCAGCCAGCCGGGCACGTGTGACGTGGGGCTTCCAATCCGAATGCGAGCTGCATGCTGTCAGGCCGTCTTAATCAAGGGCAGTGGGACCCATCACGACCCATGACCCGGTTCGGTTTCCTTATTCGGCAATATGCCCTTTATGTATGTCCCATGCCGAGAGAGTCTCAAAAAGGCGTCTTGAGTCGTGAGCCCAGGGAAGAAGACGACAGCCGCCGTCGGCGTCTCGGCGCAATCTGTCTCACGTCAATGTCAGACGCGCAACGTGCGCGCGTGTGTGATGAGCCCACAACTGGGGAGTCGCGCCGTGCGGCGCGTCCCGTGGACGCTCGCGGCAGCACTGCACGCCTGCAGCACGAGGGCCTGCAGACACGGACGGTATGAATAGAACAGCGATCCAACAGGTGCAGGGCTGCGACGAGATAGGTCGAATCGATCCGGCGACCCTCACCCGCTCTCGGGCGTCTGTTCAATACGAAGCCCTGCGCGGTGCTTGTTGTGCGAGTTGGCCTCGATCCTTCTTAGAGATGAAACTCTGCACGCTTATCTAGTCGGCGCATCAGAGTCGTTTGGCGCAGTTAAGACATCGCTAAATCCGGATTGTATATGTCGTCATACGTCCATCACGCAGTCGGTCCGGCCACAAAATGCATTGGCAACATCGATATGAGACCGGTACCAGTGCCGTGACAGAGACTCTTCATGAAACTCAGCCTCGACGACAACGCGAGGCTCTGGCAATCGCAGGACGTCGTGCTCAGGGGAGAATACGGGGGATGACAACATACCCGAATGGGCTCGTCGGCCGTAAGTGGGCGGCAAACGCATTGTCAACGATGTGCCTGGGTAGCAGGACAACGGGCAAGTCAAAGATTCACAGCCACCACCATAAGAAGCTCGTTAGGCGCAACGTCAAGTTTGTTAGACATCCCAAGGCAAACTCTCCGCAACCGTGAGCACGGTGAAACATGGAAATGGGCCCAATAAGTAGGCGCGTGACATTGGATCATGATCAGATAACCACTCCGGGAGCAAGTTGGCTCCGGGAGAGCTTATATGGGTGTCGATCTCTGTGGCGATGAAGACCGCGCTTGAGAACTATTTTCCGCGATCAGATATCGCCGGAAGTATATTATTCCATTCGGTGCGCGGTTCGCAATTGAAAGGCAAAGATATTCAAGGACACTCGGTGGGATCCCAGTCCGTCACAAGTCCTGCAGACGGTGTGTGGGAACATGGCGGCCCGGGAGAATCAGGCGCACCTTCATCGAGAGCATCTAGATCAGCCACCTCTTTCTCATCCAACGCAAAATCGAAAATATTCGTATTTGAAGCGATTCGTGCGCGAGACGATGACTTGGGGATAGCGATATAGCCCTGCGAATTTCCCGTGTCGACGGATAAAAAGACTGGCAAACGGAGCACCCACCTTTTGTAGGCAGTAGCGGAGAAGGATCTGCGCTGGTTCTTTGTGATGTTTCTTGGCCAGCGAGACAATAGAAGGGTGCTTGAATCGTAGACCGCGCACCAGAGGGGCCCAAGCCTAGATGACGGATGAAGAGAGGCGAGATTACGCAGAAGATTGGTGAATACCTCCAACGATATTCCGTGCTCATGACAGAGGTTGACGATCTCAGTGCGTATCATAAAGGGATGCAGGTCGATCTCGTATGACTGATCAGTCGATGCTTGAAAAAAGCGGCCGACAGGGCGCACCTGATTGACTGCCGGTACCGCGAGACCCATCTCCAGAATTTCTTTGATGTGGCGGACGCCAAAGGTGCTGATGCCGATGCTCTTGACCCTGCCTTCTTTTTGCGCATCACAGATGGCCCTCCAGCATTCCTTGCGCGCTGCAGGGCCGCCGAGGGGCCCATGGATCAGGTATAAATCGATGTACTCGAGGCCGCATTCGTCGAGTGAAAATTGTATGGCTTTCAGGGTCGGCTCGTACCCGTCGTTGAGCTTCAGTTTCGTGGTATAGAAGATCGCCGAGCGTGGTGTGCCGGTCGATTCGCAGAAATCGCGGATGGCCTGACCGACCTCACGTTCATTTTCATACCAGGTTGCGGAGTCCTACGAGATTTAAGAGTTCTGAGGGCTCTTCAGCTCGTCGCGACGTACGATGTGACGATACCCAGCCTGGGAGATTAGAACCTGTCGTGGTAAGAAACAAGCCCCGGGGGAAGGGAGCGCAGGCTCGCCTCGAGAGCCCAAGTAACGGCATCGTATGCTTCCCTGCCATCCAGCTCGTATGTTCCTGAGAAATGGGGTTGAGAATCCTTCGCGGGATCAACCTGTCCTCACAAAACGCACCGAAACCCAAGATGGGTATCTCGTTTCCGTCGTTCAACTGGGCAGCGTCAGATTCTCGGGGATCGAGCGGGAGATTTCCGGTGGAGCGACCTTGCGGGTTGACTGGAGAGTTAGGGCCATCGGTAACGATGTGGATGGGAGAGAAATCGTTTCAGGGATCGGGGGCCGGGTGATCCCACGTGACATGCGGTCATACCGCACCCGACGCCCTCCCATGTGGAATATCCTGAGGCTTCCCTCCCAGACTTCGCGCATCCACGTCCGCAGGGTCGCATGCAAGCCGCACCGGCCAAAATCTTTCTCCTGACTCCTGCAATCCAGTGATTCTCGCAGATCCTTGCGCTTAAAAATAAATGCTGTTGCCAGATTGGTTGCGGGCTGGCAGAACTCGGATCCTGCCCCTGCAGCCTCATACAGGGACGATAGAGCCTGATTTTGGCGGATAGGACGTGCAGAGATCTACATTGCCTCTTGTCTGTTCTGCATGCGTCGATCCTTCTCTTCTCGGCCTCGTCAGGTCAGGATCCGCCCTCCAGGGAAATGCACGCACGGTCTGCCTGACACGGCGGCTTCCAGCCGCACGGGCTGGGTCAGTTCCACACACGCGTCCCAATGGTGACAGTGCTCAGAAACGTCTGTGATCGAAGATCAGAAGATGCACAACTGCCCCTTCACTGGCGACGCTCGACTATTCAGGCCGCGCACCTGCTCGTCCAAAACGTACAAGTCGCTGATCGGGACGTACCGGCTTCCCGTGGCGTCGACCGGGCTGGCTGATTCATCCTTGGCCCCCACACCCTCGGCCAGCAGCACCCATTTCTCCTTGGAATCTCCGCAATAGAACTTCCTGGAATGTGCAGGTGAACCTAGACAAAGGCTCCGGCGGTGTCACCGACATATGATATGATAGCGGTTTCGTCTGCCGACGGTGGGTTTTTTCTTCTTTTCCCTACCACGCCCAGCGCAGATTCGACTCGAACTGTTGGAGGCGGTGATCGCTCATGTTTATCTCAGTATAGGCACCCCCGAAATTGTTATACCCGGAAAAACAACGATGGCTGCTGGTCTTATCAGCTCAGCGGCGCTTGGGCGGAAAACTCGCGATCTACGCAAGCCTTGTGATAGATAACCATTTTTCCAACTCCCACCGTAGTCCAGACTATTCCAGGACAACGTCTCGTATCTACCAGATTCGCAATCCAGTTCCTTCTTTTGCGTCTGGATCTGGGCTTTCAGCGGCGGCAGAATCCGAGCACAGTGCATTGGTTGACGGTCGAACTTGCAGTACTGTTTATCCCAGAGTTGGATTTTCGGCTTGCACCGTTATTTTCTGCACGTATCCACGCGCATCTTTGAGGGTCTGCCGTTCATCAGATGCCAAAGAGTCCGTTTTCATGTCCGCTGCAACAGCTGTTGCTGTGGCGCCTGCCGAGAGTATTCTCAGGGCACAACAAGTCTCTTCTCCTTCCTCTCTCGATTCGCCGCAATTATGTGTTGGGGTTCAACAAGCATGAGGCCCGGGAATTCGGTGGAAATAAGCTTTTTAAAGTGTCGCATCAGCTGTCCGGTGTCTCGGTTGTAAGCAGAACAACCAGAAACATACATTCCCATGTCCTTTCAGGTTTGGGAAATCGAAGACGATGTAGGTGGGTCGGACTTTGAATTTTTTTCAATCCTCTCAGGCCTTTCGTCGCGCGCAGATTTGGATCTCATCTATCATCTATCCCTCCAGCCGTGCGAGGAACATCTGCCTGAGCGCCGGGCCGTTCACCCCATTGCATGGGCAAAACCCGAGCCGCGACTTGCCGGTGAATCGCTCTTAGCAATCTGGAGCTTCCCGACGGGAACTTGCCCGCAGGGGAAGGCGCAGGACTTGGCCTGGATGGAAGAAAATGGGAATCGAGGTGTCAATGAGTCATGTGACTCTGCCGCAACTGTTCCGCTGACCAAGCGGTGGCAACACCCTCTAGCTCTCTTCTCGCTCTGATCCTCGATCGGTGTATTTACGTTCGCGTTTTTCTGTCGCCGCGTCTGTCGGGAACTCACGCGTGTGTTCTCGATAGATGGCTTCTTCTGCCCAACCTCTCAAGTTTTCGCCGTCGACTCCTGCCAAAAGCCCTGAATCGGGCGAGCGCGGGCAGACTCCCCCTGCACCCGCTAGCAAACCGAACGCCCCAAAGACGTCAATCGGCCCAGGGGACATATCGAGTCCCCACGAACTGACAGCTTTCGTGAGGAGTGGACGGTTGCTGCCCTGCTTATGTCTCTTACCCCTGCTGCCAGGTGGAGTCGCTTCTCGAGCAGTTGGATACCAAGTTCGATGAGATGTCGAGCCAGATCCTCGAAAGAAGTGCGCGCGCGTTACGGTATTCTGCATCCGAGAATGTTCTCTCACTGTCCTCCTTAGTGTCTCAGATGTCGACGCGCGTCGATGCACTGGAGGCGTCCATTCACGACATCATCAATGGCGAAGTGAGTAATCTCCTCCTGTGCTTCGACACCGGATCTCATGGATCGCGAGTAGTAGTAGAGGAGGTGTGATGAGAGTCTGTATCCATATGTATTATCTGTGCGTGCACCATCCCGCTCCATCCATGCCCTTCATGTGCAGCCCTAGGCCTCACGTAACATTCTGTACACCAATGCCACTTGTCTTCCTCGCTTCAGAAACTGCGGCGTTACAATGCGACTTCTCTCTCGTCTTGGGGCACTTCGTCAGGTCCCGACGAAAACGGCGGGATCAAATTGTTCTCCTGTACCCATTGTCAGACATGCGCCAAGTTTCGGGTATCCGCCTGATGTCTGGTTCAGCGCAGGCCCATCTCCTTTCATGGATACCATCACCAGCCTCCTTCCTCGATTCCGGCGGAGCAGACAGAAGCGCTTTAGTGCCACCAGACCACAGCGTGTCGGACAGCAGGTCATCCAGGGCCAGCCCGTTATCCTTGAGGGAGTTCTCGACATCTCGAAAGAAGCTCGCGATGCGATCGCAGAGGGAAAGGCCCAGAACGGGTGGCATCCATTCGAAATGGGTATCCGACCGGATTCACCCACCGGCTCCAGCGGTTCTTCGAGCGGTTCTTCGAAGGCGCAGCAACTGCAGCAGGAGCAGCAGGAGCAACAGCAACAGCATTCTGCGGGCCAAGTGCATCGACCGCTGTCGTCTTCTCCTCCATTCGATCCTCCGGAGATGACGAGTCCTTCTCTGTCTGCAAAGACTGTCATGCCCAGAGACCCGGACGGCCGACGTTTCGCCCAGTCAATCACCATTCCTGCTAGGCCCGATGCGGCTCCTCCGCTGCCACTCGCACGCGATTCGCTCATCCACAGCCTCCGTCGGCAGCCCCGATACACCGAGCTGAACAGCCTGTCCCCTATTCGGCGGTGTCGTACCTTTCCGCTGTCTGTCGAAGCCGAGCCCGCTGTCTTGGCTCCTGTGGGGAGGGACGAATGCAGCAGCAGCAGCAGGAACAGTAACAGTGCTATACGAGGTCCCGAGAAGCCCCGAGAAGCGAGCACTACGGGGCCAAACGAGTCGCTGCTACCTAGCTGGGCGGGCTTTGCGTTCCCGATGCCCCCGAAAGCGACCTTCACGAAGCGCTGGACACCGACGATTCCACCTTCGGCGTCCCTGCCGGTTGACGGGATGGGACACGTCGAGCCGCTGTCCATCGTCAAGCGGGAGTCCGGCTCGACCAGCAGTTCGCGCGGGACATCCGACAGCTCGCGATCCAGTGCGGTGGTCATCAACGAGCTGCTTTCGTCGCTGGATGACATGTACGCGGAGATACGCTCGGCCGCGTCAGAGGGCCGCGATTCGTTTGTGTCGATCCCGCTCGATTCGCCGCTGGAGTCTCTGCCGGATCTGGATGGGGCTGAGACCTGGGCTGCTACGTATTCGCTGGCAGATGAGCCGGCCGCCTTCGTTTCTCGGGCTGCACCGCCTCGCAGTCCGTCCGCGAAACGACACTCCTGGATCGCGTTGTGTCCCCACTCGTTTGTCCTCGAGCGTGCCAAGACGGTCGAGAGATATCGCCGGCGGGGTGTCGCCTCCAGGTCACTGCCTGATCTCGCATGTTTGGCTTGACGTTCTCATCACTTAGTTCATGTCAGGACAGTAGGTACTCAAACTACTACATATTGCTGCTAAGTATGTACCACGGTCTATGAAATCGATTGTCAATTGACGACATGCGTCTCGGACCGGAGAGCACGACGAGCCTGGACGGGCATCAGCGAGCGTCCTGTGAGAAATGTAGAGAGGCCTGCCGCGAAGATCGTTTCTGGACCTGAGAATCTGTCCGCTGGATCAGGATCTGTGGCCCTGTCCGTGCTCTGCTGCCCTGTGGTGATGCCGCTATAAGTAGTCAGATACCGCAACACACCAACACCACAGCACACCGGGCAGTGCCCACGCGGCACCCGACGACGAATCGGTCATTTGGGCTGGGATCTTGAACATGGAAGTCTCCTGGAAGAACACACAGCGTGATCGTGTTCGCGCGCGCAGGATATCGATTGCCAGGGATCGCGCGACGCGTGAGAGCGGCCCCTGCCTTCCCTTCCTCGCCGGCAGCGGCTGCGGCTGCGTCCGTTATCGATAGTCGGCAGCAGCGAGCGATCGTCAACGCGGCCGAGGCCGTGCCTGGCTCTGGGATGGCAGGCCCGAGAAAAGAACAGACAGACATTCCTCGTTCGAGATGATCTGCGGCCCCGTGGACGGTCGATGTGATTTGCCACACGCCCGGAGCTTGCGGGCGGCCTGCGAGTCGACCCTGGTGGAGAGCACCAAGAATGCTGCGGCACCGGCAGAATGCTACTCCCCTGGTCTGCTGATTATCGACAGGGCACTCGCGGGTGGCCCTCGCAGCTATTTATGTCTGTCCAGAGCCGTTTCGAGTGACAACAGTACCATAGATGGTCGAGAGCAGATGCCAGAAGTTCTCCCACTGCCGAGTCGGTTCGCAGAGGATCAAAACAGAATTTCTGGGTCGTCTCAGGGAAGATGGGACGGGTTTGACGGTAGGATGTCTCCGAGAGATGAGATCTCAGGGTGCGGGACGACTGCATGAACCGCATCCGCGATCCCAGCGCGTCGGTTTTCAACGTCAGAGGCTCGGATAAGAGTGATCGGGCCGTGCGCGGCCGGGCCTGACCGGCCCTGGGGACTGCTGCTAAACAAACAAGGGGCAACATCAGCCGCTGAGTGACGCTGACTGTACATACTTGTGGTGTTGTGTATGATGGCAGTGCGGGCCGTCGACCTCGAGAAGATTGGACCTGGAGTGTATGTCTCCCAGCCTGCAGCACATGCGCAGATTGAAAAATCTCTGGAGCCAGGGTCCGTGCACATATCTGACTGGCACGCGCATTTCTGATTCGTCCAGGGTTATCCTCATCTTCGGCTGGCTGTCTGCGAAATTTGCACACCTGGCCAAGTACACCGACACGTATCGACGGATATATCCCACTGCGACCATCATCCTCGTGCGCAGCGAGTTATCTCTCCTCTGGATGCCTTGGAAGTGGCTAGTGAGTGGACGCTGTGTGTGTTTGGATGTCCGGCTCACGTGCGGCTGTGTCTCGCAGCGGAATCGGTTTATTCCGGTGTCGACGCTTCTGTCTGGGCTCGGCTGTCTGGACGCGCCAAACCAACAACGGATCCTCATCCACTCCTTCTCAAATGGCAAGTGACGTGGCAGTGAAACACGTCGTAGGACTGAAATAATGGTCAGGTGGCGCTTGGAATATGCTTGCCCTCAAGAGGCTACTGGAAGAGCAAAAGCACCAGCCCGGCCACGCGCTTTGTAGCGCTTGGATCATCGACTCTGCGCCGGGCGGGGACAGCCTCTACCGGTCCCGCTTGGCGTTTCTGAGCCCCATCAAAGGCACAGCCGCCCGCTTCCTCGCAAAATGGGCGTTCACGCTCCTCTACTGTCTGCTGCACCTCGTCCACGGGCTCCTCCTGCGCCGGCCGAGCCCCATCCACGTCATGCAGGAGTCTCTGGCGCGCGCCGATGTCCTGCCGTGGATGTCGCGCAGGACGCCCCGGCTGTACCTCTACTCGGCGGTGGACGAGATGGTTCCGGCGCGCGATGTAGAGGCGCACGCGGCTGTCAGCGCGGCGGGCGGCCTCGACGTGCGGATGCGACGCTTCGAGTGCAGCACGCATGCGGCGCACGCGCGGGTCTATCCGGTGGAGTACTGGGAGGCGGTGCAGGCGTTTTGGGCTGGCGTGGTGCGAGAGCTGACTTGAGGATTTATCGATGTTTGAGATGCGAGTCCGTCAATCAGCGTTTGCCGTTGAGTCGACCCTTTGTTTCCGGAATAGGAAGGCACTGGTTGAGCCATCGATGACAATGAACGCCTGATGCGCTTTGCTGGTTGACTTGGCAGAAGTATTAAAGCGCTGGCTCCAGGGTTGGTTGACCCACCTAATCGCTCGGTGGCATATCTATTACCTTCCCGTCCTTTTCCAGTGTTCTCATTCGTCTGCCACCGAACATCCAACCTTCATTATCATTACATCGAAGATGCCTGCACATCGCACGACAGCGCATCCGAAGCGTACAGTGCGTAGTGTAATTCAACGTTGTCACAGGGCATTCAAGTCTGCTGCCAGCCTGTTGATAGCAGTTTCCGTGTGCCGACTCCGGTGCCCTCCTTTACCATGGATTGGTCGGCCTTCCCATTCCCTGTCAACCGCGCTGGACGATGGGCTCCAGTGCTCTTCGAGACGCCCACCTCCTTGCTCAAGAGGACGGTCAGCAGCGTCAGCAGCTGCAGCGCCGCCACTACACTGAACTGGGACGCAGAGTCTGGCGAGTCCGACTCGCAATTCGGATTCGTCTTGCGCGAATGCAGCAATCTAGGGGAATATCTCACCAGCGAGCCATCCACCTCCACCGC